TGGTGGTATTTGCATCAAAGATTCTGAAAAAAAAATTCTGAATTAAAAAAAAGAAAAGAAAAGAAAAGAATTTTTCATTGAAAATCAGAATTTATATCTGTGTCTCTGGCTGAGATATCATCATTTGATTTGATATTCTTTGATTTTAGTTTACATTTGATAAATTCTAAATATTTGATCAAAAGATTATTTTTTTTCTGGTTAAAATTTATCACCATCATCGCATCATCGAAGAAAATATCATGGCATTGAAATGAAATTGAAAACAAATCAAACTGATTGTTTTTTTTTCATATATATACCTGTTTTGTTTATGGTGGTGGTCACCAACATGATTGAATGTTGACCATTCTAGAATTTGATTGTTTGTTTGTTTGCATAGGAAAATGTTGGTAAAAAATAAACAAACAAACAGGCAAAAATTCTTTAATTCTCAAAAGATTTTTTTTTTTTTGAACAAATTTTATTCAAGAAGAAGAAGAAGTAGAAAAAAAACCTAAAGTCTGAATCATTATTGCACATCGTGGTTCGGCGGTGGGAGGATTTGTTGCACTGGATGCAACTGGACCACACAGTATATTATTATTGTCCAAGGATTATTTGAAAACTTTTTTTTCTTTTTTTTTCTACTTTAACTTACCCATCAAAAAATGTCCATGTCTTGTTTTTCATAAATAAAAAAAAATTTTTTTTTCTTCATTCCTGGTTTTTTTTTCTCCTGGTTATGTAATCTAATAATATTCTCTTTTTTTAATATTGATTTCATAATGGCCAGAATCGAATTGAGAAATGGCAGATGATGATGACTATTGAATAAATGAATGAATGAATAAAAAAAAGAAAAAGAAAAAATTTTTAGTTTCCAAAATAAAAAAAAAAACAAACAAGAAACAAGAACTTATTCATTCATATATATGGATATCCACAGAGACTTGAAATGAAACCAAGCAAAAGACAAGCAGAGAGAGAGAGAGAGAGAGAGAGAGAGAGAGAATGTACATTTTCATTATTTATTTTTTCTCCACCACCACCACCACCACCATCATCATCATCATTTTTTTCGTCTTCATTCAATTTGAATAACAACAACAACAACAACAACAACTGGTAGATAAAAAAATAAAAGAAAATAAATTGATGCTACTGGTTATTTGCTTGTTTTGAATGTTTGTACATATAAGTGAAAAGATTTGATTTGACCTCCATCGTCATCATCATCATCATCATCATCATCATCATGAATGGAGGAAAAAAACCATATACGTCATCTATTAATTTGACTTTTTTCTGATTTTCTCTCTCAATGACAAACCAAACCCATCCAAAAAAAAAGTGTTGAAACAAGATGGACAATGAAATTCGATGAAAATCGAATGAAAAAAAAAAAAAAAAAATCATTGATAAATTATACTTGAAAAATGACAAAAAACAACAACAACAACAACAACAAAAATGTAACCGTAACACAGCAATGGATTGTAATCAAAAGATCCATTATTTTGTTTTTTTTTTGATATAAATCAAGTGGGTAAATACAGAAAAATAAAAATGTTTTTTATTTTTATTTTTTGTTCGTTTGTTTTTTTACTTGTATTTCCACTGTTTTGAGTATCATTTTTTCCCCATTGTTGTTGTTGTTGTTGTTATTCCAACAATTCTTGTTGTTTGATTCTGAAGTTGTTTTGACCATTGGCCATTACTTTTGTTTGGTTTTGTTGTGTTTCTGTTTCTGTTTGTTGTTGAACATACACACACACACACACACACACGCACAAAAAGACTTGAATACTTGACTGAATTTTATTTTTCTTCTTCTTCTTCTTCATCGATTAATTCTAGTTGTTATTCGAATCACGTTGTTCAAGAAAAAAAAAAAAAAAAAAACAGAACCAATAACTGGCAGCAACATAATGGACACTATTATCATCATCATCATCCACGGAAAAAACATTTCGATTTCATTGATAAATAAAATAAAAAAAAATTTTTTCTTTGGTTTTTCTGATCATTGGTCAATTTTCTTATGATTTTTCCAATCTCTCTCTCTCTGTGTGTGTGTGTGTGTGTAAATTGTTTAATGATTTTTTTTCGGTTTTTATTGTTCAACAGAAAAAAAAATCAAAAACAATTTTTTGCGTCTTTGTGTGTGTCTGTTTTTTTTCCTGGTAATTATCAATCCGGAAATTGAACGATTCAATCAATTTATATATGTGAAGAATGTGTACTAATAAATTAATTTATCTATTAGTTTGTTATTTTTTTTTTATTGATTATCTAGCATTTTTTTTTTTTCTCGATATACTTGATCATCATCATCATCATCATTATTATTCAATTTGGGAATTGTAGACCGTGTGTGTGTGTGTGTGTGTGAAAGAAAAAGCTAATTTGATTCACAACATTCAAGTGTGTGTGTGTGTGAAAAAAAAACAAGTTTCAAATGGATCGATAAACAATATTGTATTTATTAAATACAAAGCAAAGAAAAAAGTCTGAATGGATAGTGTGTGTGTGTGTGTGTGTGTGTGTCTTACAGGTTGAAAAAGATAACGAAAAAAAAACAGAATACAGGCTTCACTGTATTGCATTTTTCAAAAAAAAAAAAAATTTGTCTCTGTGTGTGTGTGTAAGTGTGAATGAACTAAATTTTTTTTTTCTGTAAAGAATATTCCTGTCTGCATTGGTTTGTTTTCACAAGGGAATCGATTTCAAATATTGAAAAAATGAAATTTTGACATATTTTATGAGTTTCAATTTTTTTTTTTAGAAAAAAACGACAACTACAACTTCTACAACTATACAACAACAACAACAAAATGATCGACATTCAAAGAGATTTTCGTTATATACTGGAAAAAAAAAAAAATTCAACACAGAATATTTTGGAAAATTCTCCAGAAATAAACAGGAAAAAAATTCTGGTTCTTTTTTTCTTTTTGTTACGGTCAACTTTATCATGTTAAATGGGTAAATAACGATGAGAGATTTTGGTGTTCGATTGGAATAACAAACAACAAGAAAACAAAAATCATCGCTTTTATTTGATGATGACATTTTCATAAAGTTTATCGATTTTTTTTTTTCTTCTTCTTCTTTTTCTATCAACGAAACAAGCAAGAATATTCTTGTGTACAAAAGTCATAAAAGTAATGTGATGATAGTGTATACGTACGTGTACACAAATCACCATAATTTTTTTTCTTTTCTCCCCAATAAACTTTTTCATCACCATTCTATATTGCTAGCTTGACAAACGGAATTATGAAAAAAAAAATCAAACAAATAAATGATTATTAGTTGTTGGAATACACACTTCATTTGACATTTTCATTTTCATTTTTTTATTCTTTCCAGTGGATGATAATCATTTTCACATTGATAATGGCAACATTGAAAATGTACATTTTATTTTTTTTTTTATTTTTTATTCAACAACCATCATCAAGCAAGCAAATGAAAAAATCAATCGTAACATAACAACAACAACAACAACAACAACAATTGATAATGGAAAAATCAATATTCAAGTGTCAAATTCATGAATAAATTTCATAATTCAATCAAAAATACACACACACACATACACCAAGGAATAAGAATTTTGAATAAAAAACAGGACGAATACGCCCAGTTATGGCATAATGAGATGAGAAAAAAAAGACATTCAAACACGTAGACAATACATTAAAAAAAACCAGACTGAATGGACAGAGGACAGAATGAAAAAAAACACACCAAACTATCCGATTCCAAAAAAAAAAATTACAGCGAAAAACAAATGTTATAGAATTCAACTTTTTTTCAATCCTGTTCGTGTGTGTGTGTGTGTGTGTGTGTGTGCTGTGAATAAAATATTTGACCAGTGTCCACAGTGTCGGAAAATAAACCATTTCAACGTTATAACTGTCTCTGTGTTGTTGTTGTTGTTGTTAGTGTTTAGTGAGAGAGAAAAAAATGGAATTAAATTAAACTAAAATGGAAATTCTCTCTCTCTCTCTCTTTCGGTGTGTCTGTGTGAATATGAAATGTGGATGTTTTTTTGTTGTTGTTGTTGTTCACAATAAAAAAAAACTCGAGAACCATTAGAAAGAAAAAATTCAAATTGAATCATAGAATATGGTTTTTTTTCTCTAATTCTGTATACAGAATTTTGTATGAAAAAAAATCATTCCATAGAGCAAAGAATTTACGTTTCGTTTCGTTTCGTTCTGTTTTTTTTTCACTAATCATTTTAATCGTTTTTCACTTTTAATTTTTGTTTTGTTCATCATTATGAATGTAAGAAAGAAGAAAAAAAAATTTCTAGAAAAAAAGGATTATTGTTCCATTATTCATTTGAATGAACGTATGAGAAGAGATTCTGGTTGATCCAGGATCATTCTATTTTGATGACCAGTTTTGTCATTTGTCCTCCACAAAAAAAAAAAAAAAATTAAATTCATTACAATATCATGGTCATACTATATATATACACGCACTGTCACCACTGTGACTCATTTTTTTTCACATTCAAAATTTTCAAGATGAATATTTGGCATATGAAACGGTTTTTCTATATTTCGGTATTTCCGTTTTCTTGCAATTCTTGTTCTCTGTTGATGATAATTCAATTGTAGAAATTTTCATTTTATCTGGAAATAAAACGATAAGAAAAAAAAGAACAGTTTCGTTACTTTTCCCAAACAAAACAAAAAAAATAAGCAATTGGATCATCGAGACTGAGTTGAAATTGAAAATTTTGAAGTAAAGAAAAAAAACATCGTGGTTGACATCATCAAAAAAAAAAACCAGGCACAGGCACAGTCAGAATCCAAGTAAAAAAATTATTAACGAAAAAAAAAACAAAAATGAAATAGAATACAAAAAGAATCAAATAAATTGGATAACAAAAAAAAAATTGTCATTTCATTCTTTCTCTTTTTTTTTTTTTTTTTTTTTCCTCCCAAAAAGAATCGGACAGTTTTTCAACAAATTCTGTTTTTTTGTTCATCATCATCATCATCATCGATAAGTTTGAAGAATCCAAACCATATAATCAACGGCAACAACAACAACAACAACAACAAAATGGCCGATATAATCAATCATTTTCATCATCATCATCATCATCATCATCGACAACATTTTTTATTTCACAATCAACACGACAACATTTATTAAATATTAGCCGTAATTTAGCATTAGCAAGTTATGCTGCTGCTGCTGCTGCTTCTTCGGCTGCCAATGTTCAATTATCATCATCATCATCATCATCGATACAATTACAATCATCATCAGCATCATCACCAGTATCACCACCATTATATATGGCAACCAACAATCATTAATAGTAATGATGATGATGATGTTGATGATAGTGATTCATTTTTGGCCATTCAATTGATCAACCAACTGTTGGATCAATTATGGATAATAATAATAATAATAATGTGAATCCATTTGAAACATTACAAAAAGTTGTTAGCATCATTGTACCAATATTATTTGCTGTGATTGTTATTGTTGGTCTTGTTGGCAATTCATTAGTTGTTATTGTTGTCAAATGTAATCCACAAATGTATTCGACAACAAATCTGCTCATCATCAATTTGGCTATTGCCGATTTATTATTCATCATATTCTGTGTACCATTCACTGCATGGGATTATGCATTTCCATATTGGCCTTTTGGTAGTGTTTGGTGTAAAGTGGTACAATATCTTATTGTTGTATGTGCATATGCAAGTATCTATACGGTATGTAATTTTTTAAAATAAAAAAATTCAATTTTTCATGTTTCGCTTGCTCGCTTGTCAGTTACGATTAGAAAAAAAAATTCACTCACCAAACACAGTTATATTTCTGTCAGTTTATTCAAATCTAAAAAAATTCATTTTTTTCTGGTTCAACAACAACAACAACAAAAACAACAACAACAACAACAACAACAACATCTTAGTTGTTACAACAAACTATATATACAAGCCTGAAGGAATAAAACTTTTTGTTGTTGTTGTTGTTGTTGTACACAAAAAGTTTTTTCATTATTATCATTTTTACCTTGTTTTACATATTGGTAATCATGTGAATGTGAACAGTGAAAAAATAACGATAAAAACAGAAATGTAATAAGAAATTGCAGTGTACACACACACACACACAGAATAATAATAATTTGGTATTGACTTTTGATTGTATTCTAGCATTCCAACATGAATCAAGAAAAATATGAAGAATTGAATAAATGAAAAGATGATAATCAAATCAAATTCATTTTCGATATATTCTTATCAACAACATAATGATTTTGGGCACAAAAAAAAATATTGTCAAACTTTTCCTGATTTTTTTTTGTTGTTGTTGTTGTTGTCTGGTTATAAACCTAATTCATATGGTACACAAATATGAATTGTTGTCAACCGATTGATCAATTATAACTGTCGTCAACATTATTATTATGATCATTATGTTTTTTGTGTTTCATCATCATCGTCATTTATCATTTGGGAAAACATTTGTTTTTGTTTTCATCAACTTTTCATTGTTTCAAAATCCAGAAATTTTTATTTTTTTATTATAAATCACATGATGATTTTTGTTTTGATTGATGCGTAGGCCGTAGGCTACATCATTTGCCTGTCATCATGTATTTTATTCATTAAAACAAAAAAAAATTAATGAACATCACAAAATGTCAGCCGAACCAACCAATCAACCAATTTCTGTATGTAAAAAACAATTTCTCCTACTAAAGCACAAAAAACAGCATTGGTGCTGATAACGTGTTGATAAAATATTTTATTAAAAATGAGAAAATTCAATTGTGTGTATCAGTGTGTGTTGTCTTTTTATATACAGTTGCTATTTCGCAACTATGACTATTTTAACACCAACCAATCAACCAATTTCAAGTGAACGCCAGTTTTTCTGAAATCTAAATCTAGTTTTGTTTTTCGGTAATGACAAAAGAGAAAAACAAAATCGGACACACATGAATAAATAAAATTGTTGGCGTGTCGAAAAAGTGTCGGGCAATTTGTTTATTGTTCGGTAATTACATTTTCAAGACGATAAAATTTGTTGTCTCTCTCTCTGTGTGTGTGTGTGTGTGTGAAAATAACAAAGACGTTAAACCAAATGTGTGTGTGTGTGTGTGTGTGTTAACACTTTGTGTGCACATTCATTTACATTATAATCATCATTCTTACATATTAGCATCAATCTAATCTAAGAGAAGAAGAAGAAGAAGAAGAAGAAGAAAAAGAAAAGGAATTTTAATTCATTCATTCTGATTCATCTGGGGTTTTCACAATTGATTTTTCCACTCATTTTGTTCACATGAAATTCAATTTTGATAGAGCCAAAAAAAAAAAAAAAAATTCATTCATTCGTCGTTTGTGTAACTGTTGGAGAATTATCATTTTTATTTTTCATCGTTTCAAATTTCATCAATTTCAATTTGCATTCACAAATACAAGTCCGGAATCCAGAATTCAATTTTTTTTTTTTTTTTTTGGTTATTTTCATTTCAACATAGTAATTCAATTGTGGTTTCTTTTCAATTCGCTGCTGTCGTTGTTGTTGTTGTTGTTTGGGCTTTTAAGATTTTAGAATGAAAAAATTTTTTTTTTGTGCAAGTAAAAAAACCAACACACACACACCTACACAGGTGAGAATTGTCCCAGTCTTTATATGGAATGAGCATTAGAATCGAAACGGGAAAAAAAACCGACAACACACGATTCAAGAATGTAAGTAAGAATCAATGTCAAAAAATGACAAATGAACATCTGTGTTTGTGTGTGAATTGATGGTCAAGATTTTTTTTCGATGGATTTTAAAAAAGCGCTGCTTTGACCTTTTTTTGTTGGTTTAATGATGCAAACACATTTATATATAGTGAATGTGTGAGTGAAAAAGAAGCGGCGATAGTGATTTCTTAATGAACATTTTCATCAAAAGAATAAAAACAAACAAACGAAAAAAAAAAAATTCCATCATGAACGGAAATTTAGTTTCCATATCAAAAAACTAAAAAAATAAAAAAAACGGCAACAAACAACCGAAAAAAACCAAATCAAAAAAAAAAAAAAAATCAGGAAAAAACCATCATAGCAATCCATCCGTTTTGTTTGGATGAATATTCATCATCATGGTTGAATGGACAGAATGAATGAATTATCTTAATTAATTTATCAATCAAGCAGCATGAATGAATTTGGAGATATAAAACAAAACAAACCACGAAAAAAAAAAAAAACAAAACAAACAAACAGCAAACAGAATACACACACAAGTTGAATCAAGCGAAATAATGCTGGTATATATAATATAATCATCATGGATACAAAATATGAATTCATCGTTCCCATTGATGATGATGATGATGATGATGATGAGAATGAAATAAAATTTAATGGAAAAATGAAAAAAAAATTTAAAACAAACAGGGTGAATGGTGAATCTCAAATTTCCAAAGAAAAAAAAAAAACAAAAACAAAAATGTTTCATATCAAGTTGAAGCCATAGTTGTTGTTGTTGTTGGTGTTTGCTGGGGTGTTTATTCTTGGTTACAGATGCTTGTACAACTTTCAATTTTCATCAAAAAAAAAAAAAAATAGATAATACGAGTATAAGGAATTTTCAACTTTTTCAATTTTCATTCTGTTTTGCCAAGCTCATTGAAAAATGGTGAAAATCCTCGTTTTCGTTTTGTAAACAAAGAATCCCGTGCATATCGATTACAGGCATTCCAATACATTCAAATTATTTATTGGAACAAATAAAAAAAAACTTTTACAACAACAACAAAAACTCACACACATACACATTGTATTACAAATATATAAACTATATCAGACTAGCAAACAAACATTACAAACATTACAAAGTGGAGAACAAAAAAAAACACATATGCACACATCACCATTACTAGCGATTCTGTTGTTGTTGTTGTTGTTGTTCCATTCTATCATCATTATCTGCCCATTATTATTATTATTATTGCTATTATCATTACAACAATCGATAAATTCTGTATTCTGGGCGCCAATTTATTTTCTACATTTTACACACACACACACACACAGTCAAACAAACACACGCAAGGCCCTCATATCAATAGATTCCATAAAATTCATAGTGTATATTTGTCAATTGTACAATTTCACTAATTTGAAAAAATTGATCCACAGCCGAAAACAGTTTGGCAAACGCTGTAGTGAAGAAAAAAAAATTTTTCATTAGTGCTCATATGTGTAGGTTTTATATATATATTGAAACTTTTTACTATTTTTTTTGTCTTGTTGTTGTTGTTGCAAATGTTGATCTTTCCGCTTGACAACCTTTTGTTGTCGTATCATTTTGCGTTTATTTCATCATAATGATATGGCTATAATAACGATGAAAAAGAAAAGACGAAAATTCTCCATTTCCATTGATGATGATTGAAATAACGAATTTTAAAAGACTAGAAACAAAGTAGGCATGAACGGAAAACCGATCCCATACAGAAAGTAAAAAAAAAAAAAAAAAATAAGAATCACAATCATCATTAGCAGAAAAAGAAAAAGAACTTCAACCATTTCAATGACTGTGAAAATGATGATGATGATGATGATGACGATATGAAATGATAAAAAATCTATTTTTTTTTTTTTTTGGTTTCAACACGGAAACACACAAAAAATCAACTGAAACAGATGGTATTTTTTTTTTTTTTTGCTTTCCTATCGCCAAACATAATTTATTCAAAGAATCTGTACACTGTTTCTCTTGTTTCTTTGTCGATAATTATGTGTGAACGAGAACTGAAAAAAAAAATTTTTTTCAGTTTTTTATTCATGAAAAAAATCACACACACACACACACACACACAGAATATTCTTGGAAAAATTCACTCCAATTTTTTTTCACATAGTGTACACAAAGTTATTTTTTGTTTTAACAATTCATCGTCATGTATATAATTATCAGAATGCAAATTAATTTGAAATTTAATTTTAAGTTTAAAAAAAACTGACTGACTGTTTTCCAAAAGAAACCCAATATAATTACTTGATATTGAAAAAAAAGTTGTTGTTGTTGTTGTATTTACTGGCTGAAAACTCATCATGGTTTTATATAGTTTCAAATTCTTGAACTGATCTACTGAAATATCAGAACGAAAAACAAAATTCATTGAAAACATTCATTTTGTTGATCCATTAAGATGGAAAAAAAATTAGATGATTTATATGGACCATGAATTATCTGGCCACACACAGTTGACATTTTTGAAAAAAAATGACTAAAGATTCGGTCAACAAAGGTCATTGATTTATCCACATAATAATGATTTGTGATACATGTAATTAATTAATGCTAATTAATCAATTTGATCATACATACAGAATTTGAATGCAAAGTTTTGTCGATGGTCATCCTATGTATGATCATGATCATGATGATGATGATTCATCAAAAACGAAAAACAAAAATTCCAACTAATACAAAACCAACCAATCAATATAAATTGAACCTTATCCTCTATTGAAAGTCAAAATTGTAATTATAAAATAATATAATAACAGCAGCAACAACAACAACAAAAATAACTTGTGTATCTCAACTTTTTAGTTACTTACTTACTTTTCTTGGATCTTTTCTGGTTTCTCACAATACTTAAATGCTACATCAACTTGAAACAAAAACAAAAACAAACAGACAAAAAATGGTACCGATTCTTTGATTATTTGTGCACTAATTGTACAAATAAAAACAGAATAAAATAAAACAAACAAGCAAGATAAGATAAGATATTTTCAGCAACAACAACAACAACAACAACTAGAATCGTCATTATATCGTGAAGGAAGAAAGAACTTTTTCGTTTCGGTTTTTTTTTTCTTTTTGTTTATTTTGGAACAACAACAACAACAACAACAAAAAAACCAAAAAACAAAACGGAAAAACAAAATTCCATTCTCATTCATTGTTGATACATCCACCAGCATTTATTGAGAAAAATGAATTGTTCCCTTTTCTTCTCCTTCTTCATACATTTTTATGGTCCAATCAAAAAAAACAAAAAAAAAAAAAACAAAAAAAAACTGTCAAGGCTATTGTTGTACGAATGGCGATGGTAGAATACGATACGATCGATTTTATGAAGTAAAACGTGAATGTAACAACAAAACCTGACTGCTAAATAATGATCATTATCATTAATATTACCCGGTGTTGTAGTGGTCGTTTTCGATTATTTTATTTTTCCTTTCGACACACCCACCTACACACACACAAAGCAAAAGTTTTTTTTTCTTTTTTATTATTTCAACAAACAACGCGTACACACACACACACACAACAATATATAAAGTTGTGTGTGTTTTCAAATAGAATCAAAAATAAAATAACAACAACAACAACAACAACAAAAACTGGTGAGAAAAGAAATTGGATAAGAAAAATAAAATCGAACACACACGGTGCTGATTCTGTTGTTGAATGAATTTGAAATGAAATGAGAAAAAAGTAAAAAAAAAATCACTGAATAAAAAAAAATCAAAGATTCATGGATTCTGTGTGTGTGTGTGTGTATGTATAAAAACAGTAAAGACGACGACGGCGGCGAATAATGAATGATAACAAACGAACCAATAAGAAAAAGAGAATAACTTTCGTTTCCAACGAAAGAGAATGAATTTGGAATTCGTTTTTTTTTTAGTTTTTCAAACTATCTAGATTCTAGAAGGTTTATTTGGTTGGATACAAGTTACACAAGTAGTAGTGTATATATAGTAGCCTCAATTTATCTTGGCCAAGTTTTTTTTATATTCTTTTCTTTGTGAAAAAAAAAAAAATACAAATGAATTTGGTAAACATTTACATTTGGAAAGTTTGTCATTGTTCAATGAAAAATGATATTATGTTGTTATCCTGTACACACACACACACACACACACACACACACACACACACACACACACACACACACCTGAAATTTCCAATTTAATCAGCAAAGAATAAAATGTCAAGTCCGGTTTTTTTTGTCGTTATTTCAACCATTTCCGTTGAATCATTTGGATGAATTTCAAATGATTCACACACACACACACACACACTATTCTCGTTTTTGTGTGAATTCATAAGTGATGATAATAATAGTAATCAGCAGCAGCAGCGGCAGCAGTGGCAGCAGCAGCACACATGAAATGAATACTGATTCATCTCAATATATATATATATAGAAACGCAAAATACAATACAATTTTTCATACACATGAATGATTTGATTTGATGAACTTTAGAGTCATAGAGAGAAAGAGAGAGAGAGAGAGAGAGAAAAAAAATCAAAATCAAATGGGAGGTGTACATACTGCATATATATATATACCGTTTAATTGAATAAAAGTTTCAATCACACCCACATGTATATTTGCAACAACAGAAAAAAAATGATAATGGAAATTTTGAAAAGAAAAATTTTCCATTCGCCAACTTTCTCTCTCTTTTTCATGATCGAAAGATGATCATGATGATCAGAATGATGATCAGGAGGATGATGATGATGATGATGAAACAAAAACCAATTTCAAAGTGAGCAAAGAGTTTTTTTTTCTCTCTTCAGAGAGATATTATTATAATCATTAAATCTCTGAAGAGAATATCAATCTTTTTGTTTTCTATGGTCGTCCATTGAATTTCGTTTCTTTTTTTTATTCTCTTCGTTGTTCGTCGAATAACAATTGATGATAGAAAAGAAACACACACGATCATTATCGATAGATATTTGAATAGATATTTTAAAATGAATTTAAAAATTCAACAACAGAAAAAAAACATATTTGAATAATAATGAACGAAAGAAAAAAAAAAAAATTCTTGTGCAATTCTGAGAATGAAGAAAAAAAGCAATCCATAATTTAATCATTGCATTATTGAATATTCTTATGATGGATGATGATGACGAGCCAAATTTCACAGAATGTAACTACTTTTTTCAATGGAAAAAAAATTACAACAACAACAATGGATACCGGATATCGATTTTTACGCATACGTATACGATACGATTCCTTATATTGGCTGCATCATCATTGTACATGGTTCTTATTTTCATTTTCATTTTCATTTTTTTTCTGGCCAGAAATTGGTTTTTGTGCTGGTTGATTCACACACACACACACACACACACACACGGCTCGATAAAGCAATATGATACATACACAAATAATAAAAAGCTCTTAATTAAATTTTCCAGGGTCCCATTTTTATTTTCATTTTTATTTTTTCGTTGTCGTTGTTGTTGTAATAATAACGGAAATTGTATCTACACACACACACACACACACACACACACGTATATATTGACGCCCGAAAAAAAAAAAATGATGATGATGATGATGATGAAAAGATGATGAAATGAAAATCAAAAAAAAAAAAAAAAATATAGAGTAAGGCGAAAAAAAACCAATGTTTCATGCTGACAAATCCTAAAAATGAAACATTGTTCCATTTGTTGTTGTTGTTGTCGTTGTATCAGGTTTCAACACACACACAGACATTCATTCGTTTTCATCAAATCTATCCCTTGATCACTACATACATACATTGACGACCATAATCGACCTCGATGTGTAATAATGATACATATCAACGATAAAATGTTTGCCCAAAAAAAAAAAAAAAAAAAATAATAACCCACACACACAGACACGGACATTTTATGATCATAATGATGATAATGATGACGACGATGAGTATAGAAATTGATCATTGATTCATATCGTTATGAATGAAATGAATGAACAAACAGAAAGAAACAAGAATCGAAAAAAAAAAAAAAAAAAAAAATTCAATTTAGTTTCCAGAATATGAATCGATGATAATAACAATAATTTAATGTTTACACACACACAAATATGACATGTGTATCCATTTTTATGACTTGATAATAATAATAATCACGATGATGAAAAATAAAATATTCATAAAAACCATAACCATTCCATTTTAAATGTCAAATTATAGTGAGGGTGGGGGTGGTGGTAGGGCAAAAAAAAGTGTTATTTTCATGAATAATTGATTGATTGTTACTGAAACAAATATGAAAAAAAAATTCTTTATTTCATTTTCTTTCTTTTTTTTTCTTTTTTTCTAATTTTCCAAATATATACATATATATATATAGCTTGTATTAATGTCATTGGATCGTTATTTGGCCGTAGCTCATCCAATTCGTTCAATATCATTACGTACGGTGAAGAATGCAAATCGTGCCATATTGATATTATGGATATTCATATTATTATTCTGTATACCAACATTTATTACACATAATGTATCATATGATAATAGTTCTGATGGTGTTTATTCTGTTTGTAATTTTTTAACAGAAGAATATAGTTATGCATTGTATCAGGTTATATTCTGTTTATTTAGTTATGTAATACCGATATTATTGATATTAATATTGTATATATTGATGTTAAAACGGTTATGGTTTAGCGGTATACCTGGCCGTAATATGAGTAGTGAATCGGTTAGATCGAAAAAAAAAGTCACACGTATGGTTGTCATTGTTGTCATCATATTTGCTTGCTGTTGGTGTCCAATACAGATTATACTTGTATTGCGTAGTTTCAATGTATATGAATTATCCACAACAAAAGTGATCATACAGATCACTGGACAAGTATTAGGTAAGTAGTAAAATTTTAATTTCAATTTTTGCATTTTTGATTTTGTTTCTTTTCGGCAATTTTCAATCAATTCACGAATTTATTCGTTGTGTTGCAAAAAAATTCTTTTTTTTTGTTGTTTGAACTTATTTTTTTTTGGTCATGAACCAGTCAGTTCATCCGATTATCATGATGACAACAAGACTATTAATCACATTATATATCAAAAATACAAATATTGACATCATCATGAAAACAAACTAGCCAGAATATAATGGCTTTTATTCTGAGAAAACAACAGCGACAACAACAACAATGAATCCGGCACAAGAAACGTTTTCAGTACGATATACGGTCAAGTCAAGTCAAATTGGCCGAACCAAAATTCAATGGTGAATGACGAAGATGATCGATTATTATTATTTATTATTGTCCGTCCGTCAGTCCATGAAAGAAACAACCAGAAAGTTAGCGAGAGAGAGAGAGAGAGAGAGAATGGAAAAAAAAAAAAAATTTCATTCGCAAAGTTTCAAAACATTTATCAAGAAAGAAAAAAAAAGAATGAAAAAAACTATTAGAAAAATATAAATAGAGTTTCCCGTTCGTCTTTCACTCTCTTTTTTTTATAAATAAAATTGAATCGATTCTACCATCAAATACACACACATAGTGCATAACATCCGTTTTTTCACACACACACACACACACACTGAGTTAGTTGAATCGAAAATTACCCAATTTACTCTTAAATTGATCTATTTCATTATAAATTAAATAGACTAAAAAAACTTTCAATATCAACAATCAAAATGACCAAAAGGGATCACACACACACACACACACACACACACACACACATTCATCATTACACAAACATTAAGCAAAGAGCAATAGAGATAGATAGATAGATAGATTAACCAATTTATCCTTTAATTTTCTGGATAAAAAAAAAACAAAAAAAAAAAAAAAAGAAATGAAAACCGATTCAATTCTACACACACACACACAGAGACATACAAATGTTGTTGAATGCAAATGGGCAATGTATTTTATATCTGTTTTATTGTTAATGTTAATTCAGGCAGAAATTCTTTCACATAGCCAAGTGAATGAATGAATGAATGAATGAACTTGAATGGCCGATGGATGGATAGAAAGAAGATGGATTTTTATTTTTATTTGTGGACAAAGTTTCCATTTGTTTGTCATTGTCAATGTGAATTGTGTCGACAACAGATATATTTCCAATTCATTCAATTGTATAATCAATTGTATCATCATCATCATCATCATCAGCATAATTAATCGATTTAATATAAATGATGATGATGATGATGATGAGGATGCTTTTTTTTATTTATATTTGATTCAATTTCCCATAAACATTTACATTCACGTTTGTATTTGATATATAACCAAATATCTGTCTATCTATCTATCTATCTGTTTGTCTGTTTGTTTGTTTGTTTGTTTGTTTCGAAATTCAATGAATTCATTCAACCGCAAATCATCATCATCATCATAGTAGTCGTCGTTTTTTTTATTATGTCAAGTGCGCTCAAATAAAATCACCAATAATACAGGATTAAGCTGGATATATCGGAATATTCTGTTTTGTCACAAACAAATAAAAAAAGAGAAGAAAAATAGGAAAAAAAACGATTGAGCTTTAAATAGAATTCTTTTTTTTTGTTCCCAGAATGGAATTTTTTTTCTTCTTTTTTTTACATTCAAATTAAAACAAAAAAATTTTATCATAGTTCCCACGAAAGAAAAATTAGAAAAAACAACAAAAAGAAGAAGAAAAAAAAACACAGAATTGGACCGGAAATCATTTGTGACAATTTATGGCTACCATTCTATCCACTTTGCCCTGCGCGCACATCAAAACATTATTCCAATGTGTCAAGTTAGTCATTTGGAATTTTTATAGGATTTTTTTTTCTCTTTTTTGGCCGGAAATTCACAACGACAAAAACAATAAAAATTGATCTGTACCGAATGTTGATGATGTTGTTGTCTAATGATTGGTTAATCAAATGTAACTGTCAAATTCATGTGTTGAATCTATCCATCTATCTATACAGTCATTTGTCGAATAAAAAAAAATGATGATTACAACAGCAGCAACGACAACAACAACAAATGTTTAATTACGTCATCATCAAACATGATGACGAAAAAAATCAAAATCAAAATCCAAAATCCATAGTGAATTGAATTGGATTTGCCGTAAATTTTTTTCATTTTTTGCTTGTATATATTGAATATATAGTTGTATATTAGATTGATTGAAATATCAAATACAAAAGCATTTGTTTTGTGTTCAATTCCGTGTGTTTTTTTTGTTCATTCTGATCACTAATTCTCCTTTTTTTTCTCTTTTTTTCCCTTTCCTGATACTTTCAATTTTATCCAACAACAACAACAACAACAACAACAACGACATAAATATAGCTTATATGAACAGCTGTATGAATCCGATTTTGTAAGTGTTTGAAATCTTTTTTTTTCATTCTTTTTCTGAGTACAGTACACACACACACGCACACAGTGAAACACCGAGAGAAATTCCATTGAAAATGGAAACAAACAAAAAATAAAACAAAATATTTTTGACTCGTATTGCAATTGAAAAAGATTAAATTTTTTTGGGCAGGAAACATGAGGATTTTTCATTCGAATGAAATGAAAAAAAAACGTAAAACAAAAACAAAAACCATAGAACAGAATAGAATACATATATATTGAATGAAGAAAAAAAAAGCAAAAAAAAAAATTCTTCATTCGTTCATTCATCCATTCAATCAATCATCATCATTTTACCATTCATAGAAAAAATGAGATGAAAAAAAGTGAGAATTTTTTTTTCATTCTTTTTTCTTTGAAATATAAAAAAATTTCATTTGCAGGAAAAAAGAGAAATAAAAACTTTATATTATATAATATTGAAAGCTTTCAAATCATCAGCAGTAAATCACATATATTTTTTATTTCTATAGATAAGATGATTATTTTACACACACACAAAATCAGTTGTGAAATATCGTCAAAAATCTTGGGAAAAAAAAGATTAATTAATAAATCTTAACATTGTTATATAATTAACTAAAACAAAAGTAGTGGTAGTAGTCAAAACAAAACACTAAACTTTTTTTTGATTATCATCATTATATTCTATATGTTTCACTAATTCTCATGTGTCGTTTTTTTTTCGTTGAAATTTTTTTTTTTTTGGATCATTTTCGTTTGATGGACGATGGTATTAAAACAACCAAAATACCATGGTATTGGAAACCATATTGTTCAGATATGCATTTTTATCGGAAAATTTTCGTAAAGCATTTCGTCGTGTAATATCTTGTAATAGACAACCGAAAAGAAATTCTGAACAAACAGAATTGACCATTGGTATGTGTCAAAATAAGAATATGAATGTTGCAAAAATGTTGAATATAGATAATAATAATATGATGATTATCAATAACAACAATAATAATGCTACTACTACTAAAACTAATGATGATGATAATGATGATGATGTCAATAACAATCAAAATCAAAACAATGTTTAATTTGAATATTTTTTTCTTCTTCTCATTATTCATCGATCTATTAATCGACAAAATCTCAACAAAAAAAAAAAAAAAAACAAAACAAAACAAAAATGTAAATCAATCGCTTGCTCATTGATCATCATTGATCATCATTTTATTATCACCAAATACATCGATGGCCATATAATCAATTATATCAACCAAAAAACATTGAATCAGCTAATTGAATAACAAAATAGTCAACCAAATATATAGTAATATGTAAATTGTAAATAAAATGATGATGATGAAAAAAAAAACAAAATTGAATTTGTATACCAATGCTGACAGTTGCAGATTGTAAAAATGTCAGTCACATTCACAATAATAATAACATATATAAATGAATGAATGATGATGATGCAAAAAAAATGTTATAATTAACCACACACACACACACACACACACCCATCACATCCACTAACAAGCACCCATCATTTACCTGAATTCTCATTAACCTAAAAAAAAAAAAAAAATAATTCTGAATCGTTAATTGTTAATTTATTGTCATTATTTTTTAAAACAAAAGAGCTGGATAAAAAAAATGAAATATTTTAAATTGAAAACAAAAAAAAATTTCATTATTTCTATTTCTATTTCTACACCAACACACACACACACACAGTCAAAATGGAAACCTCAACAACAGCAACAGCTAACATCAGATTAAAAACAACGAAAAAAAAATGTTAATTACCAGAAAAAAAAATCATTTTTATTTTGATTATAATGACGATGATGATGATGATGATGATGTGAAATTCATTTTGGGAATAAAAAATAAATTTTCAATTAAAAATTAAATGCTGCTGCTGCTGCTGCTGATAATGATGATGATGATGTTTTTTTTCTTGTTCCACGAATAATTAAAAAAAAAAATCTGACCGCAAGGAATAAAAAACAAATTATGTCGATGATTGGCCATGATGATGATGATGATGAACTTGAATGTAAAATGTAAGCGGAAAAAAGTTTTTTTGTATGTGTTAAAAGTCATTTGCATAATTTTTATTATCATGAATTTTTTTTCTGCATTCTTTATCATCATCATCATAATCACGAATAGAAACGATTCACAAATTATATATGATAAGTATATATGTAGCAATGAAACACGCGTACAGTCAGTATGCATCACTGGCTCATATTGTTGTTGTTGTTGTTGTTTTGCTAATGGGCCATTCTTTTTTAGCGTTTTTTTTTCTCTGTTGTTGACATTTAGTGTCTAATGATCATGAGATAATGACCACAATTTATTAATTTTTTTTTTGGCCTTCTTGTATTTAATGATGATGATGAATATTTATCATTATTATTCATAAACCAGCCAACTAATATAAATATATAATATAGAAAGTAAACAACAAACTTTCTTCAAAAATAATAATAAAATGAAAAGAAAATAGCATTAACAGCATCTGTGTGGAAATAGCCTTTTTTGTTGTTGTTGTTGTTGTTGATAAGCTCCATCATCAACAAAAAATTTAATAACATGATTATCTGTCACCATCATCATCATCAATGACAATAATGCAAAAGTGTCTGTGGTCAGATATGACCGTTATCAAGAAGTGGGGGGTTGGAGAAAAAAATTTATTTGTAGTTGGTCATTATGTGGTCATTGAATTATCGAATGTGATGCAAAAAGAAGAAAAGAAGAAGAAAGTTGATAATAAAATATATCAAGATGATGATAACGAAACAGAAAAAAAATAAATTATCGTCCACAGCACACACACACACTGACATATATCATAGATTCTCATTTGAATTCAGTAAAAAAAAAATGAAAAAGTAATTCAAGCAAGAATATTCTGTACCATGTTTTTTTTCATCATTATATTACTATAAATGCAAATCATATGAATAGAATAAACAAAACAAAAAAAAAAAAATTCATTCATTCATTCAATGAATCGAATACAATGTTTTCATTCAGAATTCTCTATAGAATAAATGAAATGAAATGAAGTGAAATGAATGAATGAAGAAAAATAATGGCCATCTAGACGGTGTCATCATCATGTAATATTCATTGTTTATGTTTCTGGTGACAAATTTAAATTTGATCATCATCATCATCATCATGATCATATATCATGCAAAATAGAGTAGAAGAAAGATCATAGAGTAGTATATTGTGATGATAGTAGCCCTGGAGGGAAACTATGTATGTATGTATTTTTGGGTGCAATGAAAAAAAAACAAACAAAAGAGCACTTGGAAACTTGATATTGAAAAAAAAAAAAAAAGAACTGGATTCAATTAAAATGTCCGTTAAGTGCTGTGCTATCTGTATACTGATGATGAGATCGATGATGATGAAGCTGCAAATGCTGGTCAAGAGAGGCTTTTTTTTATTCCAAGAACAAAAAAAAAAAATCCCAATGTCCAAATATAACTCAAGCAACAAAAATGAATCTGGTCATGGATAATAATAATAATAATAATTATAATGGATATTGAATCGATCGATGAATATATAGATAGATTATATCATCAATAATAATCCAAGCTGAATAAACACAACACAACACAGCAAAGCAAAGCAAAGCAAAAAAACCAATCATCATCATCATCACTGTATTTAATGTGCATGTGGTGTTCGATACTTTGTGATCAATAACAATGAATATTATCATCATCATCATCATCATCGATTTTTTTTTCGTTTGATGATAAATGGAAAAAATAATAATAATATAAAAAATGGCATTCAAAATGATTGAATTTTGTGGATTGAATTTTTTTTTTTCATCAGCCTTTTTATAGTTATTATCATCAAACAAAATAATGTCCCGAATTCCCAAATCAATAAATGTGTCCATAAATGTCCAATGGGACCTGTATGAATGTTATCTTTTACCATTAATTTTTATGAATAGATGAATGGATTACCATCAACACACACACACTGGAGCCAAAATTAATCACATTTTTTTTTGTTTTGTTTTGTTTTGTTTGCTGGAATATCCAGATTTATCTTTTAGATTCATATTTTTTTTTATCAGTTGATTATTATTATTATTATTTTTTGTTGAATATTCATAAAATTTGTTGATTATCAGGATTTATATATATTTTCTGGTGTAAATTGAATCGATCGATGTTTTTTTTGTTGTTGTTGTTGTTCATAAACACCAAGAAATGGAATTAAATAGCAAATAAGATGCGTGCGTGTTTGTGTGTGTTGTGTGTGTGTGTGTGTGTGTGTGTGTGTGAATAGATTAAACACAAACAGAAAGATCTCTACACACACACACACAAAAAAACCAACCATCATTTCTACATCTAAAGCTTAGTGATAATAATATAAGATGTAACGATAAACGAATAATAACATGCAACAACGATGATAATGATGATTGAGAAACAAACAGACAATCAACTAAAATGAGTATATCAAAAAAAAAGAATGAAAAAAATGAATTCGTGTATTGTGTGTGTGTGTGTGTGTGTGTTGTTGTTGTTGTTGGTTAGTTGTAGTTAAAGTTTAGTTCCAATATAGATTTAGTTTTTTGTGTGTGTGTGTGTTTGCGTTCGGTATTCGTGTGTGTGTGTGTGTATGATATATTGGCAAAAAAAAAGTTTCAATATTCTTTTCATCATCATCATCATCATTACCACCAATCCACCAAATGTTGTGCCGTATCATTTTTCAAATAATTTTCATACATTTTCCAATATAAACGTTCCAAATTTTTTGTATAAATTTTAACATTAAACAGCGGGGATTCGGTACGTGCCGTCCATACTTTTGCACGAATTGCTTTTAAACTATGAAAAAAAAATGAAATGAAATGAAAATTTTAATATTTTTGAAACAAAATTAAAAAAAAAAAAACAATGATGATGAATAAATTCATACATAGCAGAAAAAAATTCATTATTACTATACTTACTAATCACGATCATTTCCAAGACGAGCTGCAATATTTTCATAATCATCATAGGATTTGGCAATCAATTCCGGCACACCTAAACAGGTAAGCTGTGATGATGCTACACGTGATGCTAATGTTTCACCTGGTAATGTAACCATTGGTGTGCCGGCCCATAATACATCCATACCGGTTGTATGGCCATTACATAATGGTGTATCCAAACAAATATCAACCAATTGTCCACGACGTACATGTTCTTCTTTAGCAGCAACATTTGAAAATACAATACGTCCAGGTGGTAAGCCATAATTTTGTGCAATAGAATGTACATTTGCTTCACCTGCTGCCGGAAATCGTAACAACCATAGGACACTTTTTGGTACTCGTTTTAAAATCTGGAAATGAATAAACCAATTGTAAAAAATTATTTTGAAAAAAATAAATATGAAAACCTACATTAATCCAACATTTCAATGTTTTTGGATCAATTTTATAAAGTTGATTAAAATTACAATAAACAATTGCATCTTCTGGTAGGCCATATTGTTGTCGTGTTGTCACCAGTATAGCTGTTGGTGCTTCTTCGCCTATTTAAAAATTTAATTTAATTAAAAAAAAGTGAAAAAAAAATTCAACTCATCTTACCAGTAGCAGCCTTATTATTCATTTGTGTGGTGGCCAAACCATTCTGTACGACCAAACCATTGACCGATGTTTGAACATGGCCATTACTGATCATTGCTTGTACTACTTGTGTAGCCGGTAATTCTACTACGGTTTTTACTACTTCAACTTTTTCCGTTTGTGATGATAAAACAATATTTAAACCATGACCATTATTATTCATAGCCAAACTACTGTTTGAATGTTCATTATTATTAGCCGAAATCGATGGTGATGTTGTCACTACGGCAACTTCACGAATTTTTTTCACTTCAGCTTTTTCAATAATTGGTGATAAATCAGTTGCATTTACAATGGATACAGTATCCGGCAGACTTGTTGGTATATTTTTACGATCAGAAATTTCATTTGGATCCATTGATAATGGTGATGATTTATCCATCAAGATGACACGTTCAATCAAATGTGGAAACATTTGTTTATGATCTCCAACGAAAAATGTATCGGGCATATAAGCCAATTTTTCTGAATATTGATCAGCAATTTCATATGGTGATGTAACACGATCAGTAATGATATAATCAATGAATGATGCACCACTTGTACCCGGATAGCCAAGCCACATAACCTGAATTGGTGCTGGTTTTAAAGCGAAAATTTCATTTCTTGCACCTTTTGTATAGCCATTCATATTGACTAGTATATGTATACCATCGGCATGTATACGATCAGCTGCTTTACCATTACATACAACAGAACTTAGATCAATAAAATGATCACTTTCACCTTCCACTTTTGACCGGAAAGTAGTTCCATCATCTGGTGATAATGCATAACAATAGATTTCAACCAAATTTCGGTCATGCATTCCAGGTACTGATTGCATCAAATGTGATGTAGGATGATTACCAAAATCGGAACTAACATAGCCAATTTTCAATCGTTTAACACCATGTTCTTTTGGAAACGTATATGGTAATTTATGTAGGAATTTGTATTTTTTCAAAACATAATGCTGCATGACGTGCAGCAATTGCTCGTCGTTGTTGATGTGATAATGGATACAACATTGAATGATGTGGATGAACCGATGGCAGACGATTCTTTTCCAATTGATCAGCCACAATCGATACCAATTTATGCATACGAACATCATAATCAGTCCAATCACAAATAATTTGTAAACAATGCGATAGATTACAATAGGCATCCGGGAAATCTGGTTTTAATTTCAATGCAGTACGATATGATGCAATAGCTTCCGGTATATTACCAGAATCTTTATGTATGGATGCTAGATTGGAATGTGCATCAGCGAATGCCGGATTAATCTGTATAGCTCGTGTATAGCATTGTAATGCATTCGATATATCGCCCATCTCTTTCAATGTATTTCCCATATTTGAATAAGCATCGGCAAATGTTGGTGATATTCGTATAGCATCTTTATAATGTTGCAATGCTTCATGAAGTTTACCTTGTTGCTGTAATACGGATGCTAGATTTGAATGTGCAGCAGCAAATTCCGGAAATACTTCCAATGCTTTCAGATATAAACGTGTAGCTTCTTCAATAAAGCCTTGTTCACGTTTAATATTGGCCAAATTATTCAATGAATCAGCATGTGTTGGACTAAGTCGTAATGCTGTATTGTAACAATCTTCTGCTTCGGTTACTTGTCCTTTTTCTTTCAATGCATTTGCCAGATTACAATAGGCATCGGGAAAATTCGGTTGCAATTCGATAGCACGTCTATATGTATCGATCGATAGATCAATCAATCCTTGTTCATAATAAACACAGGCCAAATTTCCATGTACGATTGCATTATTTGGACTTAGATTTAATGCCCGTAGATAAGCAGCAACGGCACGATCAAAGATTCTTGCCTCTTTCAACACATTACCCAGATTAATATAGGCATCCAAAAAATTCGGATCCAATGATACAGCCTTTTCAAAATGATGTATAGCAAGCCATATTTCACCTTGTGCATTAAATACACAACCAAGATTACTCCATGCAACGGCAAACGTAGGACATGTTTCGATTGCTTTCAAATAGCAAGCCTTTATCATTTGGGATTAAATGTAAATGGAAATTCAAATAAAAACCAAAAAAACAAACAAAAATGCAAACATTAGTTTTTAAATCAATTGATCGATGCAAGGTTATAATGAATGGGTTAAAAAAAATTTCAAATAAAAAATAACACTTGGCCAGATAAAATCTTTGATATATAGAGCTAATTTAGCGCTAAAATTGCTGCCGCGCGCAATTATTATTTGGTCGCGCGCAATCAATGTGTGCCGCATGTTTGCATTATTTCATTAAGCTGCTGCTGCTGATGATGCCGCCGCCGCAAAAAAAGAAAATGCACGCAAAAAAAAATGCTTGCTGCCGCCGCCGCTGCTGCTGCATTTTTCGCATAATTATCGCCTGAACGCTCAAGATTTTTCTGGCCAACAGTGTTTTAAAAAAAGAAATTAAAATAAAATCCTTTTCAATGATCTCTCTTTTTTTTGAGGGTTTTTGTCGATCTAAAAAAAAATTTCTATCAATGGCTAATATATTTTATCATATTTAAAATCCCTAGACAAAATTGTTTTGGAAAAAAATTGCTAAACTTACATATAATAATGGAAAATAATTCTGATATAAAAAAATTGAATACAAAAAAACCCTTTTTTTGAAGAGAGATCATTTCAAGGATTATTTTCTTTGATTTTGGTATTTTTTTTCATTGATTTTTTCATTCAATGGTTTACGCATATGATTGACGCCGTTTGATTAACGCCATCATCGATTGGTCAGCGGTCATTACCAGGAAATAAACTGGAAAATTTTCATTAAAATCCGGTACTTCATCATCATCATCATCATTCGAATCGAATAATATCTTCAGGTTCATTCCGATAATAATAATAATAATACGATTTAATTACGTCGATGCGTATGTAGACGACCATTTTTATGCTCCAGAATCGTGGATCAGTTCATTTATGTTGTAAAACACCAGAGAGAGATATTGTGACACCCAAATATTAGACACATTACCTGTATGTACGCTGTAATTTTTGTATGTTTGTGAACACATTTCACATTTATCACAATCACAGTTTTCAGTCATCATTAAGTATAAATATATATATATATCAGTCATCATTGAGAGTATATATGTGTGATTCACAATTTAACTGTTTTTTTTTCTTTAAAAATCTTTTTTTTTTCTTTTAACTGGCTGTATAAGCAGATAGATTGATAAACTGTGTGAATGCGTGTGTTTAATCACATAAAAAAAACCGAACAGAAGAAAAGAAAGAAAGAAGAAATCATTGATTAATATAACTTGAACATAGAATTTCAAACGGTTTTTCATAGCTTTTAAAAAATCAAAGTCTGAGTTTTGTGTGTGTGTGTGTGTATGAAACAAATCATATAGCCTGACTAAAGTTACTAGACCCTATTACTCAAATCTTATTTATCATTAGAAATTCTTCAGAAAAAAAGAATATTCTGAAATCTAAACTGCCTATAATTCTCTAAGCTAATCTTTTTTGCTCTCTCTCTCTCTCTCACCTGGTTATTGATTTATCATCATCATCATCATTTCTAAATTACCTAATCATCATGATATATAAGAATTTAAAATACAAACACAAGTATATATACGTTTAAGATAGATTCACTTGATGAGTGAGTTTGATAGCTGTGAAGAGAAACAACCAACAGATTACCCACACACACACACATACAGCTTTGCATAAGAACAACAAAAAAAAAAATGCAGCGCGCCATATTTATTGTTCAAATTTTAAAAACACACAATTCACGCAGCATGATACGCGATGACGCCACTTGTTTGTGTGTGTGCATATAAATTTTTTCTAAAAACACTAAACACATTCACACTGCTGCTGCTGATGCTGCTGCTTTAGCAGAAAAACGCAAATTAAAATCGCAAGTCATCATCATCAGTTCTAAAGTTTAAGGAAGGGAGGAAAAGGATAAATAGCAGTAAATTATTGCTTCTTCCTGGCATATATAAGACACATAAATCAGGAACAACATTAAACATATTCACCCCTAAAAACAATTGAAAATTTGATTCATCATCGCCGTGAGAGAAAAGTATAATAATCAATTGATTTTGCTTGTTGGTTGTTGTCTTCAATCAAGTGAATCATTGTAAAATTTTTTTTCACCAAAAAAAATTCGAAATATAAAAATTGCACATGCAAGCATACATTCAAGACAATGGAAAAGGAATTATTGGTTATCATCATGCATAAAAAAAGGGAATATTGGTCATGAAGGAAAGTCATGGTGTGTTTGGATTGGGATTAAGGTTCAACACACACATGCATACATGCAAAATACATTGATGGTGATGATGGTTAGGTTGATTGTGATTAAAGGAGAAAAATGGATGGGATTTTAAAATTAAAAAAAGCATGCAGCAAAAAATTTTTTGAATTAAATCCAATCGAATCGAATCGAATCGATTGGATTTTCGTGATGATCATTCCTAATGTTTTACCTTTGCCTCGTCCAGGCGATTCAATGCTTTTAGTAAATTTCCCAGATCGCTACGTACACAGTAAAGATCCTGGAATAGATAGAAAAATAGATTAATCAATCAATCAAATGTATGATGAGAATTAAACATACTGGATTGTATTGTAATGCTGACACATATGCTTGTACGGCTTGTTCCATTTCACCAACAGTGACTAATGCAGCGGCAAGATTAATATATCCATCAATAAAATCTGGTTTCAAACGTACAGCTGTACGATAATTATCCAATGCTTCTTTCAATTGATGTCGTTGTTTATAAACATTGCCCAAATTAGAATATGCTTCAGCTAATAATGGATTCTGTTTGATGGCTAAATTACTGAATGTAGCCGATCTGTAAGGAAAAAAAACCAAAATTGACAAAATGAATAAATTCGAATTCGAATCAACAACGTGAAACTTACTTATCGAAATTTTGACATTGAAAATGTATTGAACTTAGTAATAATAAAACTCCGGTATTTGTCGTATCTTGGCGCCATAATTGCATACAATGACGTTCAGCATTTTCATAATCGCCTGTCTGATATTCACGATGGCATAGATCGGCCAAACCTAATTTATTAATAACGAATGTAAATAGAATCAGATCAGATTGATTGAAAAAAATAGACAAACAAAACTTACTTTGAAATGCTGCCGCCATCGAACTATTGTTATTCATTCTGATGTTGATGTTGTTGTTATCAGAGTTCGTCGCAGCGAAGAAGTGTTTTTTTTGTTGAAATTTTTAATCGATTGACCAACAAAAAAAAAGATGATGATGTTTTTTTGTTGTCGAAATAACTGATAAAAAAAATTGATGATTTCAGAGACAATTAAAAAAATGTAACCACCATCATCATCATCATCATCGAACGAAAACGATGATTATTCAAGAAAAACGAGAAATGCAAAAAAAAAATCAACGCTATTGCCGTCACCATAGAGAGAGAGAGAGAGAGAGAGAGAGAGAGGGAAAAAAGAGGGGAGGATAGTGTGTGAGGGTGAGAAAAGTTGAAATAGTTTTTTTTTTTTTGCTCTAACATCCGTTTATGCTTCTACTTTTCAGCACCTTTTTTTTATATATCAATAATAATACAGTGTATTTACGATAATAAAATGAAATAAAAATAAAAATTCTTCACAATAAGGTTCACATCGTCGTATTTCGGTGTTACAAAAAACCACAATATATATTTCAGATATCTCTAATTGATAGATTTTAACAAAATCTAATAATCAAGCAGTAACACACAATTTGTAATTGTATTCGTTGATAGACAGATAGTGTGTTTACACTGTATATATTTTTATATATTGAGAACATCAGTACGTCTCTTTCTCTATCGCCATTAGCTACAATACACATTATCACAGGTTAATCAAGTTTGGCTACATAGTTTGTATATATATATGGAATACGCATGTTCGAAAATCAATATAGAACGGGTGGATACAATTTCTAATGATGAAGATAATGATGACGATAATGATGATGATGATGGATCTTGCACTGGGGAAAAAAAAGGGAACTATTATTTTTGTTAATCATGCGCAATTCACCTTTATAATGTAATCACAAACAGCACCATCTATTGTAAATGTTTTATTACAATTATCATCAAAGTTTTAATTGAAAAGAATAAAAAATTATAATTATTCAACATCAGAATGTTTGCTTTTTATATGAATATTAAGAATATGTTTAACGCGAAATTTATCATTACAATGTGAACATTGATATGGCCGTTCACCAGTATGTATACGACGATGGCTGGTCAGATTAGAGCTCTGAGTAAAGGTCGCATTACAATGTGAACATTTATATGGCCGTTCACCAGTATGTATAAGACAATGGCGGATTAGATTAGAGTTCTGAGTAAAGGTCGCATTACAATGTGAACATTTATATGGCCGTTCACCAGTATGTATACGACGATGGCAGATCAGATTAGAGTTATCAGTAAAGGTCGCATCACACTCTTGACATTTGAAAGGCCGTTCATTTGTATGTATACGACGATGTATGATGAGTTTTGATTTAAATTTGAATCGATTACCACAAAACGAACACAGATATTTATTACCAGGTTGATGTGTTTTCAAATGATTATCAAGATTACGCGATGTATCAAATCCAAATGAACATTTTGGACAAGGAAATTGCTTAAATTTGAATTTTGTTGTTCCGAAAGATTTTGAATTATATTCATATCATCGTCGTCAATTTCATCATTTGGATTGTCATAATTGATGGTGATAAGAGAATCTTGAGGATTGGTGCATAAATCACGTGTCTCTTTCGATGACGAAGTGGTTGATTGATCCAAAAATTCTAGCGTGTTGTCATCGCCGTTATCAATATGGAAATAATCGTGATCGAAAAACAAAACATTCGATCGATTTGGACAAGGAAATTTCTTATTTTTAGTCAAATTCTTTGTGATTAAATTTTCGTTTGATGATGATGAATTTTGTTGTTCCGAATGATTTTGAATTATATTCATATCATCGTCGTCAATTTCATCATTTGGATTGTCATAACTGATGGTGATAACTGAATCTTTAGGATTGATGCATAAATCACGTGTCTCTTTCGATGACGAAATGGTTGATTGATCCACAAATTCTAGCGTGTTGTCATCGCCGTTATCAATATGGAAATAATCGTGATCGAAAGACAAAACATTCGATCGAGCCGGCGTTTGTTCAACTTGTTGACAATCGAATGGTTGCTGTTGTTGCCGAATGGAATTCATAATCAACGATTCGATATGTTCCGAGATGGAATCAAATTTCGATTCAACATTATCAAAAAGTTTTTCTAATTCATCCATTTCGATGTGAATCATTGGATAATGGTCGTTATGATGATCATTAGATTCGGATGTCTAAAAATGAATCGAATACAAATTACAATCAAAATAATTGAAAAATGACAAATTTTACCTGATGATGATAATTGTTTCCATTCATATTTGATAGTTTTGCCGATCTATTGTATTGTTGTTGATATTCACCAAGATTTTCGCGATCTAGAGATGATGATGTAGCCGGTACAATCATGGTTATTGTAATTCAATCGACAAAAAAAAAACACCATACTGAAACCACATGTTATATATAAATAAAGTAGAAAGACTCAATTTACTGCCATCTATCGGGTAATAAAAATTACAATTGTTTTAAAATTTTTATTTTGATTTATTTATTTTCAACAATTCTTAATGATAATTTTTTCGCAATAAAATCATTCAACAATTGTTTACAATGGCCAATTGATTCATTCAATTTAGTCTTTATATCCAATTTAGCCTGATCATCTTTGGTGGCAATAAATTGCAGTACATAATCTTGACATTGTTTCATTAGCTGATAAATTTCATCATTAGTATCTTTTTGTAGAAATTGTAGAATTTGTGGCACAAATTTTCCACTTGCATGTAACATATGATGATGAACCATTTGAAATACAAGCAATACAAGAATATGTAAACAAAGAATAGAATCTTGACATTCATTCAATTGTAACAAAAGTGATTGTTGATGTTCGGACAATATTGATTTCTCTTTTTTTGAATCAATTTTTTTGATCATCATATCAATTTTAACGGCACATTCGTCTAATTCACCGATGAAAGTTTTCACTTCATTTGAATTCAGTGAATCATTTAGTTTGAGAAAATCATTTTTAAATTCCACATCAAGTTTATTGATAATTTTCGTACGAGCTTCATGTGAAATATTTTCCGATAACAATTCTTCATTGAAAAATGAAATCAATTCATTGGCAATATCTGTTGCCAATGTTCGTAATAAATGTTTATTCAATCTGGATTGTAAATCTTTGAATGCTTGACTTGATGATTCACCAATAAATTCATTTGTTTTATTGAATAACAATATTTTTGAACATGTTGAATTTACAAAACTCTGTAATTCAGCAAAACTTTTCTTCGATTTATTCATTTCAGCATTTCGCGTAATGAACAATTCTTTTGCATACGATTCATATGATTTACGTAAATCTTCATATATTGATTCAGCAATCGATTCAATAAATTCATTCGATACATCTTCAGTTAGTTTTTCAGTCAAAACATCGATTATTTGTTCCATTGGAATGAATTCCAATTCATTAATACCGGCATCATCTGGTTCTTGTTCCATTTTTTGTCCTTTTTGACCGGGTTTATATTTCTTTTTGACTGCTTTTGTTTTCACTTCTCGTCTTTGAGTTGCACCACCACCACCGCTACCAGTACCACCACCACCACCAGTGGAACTTTTTCCTCTGCCTTTTTTGCCACCATGATCATCTTTGGTGGATTTTTTACCATCATTATCAGCATCGATAGATTTTGTAGCACTGTTTTTCGATTTGAAAAAATAATTTTGCAATACACCATTTTTCAAATCTTCTTCAGCTCTATCTTTTTTGATCTGTTCAAAATAATCTTTTGTTTGTTCCATAAATGATTTGCTTGTCACAAAAGTATCACATAATATTTCAATTGAATTTGAATAATTTTTATGTTCTAATGTTTGTTTGATCAACAAATCGATATCGACCGATGTCAACACTGATGGAATCATGTCGAAAATATCAACAAATGATTTGTTCTGTACAACATCTTCGAAATTGGTTTCAAGTTGAATGCTCAACATTTGATCAACAGCACAGGTATCAAGATAACAAAGTTGATCGGCAAATTTTTTTTTCAAATATGTTTGTGGATTTGAAATGCCTAATTTGGTCAAAGTTGAATAATCAAGATATCGATTATGTTTGAAAAAACTATTAACATATTCTTGTTGATTTTTCGAATAAATATCCGGTATGAATGTTGGTCCAGAAACAATACCAAGTATTCGTTTTTTGGCAAACAATTTATCCAATGTTGATGTTAGCATCTTGTCCGAAATATTATAACGATTAATTATTGTTTGCAATGCAATCGATCTGGTTATGGCAGAAAATATTCCAATTATTTTTGATTCATATCGAGCAATATAATCATGAGTATAAATGATTCGAGCATCATTATCAAATTGACCTTGAATCAAGGTATCTAATCGTTCTTGGATTAGATTGACAAGAAAATCAGCTGGTAAATCATATTGTTTGGATAGATCACCAATAGACAAAGATCCAGTTTCTTGAAGATGTAAATCAATTTCAGATGCTAGATTATCTTTGTAATCACGTGAAACCAATTGGCCAAGTACAATGTTGATTTCACCACCACTGTTTCGAGCTATTTGATTGGCAGTAGCTTCAGCATAGCTATAATCGACATTCAAAATGGAAACTAAATCCGGAATGGAAATCCGTCCACCAGCCGCATACAGTTCACCTTCAATTTCATATTTAAGATGATCGGCAGTCAAATATTCTTTACCATCATTTGTAAACAATACATTGATCAATTTCTTTTCGATTAATTTTTTCACAATATCAACACAATTTCTTTCTGAAAGTCTTTGCAAATGGATTAATTCAATTGTTTTTTAATCACAATCAATTAAACTTACTTTAATACCGAGCTCATCTGTTGAGCTCTCTGAAAATCAGAAGCCAATTTTTTCACCTCTTCCCAATTGGCAGCCATTGTGATTTGAAACAAAAAAAAAAATTTTTGAGTCAATCAATTTAATTCGATTTATGTATGGGTAAGCTGGTGGCCACGTAGCAAGAAAAATAAATAAAAAAAAAATTCAACAAATCTTTTTAAACACTTTTTTACCTGTTGAGTAGAAATAGCAACAAACTTTTTATACTCTGCAAGTGTACTTGAACTGTGTGTGTATTGACTTGGTATTTGATGCGGAGAAGTCCCCTGTTCCTTGCCAGTAAAAATTTGTAATTTTGGCGGCTGAAATTGGAAATGAAAAAATTCAAAAAGTAATTTGTAAAGCTCCTCGTACGGGAATCGAACCCGTGTTTTCCATTTAGTCCTCCAAATTTAATGTTCGATATGAATTTTTCACGTTTATTTTCATTGAATGTAAAAAAAACTGGTAATTTTGGCGACGGAAATTGAAAAAAATTCAAAAATTAATTTGATACGCTCCCCGTACGGGAATTGAACCCGTGTCGCCCGCGTACTGTTTTACCCCTTTTTTCTACTATTTGACAGGCGGGTATACTGACCACTATACGAACGAGGATTTCCATGGATTTCGCACTTCGAGGGATTTCGCACAGTTTGACTAAACCCACTCGTTGTTGCGTTAGTCGGCACATGGTCCAAGTTTCAACGCTATGGCTTACCACCAAAACAACCTGCGAAATTGACACACGCGCAATAAAGTCTTATTGGATCACAAATCGACAAAATTTTTTGGACCAGAAAAAATGGAAGAAGTCGATTCAATTCTTATCTCACAGCTTATATATTATATAGATTATTAATATATAATAATATTATTATTATCGACTAGAAATTGATGATGATCCATATTCAATTCCCGTAAGGGGAGCTTTTTTTGTTTTTGGATGACTTAGAATTTCACTAAACCATTGCCATAAATGAATGAATCATTTTGGTTAAAAATGGAAAAATTGTGGGTAAAAAAAGGGTCGTGGGAATAAAAATAAGAAAAAGGACAATGATGAGAATTTGTAAAAGGTCAACAGATTATGAGATTGTTTTTTTTTGTTTTTGTTCTCATCTTCATCATAGTTCATATAAACACAAACTAATTGAGTATACGAACCGAAACCAAACATGTTTATTCAGCTGATGATAAAAGGTTTGTCGGACAAAAAAAAAAATGGACATTCAGGATTAAGGTGAACGATGACAATTGGTCATTTGTTTGGTTGAAATTCACTCGTTTTGGTCACACAATGTCATCATCATCATCGTCATTACAAAATAAAAATAACTATTTGAAAGAATTACAAAAAATTATCCATGAATTACAGCAGCACTGTATCCATGATGATATTTCAATGGATCAATCAACATCATCAAAATCATTATCAAACACTATTGATCGTTTGATTAATTTGTTTGAACTTTGTTCTTTATCATCATCATCATCATCATCAGATTCATTGATACGTCAACATGTTGAACAATTGAAATCGGATTTCAAGGTAAGTCATATATTCTGGTGGAAAAATGATAATGGAAAATTTTCCATTTTTTTTCTCTTTCTCTATTTTCACCTACACATTTTTAGAAATTGGAAAATGATAAACGAAATGTGCTGCAATCAGAACAGAATGTAAGTACATTACAGAATTAATGGAATTTTTTTTTGTTTGTTATTCCTACCACGTTTTTGTACCAATGTTGCTGTTTTTATGCTGATTTTCTTCTTTTTGAAACAAATTTCGTTTTTTCGTTTTTTTTTTTGTTTGCATAGCTGAAATTTAAATTGAACAAATTATTTGCATGTTATTATACGTTTCAATCGTTGAATGGATCACCATGGAATGCTGCCTACACATTGAATCATAATAACAATGATGATGATGATGATGATGATCAGAATCGTGATGGTGAATTTGTCAATGAAGATTTCAATGTCAAATGTATTGAAGAAGAATTGGTTTATATTCCCGTTATTCGTTTTACGAATAATAATAATAATTCGAATTCAAATGTAATGTTTATAAATCATGATGATGATGATGCAGATGATGAGGCTATTAATGTTAAAATAGTCGACAATAATAACAAAACAAACAACATCATCATCGATGATAATAATGGTAACAAAAATCGTTCGTTAAAAGGATCAATTTCAAATTTATTCCATCAAATGAATAATAATAATAATAATAATAATAACGATAATAGAAACATGGAACATTTAGATAATAATGTTCGTGTTGAACATACAAATTCGTCGTCGTCGTCGTCGATAATGTCAACAGCATTTCGTTCGAATTTTATTTTGTTTAAAAAATAACAAACAGACAGACAAAAATTTCAATCTTGTTTCATGAGATTTACACGAGCGTGTTAATCTTTTTTATACTTTCCACCAATATCTGCATTTCATCTGCAAATAAAGAATAACGAAATTCAATCGGAAAAAAATTGCTTAAATTTCATTTCATTTTTCAAAATAAAACTCACTTTCAATATCACGGCCTAAATGTTCTAGCTGTGTTTTCGAATCGATTATCTCGATGTTTGATGTGTACGGATTATAATGTACAGTAAATGGTCGTGGGATGGAAAAGGCAAATTCTCTGTGTGTGTGTGTGATGTGATTTTTTTTGATTTAGAATCTGATTTTTATCATTTCATTTCATTTTACCTTAATTTTTTCTGTGCATCATCAAAACTTTCGGCAAGATAATAGATTGGTTGAAATTCAGTGATTGGATACTGTTGTTCACTTGTTTGATTTGGATCAAAATTTTTTATCTCCGGTTTACCGCTTAAACAATACTTTGATTTTGATGGATAAAATGATTATTAATGATTAGCAAAATTTAAAAAAAAATGTTCAAATGCATTGCTTACTTCAAGTTCACCGAAACTTGATAATAAACCAGCACCATAAGCTTTTAATTGATTGTCCTGTTTACAAAGACCAAATTCCACTGTAAACCAATAACAAGTGGCCAATTTTTCAATATATTCATCCGGTGCACCTAAACTGGCTAAACCAATCTCCTGTGAAAATCGTGCAAAACTTGGATCAGCAAATAATGGTGCATGACCTAATAGTTCATGACAAATATCCGGTTCAGGTGTATACATTGGTTTTGAATGATGACGTATATATTGGGTACAATGAAATACACGAAATGCAAGACCAGCAAGAAAATCTCTTGAACTCAATAGGCCGGCTGTTGGACGTAAAGTGAATCCGGTGCAATCTTGAATAAGATGACAAAATAAAAAAAATTATTATTCGATATATCGATATATAAATCAATAAATTCTCTTGGGTAATCAGAAAAAATCACTAAACAAACCTTTTAAAAAATTGGAAACATCTTCAAGTTGTGGAATATTTGTCTCTGAATAGCCACAATTTTCAATCATTAATGGAAAAATATGATTATGTTCTTTACATGCATGTGTTGGATAAAGTTTAATCAATTCACGAAACACTATGCTCCATGTACCAATTTCTTGTTCAGTATATTCAACACGAGGAATTGGTTGTCCACTACAAATTACATATAACAAAACAAAAACAAACACAACATCAAAAGGGATTAACTTTGTTTGTTTGTTTGTTTTTTCCTTTTTCCTTAATGGTCAAACAAAAAATCACTACTTACTGTTTATATTTCATGGCCAATTCACCAAAATACGATCGCCGTTCTCGGTACACTTGATCTTTGAAGCCCTAGAAACAACAACAAAAAAACAACAACAACAACAACAACAACAACAACAAATAATTAATTCGTCCGAATCCAGACACAGAATTGAAAACAAATTTACCGGATGATCAGCATCCAATTCAGAACCATATGATAGAATATGATTTGCAAATCGATCTAGATCTTTAATTTTTCTTGGAAACCATGGAACAGTTTCTTCGTTGGCTTTATCACGTGAAATTACTTGAATATATTGTGTTTGTTTTTTCAATTCATCCAATGCTACTGCCAGACCGATTGCCTGTGCTGAACATTCAACCAAAAATTCATAATCACTTTCATAACGTTTTGATGATCGTGATTCAATACGAAAAAGATTAATATTATAATCTTTGAATATTTTCAATGCATCAGCAAGTGAACCAGCTTTTGAGCCATCTTTCATGGAAAAAATAATATGCACCGGATCACGATGGCTACCCATATTTTGTTCAATAATATATGATCCACTAACACGTGTTGGACGTGGTGGTGTTGTGGCCAAATTTTTCTTCAAATTCATCAAAAAAAAAATGAACAAAAAACAATAAAATCAATAAATCAATGTTTTATTTATACGATTTAGAAACAAAAAACAAAAAATGGATTCCTGAAATGAAAGAACAACAACAACAACAACAACAACAATGCAAATCTTACCGGATCGCCATTTTGTTCTTGTTGATTAAAGACCATTTTTGTTTTGTGTGTGTGTGCGATAGAGAGATAGAGAGAGAGAGATAGACAAAATTATAGAGAAGAATAAATTGTAGGTGTGTGTGTGTGTGTGAAATTGTAGACAAGAAAAAGAAAAAAACAAATTATGATGCAAAATAAACGACAAATTGAATCAGCAATTTAAACGAAAACAAAATTGCAATACGATATCGATCATTAGATTGTCAATAGTGAAATGAATGATAATGTATTATAAACGTAAATGTTTTAAATTAACGTTATTTTAATGTTCTTTGATTCTCTTTTTTCGTTTTTCTCTCTCTCTCTCTTCGAATGATTTTCCATCAATAATGATGATGAAAAAAGATTCATTTCATGACAAGTTTGAAACTTGTTTGCTCAATGATTATGGAAATTTTTTTTTTCAATTTCAATTTCAAATGCCTCAAATGACTTTGTTTTTTCATCATAGAAACGATTTAATTGCTAAAGATGTTTTTTTTTTTTTTTGAAAATCAATACAAAAAGAAAAATTATGATTATCAAATACAAAAAATCTCTCTGTTTATTGTCCAATGTTTGATGATGATGGACAGCCCAAAAAAAAACAAAAAATTATCTGATAAAATAAATTTAGTGAAAACCACCATGCGCACACCATACACGCACAATGTAATTTCCAGTTTTCGATGATGATGATGATCACAAGATGATGATCCATCATCATCATCATCATCATTATCAATTAATCTGTTATTCAACAAGAGAAATAATGAGATAGAGACTGAGAGACAAACAAACAAAAACAAAAATCATCCGATCAAATGATGATGATCACTAAGTAAAATTCCAAAAAATTCAATTCAATTCAAATTGAATGGATTCAGTTTTTTTATTTTCATTTTAAATTATTATCAATGACAAAATCGCATACATGCCGATGGGTATCCACCAATTTAACCTTGAATAGATAGAATTGTTAATAATAAATTCAACAACAAGAATGTTGTCAATCTGGAAAATTAAAAAAAAAAATGAATTAATGATGTACAAAATGAAAAAAAAAATAATTCAGCACCATTGAAAACCTACGTGTACGCTAAAAATAGTCAACTGTTTTTAATGCCTAGTATCATCATCAATTTATATTTCTGATGAAATAAAAAAAAAATCTTTTTTTTTCAAAAAAAAACAAGATACAAAAATCTCATTTCCAAGAATTAAGTACATCATCAATTTCCATCTCACGAACACAGGTACTATTCATGATTCGGAATAATGAAAAAAAAACAGAATGAATATTCCAAACAAAATACATTAGTAGACATTGATTCATAATCAGATTCATAATAAAATTTTTTTCTCCTTTCATTATTTGTTTCCGTTTTGAAGTTGATTTGGAATTTTTTTTTGTTCGCATTATTCTGTTTTTTTTCTACCACTAGAGCGACGAATCATGAAGCTTTCTATATATACTTTGATGGTCGAAGTAACACATAATGGTGGTGGTGGTGGTTTCAGATTCTTTCTTTCTTATGATCTGGTCAAACTGTTGCTGTTGACGTTTTTTTGCTTTTTTTATCTGTGTATGCATTGCACTGTCTCGGTAAGAAACAAGAATATTGCAAGAATAATGAGACATAAAGAGACATGCACACACACACACAAAACGATTTGCTATTTTGTGTTTCTGAAACATCTGCAATGATTGAACTAGGTTGCCCTACAAACCATTGTATTGTGTAATAATTCTGTGTTCATGTCTGTGTGTGTGTGTGTGTATGTGTTTCAGCAAAGGTTTCATCGATGAAAATGATGACGAAAACGTTTTTTTTTTTGAATGTAATGAACAACTTGTGATTCAGTTCCAGAATTGGTCACATACACACACATACACACACACACACATGCGAATAGACCGATCAACCGACCAAACTGATTCATTCATTTTATTTTTATTCACAATATATAAATCTACTAGATGCCAGAATACGGAATCTTTTTTTCATTTATTCATTCATTCATTCATTCATTGATTTGCTCACTATGTGTAATGTTGTTGAATCCAATTAGAATTCTATATATGTGTTTGATGTTATTTTTTTTTCAATTCTCATCATAATCGATAAGCGAAAATAATTAAAAACGATTGGCTCGAGTAATCATGGCAATTATTCTGGATGATAATGATAAATTAATCATCATCATTGTGGCTGCAACATTAATTTTGATAACATTATTCATTACATTATGCGTTGTTTGTCCATGGTGTTTGTTTCATCGTTTGATACTTAAATCTAAACAGAAGAAAAAAACCTTACTAAAAACCAGTTATCCATCATTAGCTGGTGGCCAACAGAATCCAGAATCGCAGCATTTTCATTTTTCCATTGTTCCAGTATATGGTACGAAAACACATTTACAAACAACATCAGCGACTACAGCCACAACAATGATGATGAATGATAAACAACATCAATGTAATGGCCATCATTATCAATCAATATTGAATAATCAATTTGAAAATTTAACAAATTTAGCTCGATTACGTTATTCATTACATAGTAATAATAATGGTGATAATGATCAAATATCATCATCATCATCATCGACAAATAATCAACAATCAGTCACAAATGTTAAATTACCAAAATTGGAAGCAACAATTTATTATAAATCTATATCATCCACAGGAAATAATGATGAATCATCATCGCCATCATCATCATCATCCAATATCCGTATCCATATTGCTATTCATCGAATATTTGATCTTACAATGAATGAACTTTCAATTGAACCATCACCATATGTGGTTGCCATTCTAATTGGTGGTTTTCGTTTACAACGAAAAAGTCTAGTCCTTAATAAAGGTAATATTTTTGTCCATTATTAATAAAAATCCATTAAAAATTGTGAATTTCATTCATATGATGAAATAATTTCTGAGCCGTTGTTTGTTTCATATAAAAACAGCAACAACAACCCCAACAACAACAACTAGTACAGTACAGAATTTCTAGATTTCTAAAGATTGACTTTTGATATTTTAGTTTTTATTAAAATGATTTTTTTTTTGTTTTTTACAGAATCAGAATCACAGAATCCTAATGTAACAAATTTTCATACAAATTCTATACAAGTGTGTGCGTGCAAGTGTGTGGGTTTATGTGAAATAAGATTCTTCATTTCACTGTTTTTCTTCACTTTCACTCATTCTTGTTATTTCATTTTTTTTTCATCAAATAGATGGTATTTTTTTTATTATTAAATTGCAACGGAAAAAATAAGAAAATGTTCCAAATTTAATAATCTCTTGCTGTGTGTGTGTGTGTGTGAAAAACAATTCTGAAGAACAAAATAAATCTGTCTGTTTTATAATCAAATTGGTAATACAATATCCAGCCAATGGATTTTTTTCTTTTTGTTTGGAACGACAAACCACCAAGTTTCTATACATGAATGAAAATGATAAAAAATGGCTGACCAACCGAATAAATATATTCTGTATATTCTGAAAAGTTTCATGTTGTTGAAAGTTTCTGACATTTTCAAACATTAACATCATGAAAACATCTTTTTGGCCATAATAATTTGTTACTGTAGTGAGAAAACATGAGAAAAAAACAACAACCATGTTGGAATCAAGAATTAGTTTTTTGTTGTTGTTGTTGTTGATACATTCATGTTATTTTTTTTTTGAATCATGATAAACAACGATAACCGAATTTTTTTTTTCATTTCATTTCCCGTCATATAGGCGTTGTAGTTTTAATTAAAGATTAAATGTGATCGAATAACGTGATAGAATGTCATTTATTTATAATAATTTTTCATTTCACCATTCTGATCAGCCAAGATTAAACAAATTTGTTGCCATTATTTACCGAACAGATTTATTGCTGTATTTTGGGCTTCATGTTCCAAAATCTTCATTTATTTATCCCATTATTCATCCCACGAATCGTGTTTTGTTAGTGCAACAAAAAAACTTTTTTTGATTTTCAGAGAATATTCTTGATTCTGTCCAATTAATGTCTATGTTTTCTTCTAACTCTCTTCTTTTGTTTGCTAAAATAGTTTTACAAAATGAAATGTTTCGCACTGAAACTATTCGACGAACATTGGACACACGATTGAATCGAAAATTTATTAGTGAACCATTATCCAGGAATATATTGAAAGATTCGACAATAAAATTACGTTTAATGCATGATGAACGTTATGCTAATGATGTCTGTCTTGGTGAATTGTGTATACCATTGAAAAAAATTCAATCATTTGAAGAGCTAAAACAACGACAACAACAACAACAACAACCATTATTGATGAATGGTGTGGATTCTGGTGATAATGATTCACAAAATGTTAGCAATGATGATGATGATGATATTGAATCTAATGATTATCAATTTCAATCAAATGTTTATACATTAATTCCAATCAAAGAAGTAAGTCAAAAAAAAAAATCAAAATCGATGATCAAGAATTCTTAAAATCAATGATGATCAAATCAAATTTATTTTCTTTTTTTTTTTATTCGTTTATTGAATGTATATAGATCAAAGGCGAAATAATGATGGGCCTTTGTTATTTGCCTACATCTCGACGTGTAAATATAACAATTATCAAGGGAACAATACGAAATTCAATATCACGATTTATTGATCAATCAACATCGATGATGATGACTACGACGACAACGACGACATCAAATCATCAAGGCAAGTGTATAAAAATTTTGTTAATTAAAACAATTGAACCATTGGACATTGTTTTGTTATTGATTGATTTTTTTTTGATTTTCACAATTTAAATTTCCTATTTTTGTTTTCCATCCTGGAATAGCATTCTATATAAAAGCATTAATGTTTCACAATGGAAAATTAATTAGAAAGAAAAAAACTTCACTAAGCATACGATTAGCCTGGGGTAAAGATGAAACAATTTCATTCGATTTATCACCAGAAGAATCCAGTGAACAGATGTCATTGATGTTAATTTTAGCATATAAAATGCAGGATTCAAATTCTCCAGAATCACCAGATAGTCCTATGGAAAATACACAGCCACCACCACCATCATCATCATTATCATCTGTCATCAATCATCAACAGCATAAACAACATTCACAAACAAATACAAATTCAATACCTTTGTCATTGACAACAACAACAACAACAACAACATCAAACAACATAAACAACATTCAAAAATCATCTAAAAATAGTGCCCGAAACAGTTTACGAAAAGAATCCTGTATTGGACATTTTGTTTTGGATCGTCCAACTTGGATTGAAATTGTAAGAAAACCTCGTAAACAGATAGTTAAGTGGTATAAACTTTTCTAGAACTAGAATAATTTATAAACAACTTATTAAAAAGAGAGAGAGAGGAAGAAGAAATGAAATGTAACTCCTACACAGAATTTGAGGAAAAGAAAAACAATTTTTTTTCTGTCTTTAAATATCAACAAAAAAATTTTTTTTTATCCCATTCTACATTTACAAAATCCATTTATTTCATTCAAGAATTCTTATGGATCACTGAATTATTATTCTGGCCATTCGAAACGTCCAAAACATTTCTTATACAGACACAAATACAAGATAATAACGCATGAAATTATTCTACAACTAAAAATATGATCATTTCATCTATTATGGTTCCTGGATTCTTACATTCTACACATTCTGTGAACAAATATTCACACTATACAAACACTAGACACTGGACACATAAATCAACATCATCATCATCATCATTGACGTAATAATAATTCTGGACATTTCTGTCCATTTATTTTTGCTTATTATTATTGCAATATGTTACTATGGCTTTTTTTTGTATTCCTGTTATTCATCAAACAAATATATATAAAAATTTGATTGATTCATTCGAATTTCATCCATTTTCCTTATTTTTCCCACATACACACACACACACTCTCTAATTCTGTTGAATAAAATTCTTTTTCCATTTCTTATTCCATTTGATCATACATCTATGAACGGAATGATGATGATCATCATGTGACATTTAAAATTTCTATTTTTTTTTTTGTTTTATTTTTCATTTAAATTTCAATTATTATCATTCATTTATTACTTTATTTATCAACAGAACAATGATAATAAGTATATTGATTGATTGACAAGATTTATTCAATATTTATTTCTTTGTGTGTTTGTAGGTGTGTGGGTGTGTGTGAAGACTTTGTACAACAACAGCAGAAAAAGGATACATGTGTGTGTTTTGTTTTCTTCTGTCTGTATGTGTGTGTGTGTGTCTGATGGTTTGATGATAAAAAGTTTCAACAAATAAAAAAAAAGGAAAAGAAAGCTGTATGTAAATAGAAATAGATATATATTCATTCAAGTTTATGTAAACAATTTATCTCGTATGTCCATTTTTCTTTCCAATGTTTTTAAATCATCAAATAAAATCAAACTTATATCATGTAATGATGATAATTCGGAAAAAATTTCTTTCATATTTCTTCTTGTTTCGGTTTCAAATTTCTCTCCAATCAGTTGTTGTTGTTGTTGTTGTGGCTGTAGTTGTGATTGTCGATGATGATGATGATCATCATCATCATCATGTTTCTGGTTGTTTATTGTTGTACGTATATCTCGTTTCATTATTGGCCTTTTTGTAGATTTTATTGTTGTCACATCCATCCATGTAGCCTTGTTATTCAATGATGAAGATTGATATTGTTGTACAGGCACACCATTAGCCATTTTGATTTTCAATTTCAAATCATTTGATTTTGTTTTAAAATAATGACTACGTTTAATCAGATAAATTATCTGTTTTTGTTGTTGTGATAAAAATTGATGATCAGCTCTTATTCTGGCCACATCTTCAATCAATTGTTTTTGATTATTTAGATTATCACCATGTACTATGTCCACATGTTTACTATAATCACGTTGTAATTCATTTAAATCACGACGTAATCTATTTATATTATCAATAAGCCATGCTTTGGTCAGTAACCAATTTTTATCTTCATTTTGATTTGTATTTGTTGTTGTTGTTGTTGTTGTTGATGTTGTTATAGATTTTGTTCCATGATAAATTTTGTTGTTATTATTACCATTCGTTAATATTTGATGTGATTGTGGTTGCACAACATCATTTCCATTGAAAATAATTCTCTTGGCCATATTTTTTTTCGATATTGATGATGACAATTGGTGTAGGTTTATTTTGCCACCATTTTCCAATAAATCAAAACGATAAACATTTGATGGATTTGCATTTAAATTTAATCGATTATTACTTTCATTTTTGTTGTTGTTGTTGTTTATTTTTGTTGTTATTATTTGCGGCTGTTGTCTTGTTGTCGATGGTGATACGCGAATTGTCGATTCTGTGGTCACAAAAACTGAGCTATTATTTGATGGATTCATTTTTTCTGTCAAAACAATCGGCGTTGAATGTACCGAAGCGTTGGCGTTTATAAATAAAATAAACACGAATATTAGCATCTTTGCCATTGGTGATGATGATTCCATTTTCAGATTAATTATCGAGAAAAAAAAATTTGAAGATTCTTGAGAAATTCTCTGTTGAAGAACACTAGAATTAACGTAAGAATAGACTTTTTTTTATTCACATTCAAAGAAATTCTATTTTTGAGCAAAAAAAAAATTCCAAGTTTTTTTTCTGATTTTATTTTTTCTAGAAAAAAAATGGAAGGGTCGTCGGCCGTTGGTTGTGTTGTGGAAAACTATAGTGTTTTTGGAAATCAAAATGCAGATGGTTTTTATAACGAACGATCCACGATGATGATCAACTAGCGTGACCGAATGACTTCTGTTTTTATTTTCTGCTGTTCATTGCATTGTTGCGCTCGCTCATTTGGCCCATTGGTCGGAGGGTATGATTTTTTTTCGTTTTCGTTTTTGGCTTTTGTTTTTGTTTTGTTGAACAAATGGACCGACCCCTGTGCCACTACACTATGGTGAACAATGGAAAAAAAAGAAAAAGAGACAGAGGTTTGCCACGCGTCCCAAAATTTTATTTTGAAAAAAAACTTGATAATTTCCACCAGTTGTATCAGAGATGAATATTCAGTTTGTTAAGCTTGAATGAACGTTTTTTTTGCTGGTAGGCTGCTGGTTGAATATTATTATCGAATTGGTCGAATGAACACACGTTCGACGTCTGGTTCGATTTTTTTTCGAGTGTGTGTGTGTATGCTTCGTTCTGGACACGTTCTGATAATGATTCACCCTCGCAAATGAATGGTGGATGCTGATTGGATCTGTTTTTTTTTTTTTTTTGGTTTGTTTCCAAAAATTTTTCGATAGCGAGAGTGGTATGATGATAACATCCACCACCATGACCTTTACCATTCGACCAGATTTTTTTTTATTTGATTCAATTACACATTTTATCATTTCATTAGCACACACACACACACACAGCACATCATGCACCTGGTGTTGGCCAATAAAAAAAAACAAAAAACATTCGTATATGTAATATAAACATTACAAGAACTTTGGATCTTTGTACCAAGGTCAATGAGTGATTATTTACCTGAAAAAAATGGACATTTGGAATATTCATTCTGTTGTTCAAGATTTGGAATTTCAATTTTCTATATTTATGATCCATAAAATCATGTAATTAACCAGGATATTTTTTTCTGCGATAATCATCCATCATCAGGATTTTTTCATTTTATTTACCACATCAAGATAGTGAAAGATGGTGGCCACCGCCCAAATGTTTGTTTTTTTATTAAACAAACAAAACTCTTGCTGTTTTTTTTTCATATTTTTTTGTTCCTTAATCTAGTTTGTCAACAACAACAACAAAAACAGTAGCAAACAACAAGTGTAAACAAAATTGACCTTTGACTCTTTGTGTGTGTGTGAGTGATGCAAGTGATGTTATTTAATGACAAACAAAACAAAAAAAAATCTCATTTTTTTCCTACTGATGATGGCCACACCTTTCTTTGATGAAATTTCTTTCTTCTCGAATTCAACATTCGAGACAACAGGTAACATTGTGTGCGTATGTGATCATCACCGCCGGAAACGATGGCAGTAAGATGATTTTATTATATATTTTAGGACAACGCCAAACTAATTACATAACAAATTCATTCATCAAATTAAAGTAATCTGTGTTGATCAATTAATTTTCTTTTCCTACATTATTTCCGTTTTGTGACCTCGGCAATGAATAATGAATGAATGAAATTGGATCTAGTTGCAATCTACAAAAAAAAACGAAAGAAAAATTGTCACACAATCTGTCGAAATGTAATTTCTGATGTTGAAGACAAAAAAAAAATGCTCAAATCTTAAGACAAACTTTATTACACGAACATATGGTCCAAGTTCATCAAGTATAATCTCATTAAGATACAAAAATCCATATGGACACACACACATATGGTGGCACGTGTCAGTTGTCGGTGCTTCTTAAAGAAATTCAACAACAACAGCAAAAAAAAAAGTTCACCTACTTTTATCTATAAAATGGCAAGACCTTCTGGTTAAATGTCTGCAACAGAAAAAAAAATTTTTTCGTCCAAAAATAGAACATATATACTGCAATATATACAAGGTGTTTTTCAAGACGTTCGTTCATTTCACTATAAATACAATTGATTGGTTGTTGTTTTTAATTTTTTTTCTTTAAAAAGCACATGTTATTTGTTTGGATCCAAAAATTCAGTAGATATGAACAGATGGATCAGTTTATGATATGAGATAAACTTGGACATGGTACTGGTGGCTAAAATTTTTTTTTTTTTTTAACGAGTTAAAACCTTGGCCTTATGTTTATTTTATTTTATTTTCGATGGACGCGTGCCAGATGCCCAGGTAAACATCATGACATGTGCAACCATTGATTGTACAGGCCCGGTGGTATATACAGTTGGTCACCTACCACCTGGTCATTGGTGATTGAAAAATAGAATTAAAAATAACATCATCATCATCATCATCATCACATGAATAGTAATCATGGATTCAAACACGAGTCTGCCACGCGTCAAATTTGATCAAATTCGATTGAATTGTAAAACCATTAATTAGCTCGATTTCAAGTACAAGCTGTTGTTGTTGTTGTTGTTTTAATTCTTTTAATTAACAGAATACTTTATAATCAACTAGATCTTCTTAAAGAATAAGAATCAGAAAGAGAGAAAAAAAACCAATTCAAGTGGAACGTACGTTTGGTCATTGACGTGATTGTGTGCGTGTGCCAAAGACCTAATGATATTGAAAAAAAGAAAAGCAAAGATAAAATCCAATAAAAATTTTCAATCAAAACAAAATAAAATGAATGAAACATTACGAGTTCAATAACATTTATTTATTGATAGTTTTTTTTGTTTGGTCCATTCCATATTCGTTGCAGATGTATTCGATTGAATCTACCATCAAATGTGATTGAACCATTGGATCATTGATTTACTTTTAAAACAGGTAACTTTTTACATGTAATGTAAAATTTAGAACGAACATTGACATTATTGGCCGAGTTTTTGTTTCAGGTCAGTAGCACGATCTTTCTGGCCCTATGTATAGGCCATAGGTATAACGGATCATTTTTTTTCTGGTTGATAGTAAAAGTTTTAGCTGCTGCCGATTTTCTTGATGATGATGGTGAATACGCTATTTTGGTGACAAAAGAAATGGAAAATGTCAAATTGTCCCTTGCTTGTTGAGCGTCCGGTCCAATACGGGTAACATTTATATGATCCAGATTGTTATAAAACACACACACACACACACAGAAAAAACAACGGTTCATTGCCATTGTACGGTATCGGCTGGTTAGTGTCATTCAACTGCTGCTGTTTTTTACTTTTTATTTCTGGTTGTTTCTCGGTGGTGGTGGTGGTGCTGGTGGTGGTAGTGTCTGGATTACCCTGGAATAACATTTTATTTTTTCATCCCCGATCGATATAAATACACACACCAGGTGTAGGTGTGAAAACAACAACAACAACAACAACAACAGTAACAGCAACAATGCAGAACGCATCAACTTTTCATGTGCTAAATGCCTGCTGGTTTTGGTTATATACTGTATTTTCATCATCGTCATAGTTTGTTGTTGTTTGCTATAATTATAAATAAGTTGACCTTGCTATACTATCATCACCATCATCATCAGTCAGACACACAGTCTGGTCTGATCTAAATCGATCCATAATAATAATGAAAAAGATGCGATTGCCACGTGCCAGTCAACAAAACAAAACAACAAAACAAAAAAAATGCAGATGGTCAACATACGAATGTTTGTAAAAACCAGATTTTGACCATACAAACCATATACACATTCATCCAAGGCAGATGATACATATGGATTACAAATAAAAACTGGCACGCGACCATATGCAATCCATATGCGGGTGGATAATAATTGATTTTTTAATTTTTGAACAAAAAAAAAGGATTTTTTTAATTATAAAAATAAAAATAAAATAATCATCTCTAAAGCTTTGACATATGGTACAAATGAAGAGAAAAAAAATTCTGGACGACTCTCTGTCTCAGTGTGGGTGTATGTTATTCTCACTAGAATTATTTACAAAGTTTCAACATTATAAAGATGTGTGTGTTTGTTTGTTTGTTTGTTTGTTTCTGATTGAATTGATTTTGGTGCGGACAAAATCCAATCATGATATTCGGTGGTGTAGTGGTGGTGGTGGTGGTGGTGGATGAGTACTTTTTTTTCATTCATGTAAACATAGAAATCGATTCATTCATAATACTATGAGATGAGTTGATGAGAAAATTAAAATGAAATTCTGTATATGGAATATCAATAGTGATGATGATGATGATGATGATGATGATGAAATGAAAAAAAAAATTCCAATTTACGTTGATTTATCATTACCGTTATTATCGCCATTGCCCAGCAATGCGGTTGCACATTCTTCAACATTCTCTGGCCAATCACAGACATTTTCTTTTATATTGAATACTAAATTCTGTGGACAAGGCATATGATGACGACGTGTACCTTCACACATAAAATACATGGTACAATCATTTTTATCTTTATGATAGCTAATATGACCATCGGCTTCATCACATTTTACTTCATCTTTGTTGTTTTCTAAATACGAAAAAAAATTGAAATTGAAATAGAAAAACAGAAATTAAAATTTAAATTAAAAAATTTCCATTCAAATGATTATTCTGGACATTTATTTCATGTGTCCAGAATTTTTTGTTCTCACAATCAGAACAAAATTCAGATGAATGTGTACAATAAACATAAACATCCGAATCTGAATTTCCCCAAGGAATTGAAAGAATTTTTTTTTCTCATTCCAAAATTGGATTGCCGCTCAAAAACGGAATATACAGAATTTGAGTTGAGTAAACATCGCTATCATCATAATGATGAAAGTGGCTCATACAAAATTTTCACATCAAGAAAAAAAATGATGAATGATGATCTCTATTGCAGCTGCTATTTTATTCATGTTCATGATAATGGTAGAAATATTATATTTCTCTAAATGTTTCCATTTTGTGCTAGAATTCTGTCGTGAATGGAATATTCTTGAAAATTAATTTTTACCGCTGCTGATGATGATGATGTTGTTGTTGTTGTTATTTTTTGCCACATCAACATCAAAATCAAATGTCTTTGACATTTAAAATGAAAGAGAAAAACAACAAAAATTTTAAAAGCGCTACATTAAAAGTTTTGGAATCATTTGTTTGTAGAATATCTACACTATCTATCTACTTTGAATACGAAATATGAAATGGAATCCATTTCATATTTCGTATGAAATTTTCAGAATCAAGAATCAAAATGATGAGTGGTATTTTTGACGAAAAAGCATTAAGTGGTATATATTGAATCTTGAAACTTGGTTATTGCATGTTGAAAAAAAGTTATTACATACCAGATTTAGTGGACAAAGTATTCGCTATAGTTTCATCAATATTTTCCACATAATAACCTTTAAGATCATTTTTGGCAGCATTTATAAGTGGAAATTTTTGTCCCATACATGAACCAGAAAAATCATCCATATCAATTGACCAAATCATAATGCCACTTAAACCGGCTTGTTTAAGCCATTGTGTCTGAATTCAGATGTGAAAAAAATCAGTTAAAATTATCAAAAAAAAAAAAAAAATTCACAAGACACTTACTTTGACTTTAAAACTTCTTGGATCATCAAAACCAACCCATTGATCACCAAGATAAGCATATGGTACCATTTGTTCATTATCCCAGACCAATGTTGCACCCATTTTAAGCATATCACAAATCTATGATGATGAATAAAAATGAAATTTATTCATTGACCAAAAAAAAAAATGCAAAAACAAACCTCAAAAAATGAAAGAAATCCCGATTCTTTGGTATATATTCCTGGATTTCCACCTTTGATTGCCGGATCACCAATATCGGTCAAATTTGGACTAGCTAATGTGAATGATCGACCTATATTGTTGTCATACACACATTTATAAAATGAAATTCTATACATGAATTTTCATAGCAAAAAAAAAAATCACCCATACCATAGGTTGGTAATCCAACAACAATTTTCTCCCTTGAAGCACCTTTATTGATCCATTCATTGACACTGAAATCCTACAAATGGAAATAGAAATTAACATTAGTCATCCATATGTTTTGAGATGTTCTGTGTAAAAAAAAAAATAACGGATAACGGACATAAAAAAACTATAATAATAATGGGTCAAACGGGCATCTTTTTTTCAGTGATCATAAGTGAGAGTACAAAAAAATGAAATGAAATGAAAAAATCTGTCAGTCTGCCAAAATATAATGGCTTTAACACGCGTGCAACACGTGCTATTTTATTGTTGTTGTATAAAACAAGAGTTGAATGTGTGTGTGTGTGTGCGTGTCTGTCTAAAACGAAAGTGGAAACAAAACAAAACAAAAAAAAATTTTGGAAAAGGGTCGCGCAAAATAATACCGTTGTGTTGAGCAACCAGACAGGATTGGACAGAAAAAAAACAAAACACGGAAGTTTTGGAATGAAAGTGAAAAATAAGTCAACTCTTGAAAGAAACGAGAATTGATTGAATGAATGAATGAATGGAAAAAAAACTAAACGACGGGAAAAGAAATTTTTTTTTTTTTCGTTGTTGTTGTTGACCCGACTACAATCATCAGACAAACATATTGCTGCTGACCTAATCGAAAGTTGTCAACAATAAAAAATGAAACAGATTGGTTAGTACGGAAGAAGAGAAGAGTTTAAAGTTTTTTTTTTGGTTCAATATTTCCTGATTTAGGTGAAAATGAAAAATGAAAAAACAAACCACTAACCACTGTCAATTTACGTTGATAATCGGTTGCAGCTTGTATTGGAAACAATGGTGAATTATGGGCAACATTTTTCTCCCAATCACCATGAAAATCATATGTCATAATGTTGATGAAATCTAAATATCTAAATATACATTTTACATTTAGGAAATGAAATTCCAACGAAAAAAAAAGATTCTTACTTATTAACTTCAGGAACATCGTAACCACTATTTACGGCTTCAAAACTAGCTGGTACGGCTGCCGAAAGTAATAATCGTGGTTTACCCGAACCTTTAGCTTCACCATCAAAAGTTTCACGTAATTCCTATGTGAATGCAAAACAAAAAACACGATTTGAATTTTTGAAAATTAATTGTCACAACACAAATTACATACTTTTAATAATTTTGTATAACGTTCTTTATCTTCTGTACCACGAGGAAATTCCCAACAAACATCTAATCCATCGAATCCTCTTTTTCTTAGAAATTCTACAACATTAAATGTGAATAATGTCTGACGATATGCACTTTCTGTCAATGTACGAAATGGTATCGGCCCCATCATCCATCCACCGACGGCAATTAAAATTTTAAGTTTAGGATTTTTTGATTTCAATGATAATACACGTTCATAAAGACCATTGGCAATTTCATCATTCGGTTCACTGGGTATTAATTTAAATTCACTATTTAGATTGGCAAATGCGTAGATAACATGTGTGCATAGAAATGGATCTAAATGTTCCGGCGTAAATTGACCTTGACCAGGTCTTTTATGTGACCAATTGGTAAAATAGCAAACAACTCGAGCGTTTGTATCATTTCCATTTTTCATTGGTTTAATTATGGCCGGTGTAGTGGGCACAACTTTTGGTTTATCAATAATCATGTTAATATCAGTGCTTGGCACGAACACTTTTGTCGATTGATCAGCTATCATGGCTTTTTGAATGATTGAATCAAATTTAGATTTTGTTTTGGCCTGCCCATAAGTTCTTCGGCCATAATACTGATTAATGGATATTTCTTTTCAGCACAGGTGCCTTTAAAATCATCCATATCAACAGTCCAAACCATAGCGCCACCATAACCATTATCAATGATCCATCGAAGTTTTTCCCGTATGGATCGTTCATCATCAAAACCAACCCATTGATCACCTTGAATAGCATATGGTACTTTTTGTTCTTCATCCCAAATGTATTTGGCACCATTTTTAAGCATTTCACATATCTCATAAAATGCTAAAAATCCTGATTCACGTGTATATTCACCGGCTTTACCACCACCAGAAGTTGGTGCATTGAAACCATTATTACCAGTGGATGATAATGTAAAACTTCTACCATATGTAGCTAGTCCGACAATGATTTTATCCTTGGATGCACCAAGTTTTTCCCACATTTTTACACCATATTCCTGGAACAAAAGAACCAAAATCATCAAATACTGATCAACAATCAAATAATCAAACAATTAACCATTGTAAGTTGTTTACGCCAATCAGTTTCCGTTGATAATGCATATAATGGTGCATTATGACCGGTTTTTGGTTCCCATTTACCATGAAAATCATATGACATGATATTGATAAAATCAACATTACTATTTCAACAGACAAAAAAAAAGAATTAAAAGATCATCATCATCATCAACATTCTAATGATCATAAAACACATACTTTGCAACTCCTGGAACATCATAACCACTTTTAATGGTTTCAGCACCAGCCGATACAGCCACACTTAACAATAAACGTGGTAAACTTTTTTCAATTGCTTCCGATTCAAATGCAATACGTAATTCTTTAAGTAGATCAACAAAATTTCGTTTATCATCACTGCCTTTAGGAAATTCCCAATCAATATCAAGACCATCAAAATTTCTTTGCCGTAAATAATCTAAAGCACTAAAAATGAACACTTGACGATTATAACGTGTGGATGCCATTGTCCGGAAACGTTCCGTGCCGAATGACCAGCCACCAACGGCCAATAATATTTTGAGATTTGGATTTTTTTTCTTCAATTCAATCACACGTTCATAGGTTCCTTTTTTATTATTCAATGTTTCATCAGTTGAATCGAATGAAGTTAATTTATTGGATTTCATCCAACCAAAACTGAATATAATGTGCGTACAAAGAAATGGATCAATATCTTCGGGAACATATTTGCCCTCTTTTGGCCGATATTGTGACCAATTTGTATAATAACAAACTAGCCGTTTATTTGGCTGTATAATTGATGCTGCATTTTCTTTCATCGACGACGACGATGATGATGATGATGATGATGATGATGATAATTGATTAAATACTCTTGGTTCTATACAAATCGATAATTGATTGATTGAAACATTAAAACGATAGCGAGAAAAAAAAAATTACTCAACACTTACGATATAACCTTCGTGATTGTGAAAGACAAATCAGGCCATAGTATAGGAATATGAATGTGGAAAAATGAAATTGTCGTAATAAAGTCTAAAAAATGAAAAATGAAAAATGAAAATGAAATGAACGACAACAATAAAAGGTTAATCTTATTTCGTGATCAAATATAATTATTAATTATTATAAATCAAATTGTCAAATTTCCCAAGATGATAATGATGATGATCATGATGTGTGAATTTTTTTTTTTAAATGCGTTAACTGAACTTTAGAAAATTTCCACCGTTTGTGTTTGTGTGTGTGTGTTAATTATTAAATGTCAATTAAAATCGTTCTTATTTCAATTATGAAAGGATTGTTGTTTTTGTTTTTGTTTGTTTGTTCACTGAATTGTCAGTGTCAATCGAGCATTTTTTTTTGCCATCTTGCCGACATAATCATCATCATCATGACGCATCATTAAGTGTGTGACGATCGTGTTTAAAGAAAAAGACAATAGAATTGTCGATGACAAATTAAAAGACAAAAAAAAAAATTTCCCATTTGAATTTCAATTTGTTTGAAAAAATTCTTAAAAAAAATTTTATCAATTTGATCATCATTGGTGATTCAGATGATGGTCAAAATCACCCACACACACACACACACGTTTTCTCTTGCTCTTTATATCTCTATCTCTTTTTCTTTCTCTAATCATCACTATCTTTAAACTTGATTTGACCAATCTAGTTTTGTCGGTCACCAACGTACAGACAGAACGAATCATGGTCTCGTTTTTTTTTCGCCAATATCAAACATCATTGCAATCACATTTATACACACACATAGAGAAATGATTTTTAAATCAAAAAAAAAAAAAAAAAAAAAAAAACAAAACAAAAATCCAGTACTATGAACTCAATTTTTATAAATAAATAAATAAATAAAATTGTAACAACAGCAACACACCCACCCACACACATCTACACACACACACCTAGACAACACATATTAACAAATCACATTCATTTCAATTCATTCATAGTGAACTTTTTTTTTTCTTCATTTCATTCCATTGATCATCAAGATCATTAATAATAAAATTATGGCCATGAAATGAAATGAATAATACGGGCGTGATAATGAGCAGCTCATTAATGATTTTCTTTTTTGTTTTTTGATTCAATCAAGCCGGCTTTTCTATACAGTAATGTCAATGCGTTTTTTTTCGTTTTTTTTTGGACGACGACGATGATAATTTCTATTTCAACATATTCATTGTTCAGATGACAAAAATATGCACACATCTATTTAAGAAATGCAAAAAAAAAGAGTTACTTATAAAGAGCAAATCACGATATTGAAACGTTAAGTTTTTTTTTCTTTGGTTGTGATTAAATCAAGAGATGATGATGATGATGATTATATATGGCTTTCGTGAATGGATAATTTTGGAAACATCATCATCATCATCAAATTGAATTGAATTAAATCGTAAAGCAGACCAGACCAGACAGACATTACAACAACAATAATGGTCTACAATAAAATGATCAAGTAGAAACAAATCAATCAAAAGGAAAAAAAAATCCATAAAATCCAGAGATTCCAGTGTTTGAAAAAAGCAAATGAAGTAGAAATCCATTGCTCTAGTTTCGATTTTTCTTTTCATTTTTTTTTCTGTTGTTGTTGATGGATAATGAAAATGGATTGTTTTTTTTGTTTGTTTGTTTGTTTGCCTAGGAATAAACACACTGAATTCTGATTCTGATTACTGTGAACAAACAAAATGATGCTAAATTCAGAACAACAACAACAACAACAACAACGAGTCAGATGATAATAATAATATAATGAGGTCACGTGTTTATTATTTATCCGGAGATATTTTTAATCATCATGGACAATGGAATCATGATGTATTTTTTTTTATTTATTTCTATCTTTGGTAATGATATGATTGATTGATTGATTGATTGTATTGGATTTTTTTTCTGGGTTATAAAATCAATCACAACAACATTACCATAATAATAATGGCCATTATGATGATTATCAATTGTTTTTTTCTTCTTCTGGTTTTCAGGACAGTAGTAGGATTGTTGATGATTGCAAAAAGCCAATCGAAAAAATAAACTAACAATGACGAATAGTTCAATCAATCAATATATAATGATGATGATGATGAATGTTTTAAAATTTAAAAAAACAAAAACAAATTCCATAGACACAAAAAAAAATCACAGATTCATTATTGTTTGCTGTTGTCTGACCGGTGTGTGTGTGTGCGTATGTGTTTGCTGAGAAATTGTAGAAATAAAACAAACAGGGGAAAAAAAATTCAGCTATGCAACATCATTGATATATGGATGATAATAACGATGATGATGATGATGATGATGGAATTGAATTCCATATAATCACAATTGTCGACATTATATCATCAAACTTATTATTATTCACATGAGAACAATTTTTCAAAGAACAAAAAAAAATTTTCTTTGAATTAATTCACTTGATGATATACGATGATGATGATATGATTCGTGAATCGATGACGTTGATCATTGAAAATGTGTTAGAAAACATATTATGTCTGTGTGTGTGTTTACACAACAATGTGGAATCGTTTTATTTTTTTTTTTTTTTTTTTTGCTGCTGTTGTGCTGATCAACAACAGGTGAATGATTCTTGGATTATAAAAATATTTGGATGGATTAAAAATGGTGATGATGATGATGATGATGATGATGATGATGATGATGTTTGGTTTTCGAGATTATTTTCATTCTACACAGAGAGTGTATAAATTTTTTTGTTTCTTCTTTGAAATGAAAAGAGTATGTTCAATGTTCAATGTGTGCATACAGTTGTGTGTCGTTTTACTAGTTTTTTGTTAAAATAAAAATCATCATCATCATTTTAACGGTGGTTGGACGAAAAAAAAAATTTTTATATGGAGCAACAACAAAACATGGACATCCACTTTGTCGACAACGATGATGATGACCAACAACAACATTCAACAACGATAACAGTTCTTATTTGATGATTATGATGATGACGAGATGGTGGCCACCAAATAGTATCAAAAAGAACTTCTTTACTCAATGACAGTGTTGAACAACAACAACAACAACAACAACAACGAAGAAAAAAAAACAGAACAAGAACTAAAATATATCGCGCCCAGCAAGTTAGACCAGAATGTTGTTTAGTGAATGACAACTAACTAACTGTACACACACACACACACACACACATTTGATTTGATTCAATTCAATTCAACAACAACAACAACAAAAGAAGAAATCCTGACAATAGGACCGACTAACTGTAATTGTATCCTATCCTGTTCTTGTTGTTGTTGTTGTTGTCGTTCTTGTTTGTCAGTAGTAAAAAAAAAAGATTTATACATAGCAACAACAACAACAACAACAGGTTCCAGCTTCGTGAAACATGTATTATAATGGCAAGCAAAAAAAAAAAAAAAAATCTCTTTAATTTTGTTGTTTTCATACACATTGAATAGAGAATTGGTTGGTTCGTTTTTTTTTTTTTGGAAAAAAGGGGCATTCCACCACAGATAGGACACGACCAGATCTACAAATATCCCAAACAGACAAACAAACAAACAATTTTATTTTTTTTGTCCAAAGAGAAAATTTTCTCTCTCTCTCTCTCACAAACACAAATAAAATTGATTCAAAGAAAAAAATCACATCGAAAGAGAATCATCGCGCAAGTTGTTTTTGAACGGCAGCAAGATTTTTCGTTTTGTTCTGGATCGAGGATATGATGATGATGATGATTGGAGAATATATACATGATTTCTGCCGGTGTTTCATTTGCTTCTTTTTCTTTTTTTTTGGCTTGGATGGATTTAGAATTGAAAATTCATTCATTTTTTTGCGATTTAAAATTAGATCATTTATCGATTGATAATGATGATGTCATATCTAATAGTTATGTGTCATGAATTTCCGTTATTCGGTCCATTTATGACATGATGATGATGATGATGATGAAGTTTCCATCACGAACAATTTTTTTTCAATCATTTCACTTCAATAGTTTTTTTTATAGATTTCAATCCCATTTTTTTGTCGATCATTTGTGTGTGTGTGTGTATGTGATAATGATGACGACGATAATGTCGCTGTTTTCTTTTTTTTTCATTATTTACCTGAAACTTGTTTATAATGGATGTATCGTGAATCATCCGTTATCTTGTCATTTTGTGTGTGTGCATGTGTTTGTATGTCTGCCTGTATTTCCCCTTTTTTGATTACGATTAATCTATAGTTCCGTTTTCGATTTCTAAATCTTTGTTTTCAATGAGGAGAAAAAAACCTCAACTTTTTTTTGATGATCAATGATTTGATCAAATGAATTGTGAATTAATAGAATGACAACATGATAAATATGATTTGGTAAAAAAAAAACTAGATAAAAATCGATTCAATTTCTTTTTTTACATTTCACATCAATCGAGTTGTCTTTTCATTTTTAATTTCATTATAATTTATTATCATTTAGTTTAGTTTCATCATCATCATCATCATCATAATCAATGTTATCATCGAATGTGCCCGTGTGTGTGTGTGTGTGTGTGTGAGAAACTTTTAGATTTTAGGGTCTAACATTTAAGCTATCATCATCAAAAAGCGTGTTTGATATCAAAAAAAAAATTGATTTGACTGATCAATTATTATCATCATCATCATGATTTGGATGATTGAAATGAACAACATGATCAATTGAAGTCAAAAAACAGAAAAAAATGAACAAGAAAATGGAATTGTAATCTCTATATTGGTCATTGTTGAAACAAAATTTGATCACAATCCAATTCAAAGGGACCATGACATGGTAAAATTCATGTAAACATACACATTTTGATTTATTTTCATTATGATGATCATACAACATCATGATTTGAACTTTGGTTTTCGATTATATATATCCATTTTAAAAGTAAACTTTGTAACAAGAGTAAACTTTGTATCATTGATAAATGTGTCCCATGATTGCGTGTGTTTGTGTTTGTTTGGTAAGATTTCAGAAAAAAAAACAAATGAAAATCGAATGTTCCGTGACCGTGAAATATGGATAGACGTGATTGGTTTCAATCGATTGATCATCAATCAAGATAAATAAATAAACGTATGGTATTTCCAACTGATTCCAGTGATTTCATCATCATCATCATCATCATCACATAATAATTTAATGTGAATTCGTAGTAAGTAATGGGGAAAAAAAAGTTTTTCATTTTTTTTTCTCGTATTCCTGAATCTGCCTGTTAATACCTGGAAATTTAATTAAGGAAAATTCATGATCCTATGTATGGAAAAAAGCAAAAAAAAATTTCATTAGAAATTCTCATATTGGTCCAAAATGTTGGTTTTAAAAACATACCTTTTCTTGAGATTTTTTTTCCCGGTCCCAAGTATAATAATACACAATAGAAAATGAGACAAAAAAAACCTTGCAGAAACAACACACGCAACACCAACAACAATAAAATCAAGGTTGACAGCAGCGACAAAATGTAGTTCAAGTTCAACCAGGATTCTGTATTCACTATAATAATTCTGTTATTGTGTTCATGAAGAATTCATATATATAGCAAGGCGACCATGAAAATTCTGTTCTTCAACATCATCTACAATATAGAATTCTAGCTATTATGAAAATTATATAGCAACAAAAAAAACCCAAAATTAATGAGAATCGGCAATACCCTTTTCTCTATAAAATTGTATACTACATGTACACACAAATGTATGTGTAAAGAAAAAATTCCATTGCTCATTGTCAGTTGGCCTTGATAAACGAACAAGGTCAATCAATATGAAAAAGAATATTCTACAATGGTTGGCTGTATATATTGTCAAGGTCAATACCCATGAACTTGGACATTTTTTTTTTTGTTCTCTTACTTGCAAATGAAATTCATTCGTTTTTGTGTGTGTGTGTGTGGGCGTTATAACAATATACATATTAAAAATGGCAATGAAAACTATTATGGATTATATATGAAAAAAAAATGAAAACCGAAACAACAACAAAAAAAACTTCCACACCATTAAAAAAAAAACCAAACCTTCACCTTGAGGAACCAGAATATACCACAGAATATCAGAATCAAATTTTCTTCCGTTTTTTTTTTTACTTTTGGTTGGATCTTGAATGAATGCAAAAAAAAAAAAAAAATTTTTTGTACTTTTGTACTTTATACATACAAAAAAAATGTATATACATCGTATTGTTGTGGTATATGATGAGCAGTGGTTATATTATCTCACGTCAAACCTATACTACTTCCAAAACAACAACAACAACAACATAATAACTTTACCACGCACAAACAGTGGTTGCTCGTGCATTATACACGAATATATAAAAAAAAAAAAAAAAATACCCAAACCAAAATGTGAAACATTCCTAATACTTCTACTATTCTATAAATTATTCTGAAATGAAACAAGATTTCATTCAACATTCATTCATTCATTATCATGTCTTTTAGTGTTTGATGATTCGGCATCATGATCACCATCACCATCATCATCATCGATCGAATTGATGGTTAATGATGGCGTCGGCCGCCGCCATCTAACGACCTTCAATAACACATGAAATGAGTTATTTTTCTATATCCATCCAACAATAATATACGCCATCGTCGTCATTTATAAAATCAAAATCATCGAAAAATAGTAAAAGAAAAAAAAAATGAAAAAAAAAATTTTCATTTCAACGTCGGCGTCATTTTTATTTTGTTGCTGCTGGTTGAAAGCATCACCATACGCTACACACAAACGAATACCACTGATTCATCTTTGACGCCACAACAAATACCTCCACCACTACCATCATTAAATATTTCAAGTTCAACCATATTATCATCATCATCATATCACATCATTGATTGCAAATGTATGTGGTTGTGGTGGTGGTGGTGGTTATAAAGATGATCAAACGATTTTTTTTTCTATAGAAGAAAAAAAAAGATTTAAAACAAGAAAGTGACAGTGCATATGTTTGTGTTCCATTTGAATCTCTCTTTTTTTCTCATTTCAAATGATTGACAAAATGTGAATAAAATATTGTTCAATCGATGAATGATCTGAATTTCAAGTCAGAAAAGAAAACGAAACTTTCTCTCTCTCTCTCTCTCTCTGTGTGTGTGTTTGATTAATTAAATTGTAAGTTTAACCTTCGAATAAATTGTGCGTGTGTTTGTGTGTTGTGTAGAAAAAAAGGGTACAAAAACATCTTTTTTTAAAAGCCAACTTCTAAATACCAACCAATTTTTTTTTTGTTTTGTTTTGTCATCTCAATACCGCTGCTGCCGCGTATCGTACACACACACACACACACACTATCACACTTTATGAATCGTCATCCATTAAAGAAAGTAAAAAAAGAAAAAAAAATCGTAAATATCACTGATGAAACACTTACACACACGCACACACACACATACGACGAAAAAATTTTCCGTTAAAATGATGATGATGATGAGATGAGAAATTCATTCCACAATTTTAGATTCAACCAACAACACATCTATTGCTTATTTTTTTTTCGTTGGTAATGGTATCATTTGTATTATATTAAATTAATAATATTGTATGTAAGTGAGTAACAAAAACAACATTACATGACATGAGAAAAAAAAAATTTCACTTTCATTCATTCATTCATCTCAATTCAGTTCGATTCTGTTTATCGAATTCTTGGAAAAATTTTCCACTCAAAAACACACAAATCCACTTGTGATCATATTTGCAACAATTTGTTTTATATATATATAGTATAGTAGTATTAGAGAATTAAATCATAAAGAATATTCTGTTTCTCATACGACAAAAACATTGTTGTTGTTGTCAAAAATTGAATCGTCATCATCATCAACATCGTAATTCGGCAACACTAGAACGACGAAAAGTGAAAAATAAAATTCCACTTTTTTCTTCATTTTTTCATATATCGCTTATTTTCGGTGTTTGAAAAAAATTTTTTTCAATTCGAAATTTCAATATTTCTTAGTTGTCAATTTTTTTTTTTTTGTACGTGTGTGAAGAAATTCAGTACACCGAAAAAAAACTAGTAAACATTACACTAGAAAAAATTTTTCGTGTATTTTTAACTCTTGTTTTTTTTTTGTTTGTTTGTTTGTTTGTCCATTGAAAAACGTTTCACTTTTATCTTATTTCTTCATCTTTTTTTTCTCTCTCTCTTTTTTTGCGAATGATCAAATTTTGTACAAATAACAACAACCAGATAATAACAATAATAATTCCCGAATGGAAGTTCTCATTTTCAATGTTTTCAATGCTGTTTATCAAGAAAATTTGCCATTGCTCAAGGTTAGTAAAATGAAACAAATGACAATGCAATGTATATATCCGACTACAGGTGCATGTTCAACATTTTTCATCATCTTTAACAATGAATTTTAACCTTGATTTATTTCTGTTTGTTTGACTTTTTTCTTTTATTTATTATTATCGTCCAGGATTTGATTCGTCCATTAACGAAAGCCCAAATCAAAACGATTACATCGAGCAAATTGGAAGGTACAACATTGTTATTAATAGCTGCACGACATGGCCATTATCAAATGATCAAATATTTGATTGAAAATTGTTATGTTGACATTGAACAGGTAATAAAAATGAAAATTTTTTTTGTTCTTTTTTTTCTTAGTGACAAATAATAAAATTAATGAAAATGATTATTATTAGGTTGGAAAAGTTGAATTCGATGGCGAAACTGTACATGATACGCCCCCATTATGGTGTGCTGCAGCCGCTGGCAATATTGATTGTGTCAAATTATTGATTGAAAATGGCGCAAATGTCAATTGTACGACACATACAAATTCCACGCCGTTAAGAGCTGCATGTTTTGATGGCCATTTTGTAATTGTCAAGTATTTGGTAGAGAATGGTGCCGATATCGAAATAGCAAATAAACTTGGCCATACTTGTTTGATGATATCTTGTTTTAAACGCCATTATAATATAGCCTCATATTTGATTGAACAAGGCTGTCAGATCAATAGACAAAGTGTTAAAGGTATGATGATGATGACTAAATGATTTTTTTCATTTCTAATTCGTTTGATTTTTTTTTTTTGACATTTTCAAGGCAACACAGCATTACATGATTGTGCTGAATCAAATAGTATGGACATAATGAAATTATTGATAAAAAATGGTGCCATTCCTAAACGTGATTGTTTTGGACTAACACCATTAATGACAGCATGTATTAATGGTAATACGGAAATTTTCAATTATCTTAAATCAGTTTTCAATTGTACAATTGAAGAAGAAACCGATGCTTATCGATTATTGGGTGCTACATTTGTGGATAAATTATATAATATGAATGAAGCTCTTAAATATTGGAAACAAGCAGCAATATTGACTAGAAAATGTAGTAAAAAATATTTAGATAGCCTGATCAATACAGATGAATCATATAAGAAAGCATATAATAATTCAATGGAATTTCGAACTAAAGAAGATCTTGAAATTATTATATATGATCCAGAGCTAATGAAATATCAAGCAATGATGATTCGTGAACGTGTATTGAGTATTCATCATCCAGATACTTATTATTTTATTCGTATTCATGGTGAATCATTTGCTGAATCGGGAAAATATTTACGATGTATGTCAATGTGGATGTATAATCTTGAACAGCAACAGAATAATTCAAAACCTTTAAATGATATTACACAAAATAGTTTTCTATCGTTGATTGAATTATTCACATTGATTTGTCATAAAAAAGAATCTGATTTAAATGCATGTGATATATACAAAGTTTTAGAGATGGCCATCTCACAAGTATTGATTTCGTGCAATATAACAACGAATAATGTTGGCGGTGGTCGTAATAGCCGTATTCAACGTATCATTGATAATAAAGCATTAGTTAAAGATGAACGTTTCATGTTCGATGGATTCCTTAATCCATTAGATCGTCAGTTCCTTATTGTTATACATTTGATTGATTTTATGTGCCAATTGAAACGGAAAATGTGTCCAGAAATTTGGCTTTCGTTCCAGAAGCTAATGTGTCGTTTTTTATCTTGTGATCCAAGATCAACAAATTCACAATCATTATTACATATTATTTGTATATTATCATCAGAAAATGAAACATTATCAACAAATGAAATTTCATTTTTCAATATATTCAAATTTATTGTTGATCTAAGTACAAATCTGAACGTTGTTGATATACGTGGCAATACAGCATTACATTTTCTATTGGATAGTGATCAAGTGAATCCAGAAATGGTTGAATATCTAGTGGATGCTGGTGCACATATTGATCTACGTAATGATAAAGGATTAACACCATTGGATCTATTGGATGATAAACCATTAAGATTGAAAAATCGTTGTAAAATTCAATATGTTACATTACAATGTTTATGTGCTCAAACAATTATCAAAAATAATGTTGTTATAATCAATGAAACAATACCAAAAGATTTACGAAATTTTATTAATGATCATCAACCAAAAGATTTTTTCAATGCCATATTTTCAGCTTTTACTACTAATACAACAACTAGTACTACTAGTGAATCATCATCAAGAAATGATTAATTCAATTCATTATAATAATAAAATTAAAGTTAATCATCAAATTTAGTCATCATCATCATCATCATCATCATCATTTCATCATTTGAATGGTCTTCGAATTTTATCTTTACTTTTTCACTAGATTTCATCATCATCATCATCATATTCATTATTTGGATCCTAATTTTTTTTTCTATACGTTCCATCCGTTTTGAAAAAAAACAATGAAAACAAAACTGTCTCGCACATAATTTACACATAATGGAAAATTAACCTAATTCTTCTAATCATAATAATGAATTCTTTTATTTTGTTTGTTTGTTTGTTTATTTCTCATTTGTGATGAATTATCATTTTTTTTTTTTTGTTTATTTGTTTGTTTACATTGAAAATAATTTTTAATACCGTTTCAACATTGAATTCAGTTTTTTTTTTTTCTCTCTCTCTCTCGCTCGTAATTTTAAATTGAGAGATTGACACACAATCATTATATACAGATTCATTGATTATTATTCTATAGAATTGTTTTTATTTCAAAATTTAAAATATTCAAATTAACAACAACAACAACATACATACATAGTATATGAATGGGAATATTTTTCCTGTCAAAAACATTCGAAATTCTTTGAGCCAGTTATTCTTTATTCATATTTTTTTTTCTCTCATCCTGTTCAATGTTTTTTGTTTGTTTGGTCTATGTAAATTGATATCTTGTTGTTGTCATTTCTATTTTTCATTGAACGTTTTATTGAAATCATCATCATCATCATCATCATCATCATTCAATTTAATAAGGGTGTGATATATACAGAGTGAAAAACAGACAAAATTTTGTTTTTATTATTTACTATTCCAAATGGGCGATTCCATGAACGACAAATAAATGATAATAATAATAAAAAGACAACAACAAGGTTCATAACCTATTTCCGTTTCACTATATATTCAAATTCAATTATTGTTCTATTTTTTTTGCACACTTTGAATATTATAAATCAAAAAAATGTATGTTGAATTTACAGATAATTAGAATGAAATAATAAAATGATGATTATTTTAGAAAATTCACATCATTCACATGTTTTTGTTTTTTTTTCTGTGTTTTGATTTAAAAATCTGATTATTTTCAATCGTTTCCGTTCAATTTTTTTTTCTGCACATGTGTGTGTGTGTGTGTGATAGAATGAATCGGAAAAGGGCGAATTATCATTTGTGTTTGTCATCATCATCATCATATAAAACACACAAGGTGCATAGCGTATTGTTTCGCACTAATAGACATTACCTGCCCTGAAATAAAAATTATTACCGTTGCCCTAAAGAGAACATAGAGTTCTTGTTGTCGTGTGTGTGTGTGTGTGTGTCTTTTGTCTTTTTTACACATGGGTATGGCTTTTTTAAAAAAAAGCAAAAAAATCTGGCCATAAGGTCCTATGAACGTGGTGAACGGTAAAAAAAACGGTGACATTTGGTATACGATGTGGTATAGTTGCAGCAGATTGTGGCAAAGTCAATTGGAACAAACCAACAGTGCAGCTGTCTTTAAAAAAAAACGTTAACAGTTAACAGTTATATATCTATATGGGTCTTCAAAAACACCACAGACCACAGACATAGACATCATGATGATGATGGTGATGACCTTTACTCATTCTTCAAAAACCCCACTGAACATTATTATTATTATTATCATATAACAAATGGAAAACATACACGTGCCAAACGCGTGCAACAATAGGAAAAAAAAAAACACTTACATACACAGACAAGCACAGAAAATATCGTCGATATCATTATATGTTCCGCTCTAATTTACAACAAACAACAAAATGGCGGAAAAAGATTTTTTTTTCTTCCCAATTTTTACCATATCATGGACCAGAGTGAAGAAAAAAATAAACATACTTGAACTCTAGATATAATGGTTGTTGTTGTTGTTGTTGTTGTTTACAGGCCAATATTGTCTGACAAGACAGACACCTAGTCTGGTATACCAGTTGGCCAGTTTTTTTTTAAACATCCGATCGATACAGATGTCAGATGATGATGTGGTTTGATCTAAAAAAAAAAAAAAAATTGTCGGCGAAAAAATAAAATGATTGCTGATTTGTCAAAAACTTTGTATCATCATCATCATCATCATCAGGATTATTATTATTATTATATGACACATATGTGAAAGATTTATTTTCATTTCCATTTTTCCATCATATTTTGAATCATATGGATATGGATATTCTGGTTGTATGCTAAACGGCCATTCAAGAAATGACTATGTCTGTGTGTATGTATCATTTTGCATAGTTTTGGAACCGAAGATTTCCAAGTCAAAAAAAAAAATGTCCAAAATGGAAACATTTTCTTTTACAAACACATACCATGTGTATATGGTGGTTTATCTCTTTTTAGATGAAATTCTAGAAAAAAAAATTTTTACGTCATTTTTACACTGAAAAATTTCCAACAACGATGATGATGATGATGATGAGACGGCCATTTTCAATTCATGTCACAATCATCATCATCATCATGATCGTCTTAAATTTAGTTCCATAACCATTATCTCTTTCAAAAAAAAAAAAAAATGTTGTACATGTACAGGACACAGACAGAAAAGCAAAATTTTTTTTTCTAGCTACTGTGTTCCATATAGAAATAATAAAGAACGAAAGTTAGAAGATTGAAAAATTAAATTCATTTCCATCATAGGTTGATTTGAGGCAACAAAAATTTTTTTTTTTTTCACTTACCTTTTAAACTTTTGTTCTTTTTGTTGTTGCCATGATTATCGTTTTTTTCGTTGGATGAGATGGCCAATTCGACACATTTATAGCGTGTGTGTGTGTGTGTGTGTGTGTTATGGTCTGATTAATTTTCGTTTCGTGTATGTTTATGGCAAAATTATTTTGTGTGTTTTCAACAAAAAAAAAAAAAAAAAAAATCGTTTCATGTTCAGCCATTGTCGTCGATGTTGTTGTTGTTGGTTTTTTCGTTTGCCATTCAAAAAAAAATTTAAAATTTCGCTTTTATTTTGTCAAATTCTTGTTGTTGTTGTTGTTGTTGAATCATGATGATGATTGATGATGATGATGATGATGTTCATTTATTCTTTTTGCAAAACACAATTATCATAATCATTATTATTTATAGAATCTCGGCGAGATAAAAAAATTAGAATCTTCGTATTCTTTCAACGAAAGTAAGATTGTAATGCGAATTGGTCCAGATGTTTTTCTGTTTCGTGTTCGTTTTTTTTTCTCCGTCTTAATTCCATGATTATAAACATCATCATTATTCCGTTTGAATTCATGAATATAAAAAACGGATGATGATTATGATGATGATAAGGAGGATTTTGGTTTTTATCTTGACAAGATTTCACATGAAAAATAACTGAATTTGATTGAATGAATGAATGAATGTTTTGTTGTTGTATTCGAATATATTTTCAATAATGAATCCTGTTGTGTAGAAATGGGCGACACACACACACACAGGATGTGTGTGAGTGTGTGTGTGTGTTTATAGCCGCAAACAACATGCATAACAGGATTTCTTCGTATACGCTCCAATTATATATTCAAATTGAATAATTTGATTGACAACAAACAAACAAATGATGAAGAAGATTCATCATGATGATGATGTTAACATTGTGACAGTTTTTTTTTTTTTTGAATCGAAATAAATCAAAAAATCGACAACCATTCTATTTTGTCTATGTGTCAGTGTCAATGTGATATCTCATTTATCATTCATTCATTCATTCATTCTCATTAATCCTTCATACGGTGACAGTGACATAATTATCATCATCATATTGAGATAATGAGATTAGTGCAAGATTTTGTAGTTTAAAATTTTTTTTTTTTTTTTAAATTAAAAATAGAAAGTTGCAAGTCCATCCAATTTTCTATAAATAAAATTCAACCATCACACACACACACACACATACACATATGACATGACAATAATTCGAACGTGATTATTTTAATTACCAAAAAACAAAAACAAAACAAAAAAAAAAAACATTCGTAAATTGCTTGCATTGTTTTTTTTTTTGGTTGTGACCCAAACGTTTCGTGTATAATGATGATGATGATGATGATGATGATGATAATGATAATGGTGTACAATAGAGTTGGTCATCATTGCAGTAATTTTTTTTCTTTCAAAATGTCAACCATAATATAATCAGATTAAAGAAGATGAAAATGGTCATTTGTGTTTGTTGACCTATAAACAACAACGACAACTTATAAACTTGTTACTTGTTTTTTGACCAGAAAAAAAATACAATCAAATTACCTCATCATCATATATGTGTACATCATGATTATGGTTGAAATTCAATTTTCAACTTTCCACCATTTGTAACAAGTTTTTTTTTGCAATAAATTTGTGACAAGTGACAAGGACAATTATCACCTGTGGCCAATTCATTTTTGATCCAAAAATCAGCCTTATTCGGATGGTTGTATGGTGAAATTTTTTCGAATGTTCACCTGTGTCTGTGTGTGGTTGATAATGTCAATCATTAATAATTGAATCAATTTTTTTGTTGTTGTTGTTTAAAATTTAGAAATGATGACCGTCACCTATTTTTTTGCATCGTTTGATTTAATGGTATGTTTTTTTGTTGTTGTTGTTTAAGGGTGCGGATGCTAAATTACAATGGTTAAATGGCAAATGGTAAACCGATTTGTTCCGATAATGTGATTGTGATGGCAATAAAAGAATCCATTCAATATTCAATATTTATGGTGATGATGACGATTTTTGTTTTGTTGTTGTTGTCAAAATCAAAATGTCATTTTTTGGGAAATGAACAAAACACAAGCAACAGGCAGCCAGCCAGGCAGGCGTGTCCACATTGTATTTTTTTTTTTTTTTACATTAACATAGAACCACAAACAAACATCCAGAGACCAAAACCCTACAAAAAAAAAAAAAAAAAATTGAACGGAAAATGGTTTTTTCATGGTTCTATGGATAATGTTTTTTTTTACGCGCGCAACCTAGTCCTAGCTCGCTCTCTCATACACATTCTCTTTTTTTCCTGGTAAGCTAAATACAGCTAGACCAACTGTTTCTCTCTCTCTCTCTCTCTCTATCTCATTCGATAAGATGAAAAAAAAGCAATGAAACCGATGAAAGTTTTTTATTTTTATTTTTAGTCAAACTGTCGACAAATATAAAATAAAAAATGACGATAGTCATCAACAACATCATCATACATAAGTGGGATATATATATATATATTCGAATGTTCAAATTTCAGCTGCTCCCACGGTATTATAAACTTGGCAAAAGTGTTTCTGGTCTTTTGGTCTCTCACTCTGTGTGTGTGTGTGTGTGTGTGCGTCCTGTTTATGCTTATGTATCGTCGTCTCTTTCAATTTCAAAAAAAAAAAAAAAAAAAAATAACGACAAACCATGATGATGATGATGATGAAGATCAAATCCAATGGCGCGCAATGTGTGTGTGTGTGTGTGTATGATGGAAACAAACAAGATTCAATATGCATCAAGAAGACCATATATCATCATCATCATCATCATCAATGCCCGTTTACCAACAACATTTATATAGTTGATGGCCGTCTGTTCACATCAAACATTTCTATGTGTGTGTGTGTGTACAAAAGTTTCGAGGTTTTTTCTCAATCCATCCATCCACCAATTTCATTCATTCATTCATTTATTAATTGAACAACCATTCGTATGGAACGAAATGAAATGAAATGAAAATGTTCAGTTTTAAAATGGCATGGTAACGTGTGTGTTTAACGTGAAAAAAAACCTAACCGATTTTATAATCCAGTTCACATAACCAATGAATCAACGAATCAAAACGGTAAAAAAAAAAAATTATCAAACATTAACCACCACCAGTAACCTTAATTCTGGCTGTAGTGTGCACGTCTATTGCAACTTGTATAGGTAACCAGACGAGAAAAAAAAACGTTCGAATCTATTTTACATGTAATGATGATGTACATTGATGAGAAAAATTACGCGCCATTTCATCGTTGATTTTAGTGAACCAACAAAAAAAAAATGAACAATGGCCTCATTTGATTAACTTTATTTTTTTTTTGACCATTATCATCAATATCGATCAATAGTTGTGTCCATTGAACATCGTTGATCATCATCAATGGCCATTGTTTTCTGGATCGATTGTCTTTGTCTTTATGTGTGTGCAGGTATTACATGTGATATAATGAAAAATGAACTGAATCAAATTTCGATGATCAACAACAACAACAACAACAAAGCAGCAAAGAAAACTAGCTCCGTCATCGCCATTCAACAACATATGTATAGTTGATGATGGTGGCCAGGCCACCTACTTGAATAAATCAATTTTTTTCTTCTTTTTCTCAACAAAAATCAACATCAAAACAAATCATCATCATCGAAAATTGTCATTGAAAATGTATATGTGAATCATACATCTGTATATGTGTTGAGTTCAATTCACATCATCATCATCATCATAACTACCTGAATTCATTCACAAAGATCTGTCTGATGAAAGTGATTTTTGTTTTTGATTAACACGAATCAATCGTTATATCTATATCTCGTAGTCATCATCATCATCACAACCGACAAATAACATACACACTCCATGGTCACCACCACCACCACCACCATCAACAACAACAAAATTGTTCCGTCATCGATGAAATAATAAACACGAAACATTTCCATTTTTTTTGTGTTTATTGAAAGAAACAAAAAATTGGTTACGATAATAATCGATTTGATCAACAAAGCAAGCAACAAAGCAAAAAATCAAATCACCACACAGCATATATAATAACACAATGAACAAATCCATAGAAAAAGATTGAAATTCATTCAAACCATAATCGATCATGGTGAAAATCCATCGTTGAAAAAAAATTTTTTTCCACATTTTTTTTCGTAGATAAATTGTATCGATTTTTTTCTTGGAAGAAAGAAAGAGGAAGTGATCCAACTGTTGAATGAAAAAAAAAATATTTGGCAACAACAACAGCGCACAGTTTTTTTTGGATCAACATGCAAGATTTTCTTTCCAATTGATGGATCATCATCATCATCATTGGTGGTAAGTGGTGTTTAAATTTTTATTTGTTTTTTTTGAAAGAAAAATTTTTTTTTATTCATTTTTGCATCATCTTGTAAATTCATTTTGGCCAACATTATTTCACCCAATGATTGTTGTTGTTGGTTGATTGAAATTTTTATTCTCCCAATGTTGTAGAAAAGCCAGTTTATTTTACTCTATGTAAACACACGGACACACAATCAATGTCTGTTTTTTTTACGTTGATTTTTTTTTATTTATTTTCATTTTCACCATCACCACCACCATCATCATCATCATCATGGTGTGATGGGTAAACAACTTTCGTAGAAAAAAAAAGAAATTACAAAATTAAACATTCCTTTCGTTACCGAATTGCCATTGACCTTCGTTCGTTCGTTCGTTCATCGTTTGTTTGTATTTAAACATCGTTGTCGGTTTTTTTTTGCATCCAATACGATTGTCTGTGTTGATCGGTATCATCATCATTCCAAGTAATAAGTTCCTTTTTTTCCACACATTAATTTTTGGCCATTTTTTTTGTTGGTCAGTCTCGTTATTATTATTATTCACATAAATCTTTTATTAGAGTAGAGAACAAAATAATTTTTTTTTTCAACAAAACTCCAATGTTTTGGTCAATGAATGAATGAATGTTTTTATCGGAATTTTTTCTTCTTCTGATCAAGACTTGTGATGACCAGAATCATCATAGATATAGATTGCATTGCACACACACACACCAGACAAAAACAACAACAAAAAAAAATCAAATCGAAACTTTTCGCATTGAGAAAATTAATGTACAAATTGAAATGATAATGATGATGATCATTATTTTTTTTGTCCATACTGAATCGTTTATAATTTGAAATGGGGAGAAAAGAAAACCGGAACAAAAAAATTGTTTTTATTAAAGCCAAACACAAAAGAAAAGATTCTAGATTACGAATAATCGGATTATTATCATCAAAAAAAAAAAAATCTAAATCAAATGAATGATAAATGAGCATTCTCAAAGACAATCATTGATTTACTTTGTTGGCTAATAATAATGGTTGACCAAAAGAAAGAAAAACTTTTTCCTCTTTGCTTCGAAAGTTTGATTTTGTTTTTGGAAAAATTGAAATTTATGAATGAATTAATGAACGAAACAAACAAACAAAGTCCTGACCTATTAGATGGATAAACAAAAAAAAAAACTTTTCAAATGTCACCATCATCTTCGTTGTGAAACAAAACAAAACAAAATACAAAAAAAAACAGATGGAAAACATTCCGTTTTTTTTTTGTTTCTCCCTCATGGTTTAAATTCGTAGACATTTCCATTCTCATTATCATCTCATTGTCGTCGTTGTCGTTGTCGTCGTTTTCATTTTTGTCATCATCATAATCATTTTCACATAATCTTCATTGTTTCTTTTTTTTCCATATGATGGTTGGTATTGTGTTTAAGTCTGAATTTGCTTATTATTATGTTTCAATTGTCATTCTGATGGAATTTCCGTGTGTGTGTGTGTGTGTGTGTGTGATGTATTCTTTTTAATTAAATCCTTTTCCTTTTGTTTTTGTTTAGAAAATTTAAACTGTCCATAACTGCTATTGTTATTTCCAAAAACAAAAAAAAAAGAAATGGCAAAAGGAAATCGTACAACGGTTAATATTGATCAAACATTTCTGACGACTAAACATCCGTTTCATGAATCATCATCATCATCTTCGTCTAGTCATCATCCTCATCATAATGCACAAAATCAAATTATCACTTCCGGTAAATATAAGAATAATAAACGATACCGATTTGATGATATTGAACAATCAATTGTTGCTGGTGGTGTCGATGATCTTATTGGTGAACCGTATTCACAACAACAGGATTCAACAACATTGATGGCAAATAAATTATTATCGGTCAGTTCATTGCCAGTACGAAATGGCATCAACTATAGTAGTATGAATGGAACATTTCGAAAATATCAAAGCGATCTGCAGCCAGTTAAAATGACCGTAACAAAAACAACAACACCACTACAATTGTCAACTAATAAGCAACCAGCAATAATATCATCATCATCATTGAATGAATCTCCACAATCCGGTAAATCAACAACGACGACACTTGTTGTACCAACATCAACATCAACATCAACATCACATGTTCAAATGACTTCGGGGCAAATTTCGAATACATCAACATCGAATCAGACCGCCACAACATCGATATCATTACCATCGGTATCAGCTCAAGTTGGACAACAACAACGTGGACAAAATCATCATGGACAAAATTATCTAAAAAATATTTCTTTAGCAATGATGATGCCAAATAACCTGGCTGGTAATCAACAACAACAACAACAACATAAACTTCATAATCAACCACAACAAAATAAAAATAAACAACAACAACAACAACCATTGCTTAATAGTTTATCAATGTTGGAATCATCATCATCAACTTTACATCAACAACAACAACAACAACAACAGCATCAACCAACGGTAACTAGTCAACAAATGCTTAATAATAATAACGGAAGTCATCATTTTCATCGCCATCATCATCAACCTCATAATCATCAAATGCATCATCATTCACAACATCAATATTACGAATCATCACCAATAATGTTGGACAATGATGATGATGATAATCATATTCATTCGAAATCCAATCCAAATTATAATCAATTATCATCATCATCAATATTTTGTGTTGGAAATTCATATCGTTTGAATGGTATTGGTGAATTATTAGCATCACTAGCACTAATGTGTATACTGTCATTATTAATGGCATTTCTTGCATTATCATTTATTCAAAGATCATATTCAATTTCACAATTATCAGCAAATAATGTAATACTGCCAAATGAACAGCCGATTAATGTATATAATAATAATTCAAAACAATCAAGATTCTTTCATACCAACACCAATGTCAATACAAATGGTAATGGACAATTTAATCAAAAAATTGTTGCCAATGCTAAAGAATATATAAAAGTATTTCAAATATCAATATCATTAAGCACATTGACCATTGCATTGGATCTTTGTTGTTTATTCGTATGTTGTATACAATTTTTATCCATTATTAAATTATTGAAAACACCGTTTGGAGTTCGAAGGTTAGTGTTTTGTTTCTGTTTAATCATCATCAGTCAATAAACTCTTTTTTTGTTTTTTTTGCATACACACACATAGGTCATTTGAATTTATTAAGAAAACATCACATATACGAATCATTTCGATTGGAGCTTTTCTAGTTTCAATACCAATCTTTTTTACTGGTAAGTTTAATAATAAAAAACTTTCTGGCAATTGTTTCTAATTGTGTTTTTTTTTTTTTTCATCAGGTATAATCCTTTATACGTTTGTCAATTTTGATGAAATACCAGCATTAATAACATCGATTATAATTGGAATTGGAATTATATTCTGTGGTGTTGCTTCAGTTCAAAATGTTTATCTATGGCAGGTATGATTTTCGAGTTTTTTATAATCATTTAAATCTGTTTACATATTTTTTTTTGTTTTGATTACCACATATATAGTGGGAAAAAACTAAAGCCAGTCAAGAGATGCAACAATTTCATCATCAACAACAACAACAACAAAGCGAAATCTTCAACAACAACAACAATCATCATTTGTTTATGGAAATGGACAGATAAACAATAACAATACAATCAATAATAATAATACATTATCATCAATATATCAGCCGGCTGAATTATCGACATTAGTCTGATGATTTATATTTTGTTTTCATTTGAAACCAAAACTAAATTTAGTCATTGTTGTTGTTTTGAAAATTGAATTCCAAAGAATTTAATGACTATTAATGTTTTATTTCCTCTTATCACTACTACATACGTATTACAACACACACACAGTTTTCATTTTTTTTAATTTTAATGAAATTATTCTTTACTTTCTATATCAAAATCAATATTTTTAAATTAAAAAAAAAATCATTGTTTATTTTTGTATTTGTATCATCTCAATTCATTATTATTACAAATATTTATTTACACAAAATACACATTACAAGTGTGTGTGTGTGTGTGTGTGTGTGTGGGTGGGTGTGTTTTTTTCTCTTGAAAAAAGATTTTTTTTTTTTGGTCCGGAATGAGGTAATTTTAAAATAAATTCGGTGGATTAGTGATGACATTTATTCAGATTGTAGATATGCAATATAGCAATATTCAGAGAACCAACGATTTAGAAGAATAAACAAATGTCGTAAACATACACGATCCATACACTACACTTTTTGTTTCGGTAACCAGAATTGAAATCAACACTAATTTTTTTTTTGCATTGTCAAATTATTATTATTATTATTCAAGTTAAATTAGTTTACTGAATAAAATTGGAAAAAAAATCATATTGGCATGTCATATATAGAAGCACATATATCATCGGAATTTTCTTAACACAATAATGATGGAGAAATGAAAAAAAAAAAATTCATTCTGATTGGTGGGTGTGTAAACAATAATTGTCATTTGTTTGTTGTCAATAATAATAATAATTCAATTATTAAGTTAGAAAAATAGTAAGCAAATAAAATATTCCTATTGATGATTATAATTATCATTATTCGGTTTGTGGTCACAACAAAATTGTACCTGTGTGTGTGTGTGTGTGTGCTACTGAAGAATTAAAAATTTATAGTACAACAATCAATGAATGATGATGACAAATAAACAAGAAAAAAAATTAAAAAAAATCTTGAAACAGAATAATTTTACATGATGATCATGATGATGATGATGAATGATTATCGCAAATATAATGATGAAAAATATATTTACAAAGTAGTGAAGCGAAACGAAAAAAAAATCGATTCCAATCAGATAGAGAGAGAAAATTTCAAAAAACATTCATTCATTCACTACATAAATGAATGAATGATTCGATTAGTTGTGTGTTAATGAATGTATATTATTCCATGTAAATTAATATGGTTTGTGTGTGTGTGTGTGTGTGCGCGCGATTATTAATTATTTATTATTAATGAAATATACAGCAAAAAAAAATCACAAAAGTGAAAAAATCTGAATAATGAAGACGATGAAGGAAGTGTGTTAATGATGATGATGATGATGATGATGATGATGGTGTTATCGATCGATTGATACAGTAATAGTGTTGTTGTGAATGAGGAATATGAATACAAAAATATTCACAGAATAGAAATAAAATCTATCAAAAGGCCTGATGATTATTACAAATGTTGTAGATACACACACACACACACACACGCAGGACGATTATGTAATTCCGGCAGTCCGATGGTTCGTCATTATATTCTCTTATTGAATATACAATAAATGATGATAATGATGTGAAAAGATCCTCAAGGCCAATATAATCCAAAAATTGTGTCATTACACAAATGTTCAATAGGAAAAATGATAGACGTTCGAAATATCAATTAGCTCATAATCAAAATTTATGTGAATGAATGATGATCGATTTGTTGTTGTTGTTGTTGCGGCAAAAACATTATCGTTATTTAGGTGTGAATTGATGAACAGTATTCGCAGGTACCGTATGATTGACCATCATTGCTATGGCAAAATCAAGTTTCATTATTAGCCAAAAAAAAAATAAAACAAAACTTTCTCTACTTACCACTGTATGGATCGAATATTGGATAACCAATGGCCGATGTATGTAATGAATGTCTAGGAGGCAACGTTGGTGGTGGTGGTGGTGGATGCATCGAATGATGAATATGACCACGTTCAGGTCCTGGAGGTATCGATGATGATGAATGAGGAATAGGTGGAACACCGGTTAAATGATTGTTTGTTGTATTAGAAAGGAATTCAGATGATTTGTTTGGCGATGATTTATGATAAATTGATGTTGTTGATGGTGTTGTTGATAATGATGAAAATGATGACAAAGGCAATGATGATGATGATGATGATGGAACACATATGGAGCTCGATGCGATTGTTGAAAATATCTTTGGATTGTGACTATTGAATGGTAATGATGCTGCTGATGATAATGAATAGCTTAGCTTGTTAGATGTCGGTGATGAATGAGGCGGTAATGTTGATGCTGTAGAAGACGAAATTGTTGAATTTCTTGACACGTTCGGACCACTGGCGGACATACCCGGAATACCATCCAATGGATTCAATGGATGTGATGGAAATCTCATTTGTGAATGTAAAAATGGTGATGAACCAGATGGTGGTGGACCGTAAGGTGGTCCCATTACAACAGGATTCATGGGATTATGACCAACACCACCACGAAACATTGCATCGAATGGTGACGGAGCACCGAATGATGGTGGCAAAAATGATGGACTATAATAATAACCATTGTTGATTGGTGGTGGTCCAGTGCTTTCCATTGTTGGTTTCATTCCTTCATCATGTTTATTTGTTTTGTTGGATGTTAAATCTTTCGTTGATTGCTGACTATGTTGACTAATACCATCATCTTTATGATCTTTAGATTTACTAATTTTCATTTGAGGTGATGAATATTTTCCAACTTTATCTTTCAATTTACTTTCAACATCAAATGGTGAAAATTTCGGCTGTTGAGATGGTTGAGGCAACGGTTGTGTTGAGAGTGATGATGGAGGTTTCGGTAAATGTTCATTGTTACCGTATGTATTAACATTACTACCTGGTTGTTGTTGTTGTTGTTGATCAAATGTATATTGTATTCGATTCTTTAGATTCTGAAGTTCAGCAATTGCAGAACCAGGTGCACCACTTGTAATCATATCTTTAGAATCACTGTCTGTGGATTTATTGTTTCCACAATCATTGTTATTAGATGATGATCCCACGAATCCACGACCAGTAGAAGAATATAAAGGTGAATATGGAGAAAATGGTTGACGAGAATCAGACGTGATTGAATTATCGTTATCTTCTTTATTGTTGAGATCATTGTTATTGGATTTTTGTTCAGAAGAATCAGTTTGATGATTCTGTGGAATTAGGAATTGAGATTTATTGAAAAAGTGATGTGGTAATGATGGTGACGGTGCCAAGTTAGAATTTCCATCACCAAGCGGATTGAATTGATTAGATGGAATCTTTTTGGTTCCATTTGTATCGGTGGTTAAATCCTGGCTTTTTGGTACAGTTTTAGTTTCTGAGGAAGTTGAATTAGTGGAAACAACAACACCAGCGCCAGCACTGCCACTGCCGCTACCACTGTCATTATTATTACTACTGTTATCGTCAGAAATATCCGAATATGCCGGACTAGCAACGGGTTTTTCATCAACCATTTCACAATTGTTGTTCTTCACAAGATCACTGTCACTGGCAAGATCACTTTGATCAATATTCGTTGAATCAATAGAATCTGTAACATTTTTTTGTTGAGATGGTGATAAAGCCGAATAGGACGATTTATTACAATCATCGACTAGTGTCGTATCATTGTTGGCACCATTTTTCTTTTTCAATTCTAATGATTGAGGAGTATTCAACGGATCGGGTATTTCATTTTGTTGTGAATCAGATTTCTTTATCGGTGAATCAGATTCATTATTATCACTGTCGGAAACATCACCACTTTTGACTGGTGTTGTTTCACTTGTGTTCATAGTTGGATTATTATTGGCTTGAGATTCAGAAAATTCTTGAGTATCACTAACGTTGAAAGTACTGCCAAAATGAGCATGTGATTGATGATACTTAAGGCCATTAATATGACGATATTTTTTCGAACAATTCGGTTCCGGACATTCGATCAATGCCGGTGAATTCGGTTGTCCAGAATCGCAATTAGTGTTTAAAATTTTATTTCGCTTTCCATTTCCACTAATATTCGTATTATCATCACCAATAGCTAAATCTAATTCGCTTGGTCGACCTTTACGTTTGTTGCCTGATGATGATGATGATGATGATGATATTGAAGAATTTATTGCCGAATCACTTTTGGCCGGACTTGAAGGAACGTAACCCGAATTTGCTGTACGACGACCTTTTCCATTTCGAAGTTTACTAGTAACCGATCGTGTATCAATAGAATTTTCTGCAATAAAATTATTTCGGGCCCGTTTTCCACGAGTATTTTTCAATGATTTCGATTCAATATCACTGGTAGGTGATTCACAAAATCTTGGTGGTGCCCAATCATGTTTAGTACAATCCAACAAGGTTCCAACATAGGTTTTACCACGCCAAGTGATATTCACAACCAAAACACCTAAAAGAAACAAATGAAATTCTAATAATCAAAAGAAAATAGTTGAGAATTTTTTTTCAAATACCATTTTCTGTTTCTTGCCAAACAATTCCTTCAAGCGTAACACTGGTACCAGGTTCACATGGTCCAAGACAATCTGGTTCAGTAATCGTTGCAATACTGGTCATAGTACCAGAATCCATTCGATCAGCAATATTTTCATCAACCTGAAACATGCAATAAAAAAAACATTTTTATAAATTTCAACGAGAATAAATCCATTGGAATAAACCTTTTCATTTGTTCGTTGAATTGGATTAATCACAGTTGAATTTGTAAATTTATTAAGCGTTGTTGATCCAGATGACGATGATGATGATGCATTCACATTAGATAGATGATGATGATGATGATGATGACGAAGATGAAGACGACGATGATGATGATGCTATATGATTAATGATGAAAACAAAGAAAAAAACAAACAAAATTAGACTTTATATGGAAAGAAATTTTTTTCACTTCAATCAAACCTAATAATTCATCATTATTTTGATCATTTAATGTCGAATGTTGTTGTTGATGTTGAACCGGATTATTATTGTTGTTATTATTAGCTGTCATCAAATTATTATTGTTGATGTTGGTAGTGGTTGTACTATTAATTTTATCTCGATTTAACTTATTATTATTATTATTTTCTTTATGTGAATGATGATGATGATGATGGTGATGGTGGTGATGATGATGATCTTTTTTGTCACGATGACCACTATTTTTATTTTTACTTGACAAACAAGACGACTTGGAATCTAATGTTGATCCAGAACAATTAGCAATTGTTGATGATGATGATGATGATGAGCCAGTATTTGAATTCATTGTCGTTATTATATTATCATCATTATTATTATTTTTATTAGTTAATGATTCACCAACATCTTTTTTATTGTTATTGATCACAGAATTATTATGATGATGATTTGAATCAATAATATTCTTCACTGTTGTCGTTGTCATAGTTGTTGATGAATTATTTGATAAACTATTTGAAGAGATATGTGATGAAGATGTTTGATGAGAATTTATTTGATGCTCAATAATAGCTGCCGATGACGAATTAATTGATGATGAATATGAAGATTTTGAACCGGCACCAATATTTGTTGTCATCGAAGGTGATGATGAAGTAACAGAAGCCATCGATAATGATGATGATGACGATGATGATGATGATGGTGCAGATGATGAAGCAGTTGACGTATCTGATGAAACAATTTCGTGATTAATTTCAGAAATTTTACCACCAATATTTTTTCTTTTTATTTTCATTTTAAGACTTTTGGCATGTTGTTGTTGTTGTTGATGATGATCAATCAACGTAGTAGCAGTTAATGCTACCGATGATGCAGATGATAATGAATTGAGGCTTTTATTAGTTAAGGATAATGCAGGCGTTGTTGTTGTTGTTGTTGTAGTTGGTGTTGCCGTTGTTGTTGTTGTTGTTGAAGATCCTATCGCTAATACTGATGATGAAGAGGTGTTATTGGTCAATGTTGAATAATTATTACTACCGATTATTATTATTATTATTATGACTATTTGTAATAACATTCAATGATGATGATGATGAGGATACCGATGTTGGCGTAGTGGATGATGACGATGATGATGATGTAGATGAATGACGATTCATGTGGCCGTTATTATTGCTATTGATGCTTGTATTTAAATTATTGGAATTTATGGAATTAACTATAATCGATTTTGATGATGATGATGATCCATTGATTGCTGTTTGATTCGATTTACTACCACCACCACCACCACCACAACCACTATTATTACTATTACTAGTACTACTACTACTAATACTATTTCCGGAACTTTGTTTCGATGAAATTCCAGATGATGAAGACGAAGACGAAGACAACGAAGACGAAGTCGATGATGATGTCGATGATTTTAATGATCCTAAACGATTCAATTTAAAATTGGAAGACATTCCACACGATGATGATGATTTAATAGATTTATTATTATTATTATTATTAATTTTATTACGATTTTTTAACGATGAAGATTGTTTATTATTATTATTATTATCACCTTCACTAGGTGTTAAAGTTGTTGTTGTTGTTGTTGTTTGCCTTTCAATATCAGCATCTAAATCGATAATTAAATCTCCAATACTAATATCCCATTCATTATAATCATCATCAAAATTATTATTATTATTATTATTGCTAGATTCGGAAGATGGTTGCTTTTTTTGATTTGTTGTTGTTGTTGATGATGATGATTGTGATAACGATGCTGCTGCTGATGCTGCTGGTGATGATGATGATGAATTTGAAACAATTAAAGATGATTGTTGAGATTTATTATTAATATTTTGTAAATGATCTGAATTATCAGCTTTTTGATGATTATGATTATGACGATGACGATGATGATGATGATGATTTTCGACAAGTTCCACCTTATGATGGTGGTCCTCAATATCGGCCAATTGAATCTTCTCTTTCATTGATACGGATATTAATAATAATTTTATTATTGACGACAATTATTGTCATCGACGTTTTTTTTATCGTCGTTGGCCAATAATAATAATAATAATGAAAATATTGAATATTAGGAAAAAAATATCTCTTGTTATCGGTAATCATCGAGACGATTTTTTTTTTTTTTTTTTTGGCGTATACAATATTTAATAATAAAAAAAATTGACAAAATAATTGATCAACACACACACACACACAATCGATGATTGGATTTAGAAAGAGATCAAAAAAAATTGGGTTGAAATAGATTCGAATCCACATAAACACAAAATTGAAATTGTGAAATTATTTAAAATTCATTGATTGATTATCCACACAACAGACACAGTATACAGTCAAAAAGTACCGAAAAAAAATCATTTATTTTTTCTTGGATCGAAATTGCAACAGAAAAAAAAAAAAAAACTAAATCAACATCATCGACAACAACATCATCATCATCATCATCAAACAACAACAACAACAAATAGCTAGGTGTGTGTGTGTGTGTGTGTGTGAGTCTAGTTTTTTTTTGTCCCTGTAATATGTTTGTTGTATATCTTCTCTATGGCTTACTGTGTGTTGTATTTTGGCTGGCTGGATGGCTGGATGGCTGGTTGGTTGGTTGGTTGGTTGGTTAGTTGGTTGGATCCCGAAAGTTTTTTTTTGTGTTTGTATAAATGGTGTGAGTATCATCCAAAAAAAAAACTTCGGTATAGAAACTCTTGGCCACAAAAAAAAAAAACTTATTCACTCATTGCATTCACTTTGCTCACAAACACACACACACACAACTTGAATTCGAAGATGAACAACAACAACAACAAAAGCAAAGAAGACGACGACGACGACGACGACGAAAACGAGCCGAAGATGATGATGATGATGGAAACAAGCAAAACTGAGAGAGAGAGAGAGAGAGCGGAAAAAAATACAGTCATCACTCCTCTATTACACATCGATCGATTGAATATTATGTCATCACATTTTTTTTTCACATTTTCTGTTGATCATCGTTGTCTTCCGATTAGAAACACATTGGTGTGTGTGTGTGTGTGTCATGTGTTTCATTTTTTTTTCAATTCAAAAAGTGATTGATTTTTTCTTCTTCTTCTTCTTTTACCACTTTATTATGTCAAAATATGTGTTAAATGTAAAATGAAAGACAAAATGAATTTTTCCATCCATTCATTCATTCATTCATTTTCTTGGAAATTGTTCAAACGAAAAAAATGATGATGATGATGATGGAACAATGAATGGTGTATGTATGTATCTTTAGATCAGAATCATCAGAATGGAGACAGAATATATATATCCCACTAGAATCGATTTTTTTTTTGGATCTATTTGATCAGAATATCGTAAAATGACAGAGAACTAGAACTATAGATCCAGAAACAAAAAAAAAAGAGTCCAGTCTGTGTGTGAAATAAAAAGAACATGAAAAAAAAACTAACTACATTATATTACAAGGAACAGTAATAATAATAATAATAAAAAGTACATGAACCCAAAAAAAAAAAAAAAAAAAAATGCAAGCGAACGCACACACACACAGTGTTATTTCAATGAATGTGGTATATATATGGATTTTGTGAACGAAACGCGCGTTCCATGAAAATGAATCAATGAAAAAAAAAATTGATGGTTATAGTCACAATACATATGTGAATAACAATATTTTTTACATTTTTCAAATACAATCATGTTAGCATATACAGTGGCCATAATGGTCTATATTTGATACGTTTTTTTTTGGCTATTGTAGCCATTACCATTTTATAAAATGATAATAATGGCTGACTCTCTCTCAATGTATATCTTTTTTTTTCATTCATTCATTCAATTCAAAGAAAAAATACTCGTCGGTTCAGTTTGGTTCAGTTCAGTTCAGTTCAGTTCAGTTCAATTTAGTTTTAGAATCGATTCATGGTTGGTGTGTGTGTATTGTATTGTGTTCATTGTATTTTGTTTCATTTCATACACAAAACATGAACATACAAAGTTGAATGGCAATTTCAACGACAACAACAAGCCGTGGCCACTTCTTGTTGTTGTTGTTGTTGTTGTCCGCCATGGTGTTTTTTTTCTGGTTCTTTGTTTCCATATTCTTCTTCTTCTTCTTCGACAACCACCATATTTTTTTTTTATATTTACCGCCAGTTGTAGTGGCAACAGCAGTTGCAGCAGCATCGGCAACAGCAGCAGTTGAATCGGCATTAAAAAAAATTATGTGGTTGTAGTGGTAGTAGTAGTAGTAGTAAAAGTGAATGAATGGTTGGCTTTTTTCAAAGTTTTCATTTTTTTTTGAAATTTAAAACAAACACAGAAAAAAAAGTCACAGCCAGTCTGCAAAAAAAATTTTCATATAACCGTGATTATATTCAGTCGTTGATTTGTCTTCATTCGTATCGTTTGGATCATTTTCAACAAAACAAAACAAAAAAAAACTACCAATTTGAAATATATAGGAAAATGAAATAAAAATCCTAATCGTTTGAATCTTTTTTTTTCTTGTTGTTGTTGTTGTTGTTGTCGTTGTTATTCAAATATGCAACGTAAAAAACGTATTATCATCAATCTTGACACAAATACACCAGGGGACATCAGAGAGAGAGAGACCAATGTCCAAAATCGCATTATATTAGACAGAATGTTTTGAATGGCAAGGGCCTTTTTCCTCCCACTATTTTTATGTTTAAATCTTGCACAGCATGAATTGTATAATGATCATGATGATGATGATGATGATGACTGGAATGATTGTAACAAAAAAAAAATCCCCATGTATCCAATTCGGGTAATTCACAAGATACATTGTCCAGTAAAAATGGCATTTTTTGGTAATTTAATCGTTTTTTGTTGGACTACATGAACTGGTGGTGGGTGTTTTTTTTTTTTTTTTTGTCACGGACTTGGACTAAAATTTATCATCGATCCAATCAGATTATTTTTCTTTTCTATTCTCTATTCATTTTTTATTCGTATCAATTTCAATTTGTGTGTGTGTATCTTATCGGTAATGGTAATGATTTGCATAATCAAAATCATCATTCAGTCTCGTGACAAAAACAAACAAACAAACAAACATTTATTTCATTGTACGAAGTAATGATTATTGACAAATTAATTCATAATGAACAATAATAATAATATGAAAATTCTGTTACTTTTCATTTTGAAATTCATATTTAACAGATTCAAAAAATCGAACAACAACAACAACAACAACAACAATGGGTAGACGTATTGCTAAATGAATAAATTGATGATGGTGATTCATTACAAATGAATAAATTTTCTTCCATTCTTTGGTAAATGCCAATTATTCCAAGAAGAACACAACAACCACCACCACACACATCATTATGAACGGCTAGCATAAACCCATTAAGCCATTGTCCTTTTGTATCATCATGATATATGATGATGATATGATGATGGTGGTGGCTGATTATATTGTTATGGAATTCTTTTCTTTTCTTTTCTTTTTCATTTTATTATTAATAAAATATTTGTTTGTTTCACTATAGTAGTAGTCTATTTATTCTTGATTCTTTGCTTCTACTTGGAAATTTGCAATTTTTGTTTCTTACTTAATAATAATAATAAAAATAATTCATGTGAAATATAGTAAGTAAGTAGCACATATTGTTTGCTATATATCCATGATATCCAATGTAGTAGTTCCAATGAATAAAATGAAAGCGGTGTGTGTGTGTGTGTGTATATATGTAACAAGATACTGTATCTTTTCATGTAAGCAAAACAACAAGATTCTGAGAATCTTTTAGGAAGCAAAAAAATGTTAATACTGTAAAATAATAGTGAGTAGTGAAAAACAAAACTTTTCTCTCTCTGTGTGTCTTTTATATTATTATTATTGGCCGTATTCACTTATCTATTATGTTCCCAATTGGGAAATGTGAATGTATTTCGATCTGGATTTTTTTTGCTGAATTCTTGTTGCATTCTGCAATAATAAAAAAACGAACGAATCAAATATTCTCATGAATTTCATGAGCTAAACGAATGTATGTGTGTGGGGATGGGAGAGAGAAAATAAGACAAAAATGGAATCCTCTTCCACGGATTCCGTGTGAATTCTTGTGAAAAAATGAATTAAAATTCAATCATAAAATGATCATTTAGAAAAAAATCAAATTATAATATTCATATGTTGACTCAAAGCTGCCATCTATGGAGAAATTTTCGCATCAAAAAAAATAATGGTAGAAAAAAAACATTTTATTTACATCCTAAAAAAAATTCAATCAATCAAAAATAAAATGTAGAAATAATAATAATGGCTATATATCCAGAAATCGCATCATTTTACCATGCGGAGTATATTTTTGTTGTTGTTGTTGTTGTTGCTATTGTTAGACCGGATAATAATCAATAACCACGAAGACCATTATAGGCATGAGCTTTGGATTCACTTTTGAATATTTCTTTGATTTGTGCACGTTTTTCTTCGCTTAATTGTTCACCTTTTGGAAATTCTACATCGAATGTAATGTACAAGATTCCGTGGAGATTATTATTTTCATAGTTTGGCATTCCTTCACCAGTTTTACGCATTCTTGCACCAGGCCAAGTGATTTTATCACGACTAATATGAACTTGATGTCCATCCAGATGTGTGATGTTCATCTGAAATCCAACCAATGAATCGACCAATGAAATAGTGACATTCGTATAAAGATCATCACCACGACGTTCAAACACTGGATGTGGTGATGTACGTATTTTTAGCCGCAAATCACCTGGTTCTCCATCCACATGTGGTTCACCTTCAGCAATGAAACGTTGTTCTTGACCATCTTCCATTCCAGCTTCGATTTCTACTTCCAACATTTTTTCTTCATTCACTAATTTAACATTTGGACATTCATCACAAACTTGTTGTTGCATCATTTGAAAACGTCCTGGACCTAGCTGCCTAGTGACCATTTCTTGTCGACAATTACATTTTCTAGTACCCGAAGCTGGTTTATATACAACTTTATTTCGAATCAATTCAACAAAATTTCCTGAATATAATTCTTCTAACGTGACCCATAGATCCATTATAACATCAGCACCTTTAGGTATTTCACGTTGTTCACCGTGTCGAGAACCGCCACCAAAATCAAAGAAACCAAAATCACCGAAAAAACTAAAAACATTGTGATGAATTTAAAAAAAAAAAAAAAAATTAACAAATAGAGGACCAACCTTGAGAATGGATCACTACCACTGAATGAATCCTGTTTCAAACCTTCTTCACCATATCGATCATATGTTTTACGTTTATCAGAATCAGATAAAACTTCATATGCGGCTCCTAAATCTTGAAATTTTCTCGTTGAATCTGGATCATCTTTATTCTTATCTGGATGTAATTCTTTGGCAAGTTTACGATAGGCTTTTTTTATCTGATTAATATTTGCATTTCTGGACACTCCGAGTATGTTATAAAAATCACGCCTACATATGTTCAATGGTAAAAAAAAAATTTATTTTTATTCATGACAGGAATAAACCATTTTATTATTACATACCCAGCAAAAGTGACCAGAATAAAACATATTAAAATAATAAAGATGATGACAAAATTTGGTGTTGTTGAGAACCACATTTTTCTCATTTGAAATTTGAATTACAATTGTTAATAAATTAAAAAAAAAATTGAAACTTTATCACAGTTTGGAACCCCTGATCATTAATACAATCTAACCAATGAATGAATGAACGAATGAATGAATGAATGAATGGCACATATGAAAAAAAGATTCCGCCGAAAGACACCTCAGCATTATTGAGACAATTTGAGTTTGCGCGTGTAAAAAAACAAATGATATTCTCAGATCATTGTATTTTTGAATGGAACCAAACCACAACAGCTTGATTGAATGTTTTTTCAGTTTTGATTATTTTTTCTTTCTTCATTTTTTTTTTCGAATTAAATTATTAAAACGACAACTAATCAAAAACATTGGAAAATGGATGTAACTGAAAATGATAACGTACTTGAAATTGGAGCTGCCATGGAAATCGATAACGAAATTCATGATGTCACTAAAGATACAACAACAAATGGTGATTCGGTTTTAGCATCCAGTTCAGTGATTACAGCTACCATTTCGGTTTCATTACATCCATTGGTTATTCTCAATGTATCTGAACATTGGACAAGAATTCGTGCACAAGAATGTGCTGCTCAAAATGGTTCGAATTTCAATAACAGTCAGCAGCAGCAGACAAAAGTTTTTGGTGCATTGATTGGTAAACAAAAAGGCCGTAATATCGAAATAATGAATTCATTTGAACTTAAATTGGATATAATCAATAATGCACCATTAGTGGACATGGATTTTTATCGTTCAAAAGAAGCACAATTTAAACAAGTATTTGCCGAAATGGAATTCCTTGGTTGGTATACTAATGGTGATGCAGCCAATAAAAACGATATGTTGATCCATAAACAAATGGTTGAAATCAATGAAAGTTGTTTGTTTCTAAAACTAAATCCATTGGGTCGTCATACAGGCTTGCCGATTAAAATTTATGAATCAATCATCGATATGGTGGCTGGTGCACCAACAATGCTATTCGTTGATGTACCATATACATTGGCCACTGAAGAAGCTGAACGTATCGTTTTGGATCATATGGCACGAATGACATCAACATCACATAATGGTGAAAATGTTAATTCAGTTGTCACTGAACATCTTCGTGTACAACATAGTGCCGTTAAAATGTTACGTGATCGTATTAAATTGATTTTGGATTTCGTTAAAGATGTAAAGAACAAAAATATTCCGGCCAATCATGAAATTTTACGTGAAATATTGAATCTTTGTCATCGATTACCAATAATTAGCTCGGATACATTCAATGAAGATTTCTACATTCAATGTAATGATGTTGCATTGATCACCTATCTAGGAACATTGACAAAATGTTCAAATTCAATCAATCAATATGCAAACAAATTTAATATTTTATTAGATCGTCCTGGAACAGGACGACGTATGCGTTTATATTAATGATGATGATGATCATTGATGATGAAATTTTTTTAAATTGTACAAAAAAAACACACACACACACACGAGAACAAAAAAATTCAAATAAAATTCATTAATTACCAATTTTTAAAATCACCAAATGTTGATTTTATAGTTGTTTTTTTAGTTTTGGAAATTTTTTTCGGAACACACTCGTCATCATCATCATCACCATCATCATCGTGGATGGCATTCAAATTGATAAAGGCACCGACACCTTTTCGTAATTTTTTCGGCTTGTCATCGTTTTTTTTCATTGTGGATGATCGTTGTTGCTTTTCCTTTTCTTTTTGTCGTTCATTTTCAATCAATTCATCGGCTTCTTTATATGGATCGACGAAAACCATAGTTTTCTGTATGACAATATCTTCTAATGGACGATCAGTTTTAGCATCAGTTTTTACCGATTCAATTTTATTCAATACATCCATTCCACCAACTAGTTGGCCAAAAATTGTATGTTTATTATCCAGATATTTACATGAACGAAATGTTATAAAAAATTGTGATTGATTTGTATTTGGTCCATGATTAGCCATACTTAATATGCCTCTACCTTCATGTGAATATAGTTTACAGAATTCATCATCAAATGGTTTACCAAAAGCTGATTCACCACCTTTACCCGTGCTGGTTGGATCACCACCTTGTAGCATAAAATTTTTAATCAATCGATGAAATCGACAATTATCATAATAACCACGATGACAAAGTTGAATAAAATTATCACATGTACGTGGTACTTTATCGCAATATAATTCCAGATTCAGATTGCCAAAATTCGTAATCAAACGAACATAACCTTTTTTCTTGACAAATTGATAACGTATTTCATATTGATCGATTTGAGCCGCTTCAACACTTGATACAACAGGCATTACTGTCGATGTGAATGATGCAGCAGCATGGCCAGTTGAATAATGTGCTGCATTGAATTTATCTGTCTTCATAATTGTCTTCGTCGATGATGATGATGATGATGATTGTTGATCTTTGGAAAGATTTTTAAGAAATTCATTTCCACCACCATCTATAGTGCTCAATTCTTTCAATGTTTCTCTTGTTTCCGGATTGATTGTACGTAGATTTGATTTTTCATCATTATCTTCGGAAACATTAAGATTATTTTTAACATAATAAAAATCATTGATATTGAATTTTTTCAAATTAATTGGATTCTGAATTTCGATAATATCCTTCTTGGTGAATGATTGATCTGTTATCAAATCAAACAGATGATTTGTTTTCAAATTCAATTGTTCAACAGCTTCATAGCTAAAAACATTTCCCGTTGTTTTGATGGCCACAATATGAGTATTTTCATTGAACACCTTAAACAATACTGGACAATGGTAACGATTATCATCAGAATTTTTATGAAAATTCAATTTAATCAATTGTTTCAGTTCAATTTTCTCACCAGTACATGGATCGATACCATGTTTTTGTATGAATGGTACAATACTCATTAGATCATATATAACACCATTATTTGTACAATATGGATTACGGAATGGTTGCAATGATAATGAACAATGATCATATGGTAAACGTTTGAATTCTAAACCTTCTTGGTGGCTATGATATTCATCATTGGCACGTCGACCACCATATAATGTTCGCCATTCTGTTGCTGTTAAATATAGTTTATCTTTTTGATGCTGTTTTTTACCCATTTGAATCAATAATCAATCGATATTAAAATAAAAATTTTCAAGAATTCGAATTTTAATGATAAAAAAAATTGAAAAAAAGTAAACATCGTGTGGTGTGTTACGAAAAACAAAACAAAACAAAAAATCAACGTAGTGGTACCATGCAGTGATACAATTTGTGACCTATCCTTTGGTTTGCAATGCCGCTACTTTTTTTTCATTTGGAAAAAAAAGTTTCTGTTTGTCGCTACATTCGAATTTTGTATTCTCAATCTTCCTTGCGGGTATTTGTGAATTTGGTTGATGATATTCTGTGGTTTCAATAGAACAAAAACGAAAAATTCTGTAAAATTCTATTGAAGAAATTCATCAGAAGTGCTCAATGCATCAATGATATCATCATCATCATTATTAATACGATTATTATTGGTGGGCAAAAAAAAAAAAATTTTTTCATTTTTTATTTTTTGGTTCTTTTATCACAATATATTCATTTTATTTTTATTTATTTTGGTGTGAAATTTGAAATTTTTTTTTCATTTTTCAACAAAGCGTAAATATATTCGTTTTATTTCATGTTGTTGTTGTTTCCATTGTGAATTAGTGTGTGTGTGTGTGTGTGTGTGTGTGTGTGTGTGTGTGAAACTATTGTGTCTTTTCAGGTTTTTTTTGTGTCTTTTTGAGTGAATGAAAGAAAAAAAAATAACGACATAATGGAAATTTAGGTTCATTTGTATTATTGTTATTCGGTTGTTGTTGTTGTTGTTGTTGATGCATTTGAAACAAGAAAATTTGCTGTTTTTTTTCTCGCCGATGCATCCGCATTATCTTCCATTAGAAGAGGAAAATATACCAATTCTTCTTGTACAATAATAACAACAACAATAACGACGACGATGATGATGATGATGATGATGGTGAAAAAAAATTGCAATGAATCATTTTGTCAAAATTCTTGTCGTTATTCTTATTTATATATACGCTTTTTGTCTTTGCCACATATAATTCATTCGTTTTTGTTTGTAGTTTGAATTTTCTTCTTTGATGTTATTGTTTGACAGAACAAAAAAAAACCGAAAAAACACATTCGTTTTTTTTTTGTTCGGTAATGTTCTAAGAACCCGAATCATTCGGATTAATCACAAAGAAAAACAATAAATTCATCATGATGATGATGATGATGATTACATAAGAATCGAATCGAATCATTCAATCATTGTCTGTTTTTTGTCGTGTTCTGTGTGTGTGTGTGTGTGGCCATTCATATAATACGTGACGATTCTTTATATTTGAATATAAATTCTTTAATAATACAATAATCCTATTTTTAAATTATTAGAATCAATATAATCAGAATAACGAAAAATAAATAATTATTTCAAATTAGTGTGGTGAATAAGCAAATTTTTAATGTTTGTGTGTGTGTGTGTATTGAAAGGCTAAAGGCTTTTTTTTTGGTGAGATTCAAAATAGAAATAACAAAAATCAATCAATCCATATCAAAGTTGGTGATCAATAAAATTGATTCAAACGAAAGAAAAATATTTGCAAATTGACACAGAATTCTTTCAATAAAATCCAGACTAGATAAAACAGATGATTTTCTATTGTTTATTCAACGATGATGTTGATGGTGATGTTACTGTTATACAGGTAGATAAATTAATTTGCTCTTGATTTTTTCTATTATTATGTTGATGTCCATGATGATGATGTTGATGATGATGTGGATGTGAATGATGATGATAATGATGATGATTTTGATTGTCTGATTGATTGTTTTGTTGTTGTTGTTGTTGTTGTTGTTGATCAACAGCAGATGATGTTGTTGTTGTTGTTGTTGTTGTTGTGTAGAATTATTATTACGATTACCAACACGAAAAAATGATCCAGATCTTTGAAACAGGCTTGGTGTTGAATCCTGTTTAATTGATGTTGGTGTTGTCGATTGTTGTGGCTGTTGTTGTTGTTGTTGTTGATGTGTATCATTTTTACTACTACTACTATCAAGATTACTAATACTTAATGTATTCATTAATGGAAAACAAGATTCTGATTTAGGTCTTGGCAATTTTGATGATGATAATGATGCTTTTAATTTATTTTTCGAATGATTTTTATTGAATATAGACACATCACTTTCACTATCATCACTTGGACTTTGTGCTGACATTGTTAATAATTCACTAACTGCTTTTAATTCTGATTGAAAATCTTCTCTTGGACAAACAATGCTTGGATTTTTACCAATTTTATTCAAACGTTCAGCAGCAATCGATTCCATTGTACGACGCATTAATGGATACATATCTAATACGGCATTAAAATGTTCTACTGATAATGAGAATAGATTACAATATGTTTCAGCACGAACACTAGCAACTCTACGGGTGTTGGTCAATAGACAAATTTCTGTTTTGTTTTGTATAGCAGAGAAAGAGAGAAAGAGAGAGAAAAAAACCAATCGATTAGTAGTGATCAAGTGCAATCAAATTAATTCAATTCACTATCACTATATCACACTAAATGATTCATTTACCTCCAAAATATGATCCATCTGAAAGACTTGTGGCAACCTCACCGGTAATCATAACAATGTCGACAATACCTTCTTGTATGAAATACATTTTATTACCAATTGTACCTTCTTTAATGATTATATCTCCTGGTTGAAATACTTCATATTTCAGCCGGGTAACAATCGAATTAACAAAATCGGTATCAGCATTGGCAAAAAATGGTACAGATGCAACCAATGCTCTGCAATTATAATTGATGACATCCTGTGTTGTTTTTTTTTGTGTGTATGTGTGTGTTTATATAAAAAAAATGAATGATTGCATATAACGATTGCAAAGCAACAATAACATCAACCAAATGAAACATACCTCACGTAATCTTTCGGATAATTCATCAAGAATTGTATCTTCATTGAAAAATTTTCCTTGATAACGATGTTCAAAATAATCACCAATTCGTACACGTAGATCTCTTGGTAATTTTCTATAGGCCATATATTCTTCAACTTGTTTGAGCTGTATAGAATTGAAATTAGAATGAAATTAGAATTAGAAATAATTTTTCTTTTTGCCCACTAACCTTTTCACGATATTGTCGCCGTGATGAATCAAGTGATTGAATAAGATTAGTTGTATGGCCAAGAAACAATGCATAACAAGTGGCACCAGAAATCATACTGAGCAATGTAAGCCACATATCTGTCATACTTTGTGGTGGAAAACGCCCATAACCAATACAAAGCATATGAGACATTGCCTTGAATAATGACCATGAATATTGATCAAACCAATCTGCATCCTATTTTATTTAGCCAAAATTAGGTTTTATTTGTTTTTTTTAAAAAAGAAAGAAAAAAAAATATCCACCCACCTGAAGCTCATTGATGGCCACCCATGAATTGGTTGGAAATCCTTGTAACATTGGTACTAAAAATTGTAGACAACCACTCCAATGGCCAATCAATAACATCATACAGATTAGATTGAATATTTTCATAAATACACTGGCCATATTTAGAAACTAGAAGATAAAACAATTATAATAATCAATCAATCAATCAATAATCGATATAAATTAATGAATAAATTCAAATACAACCAATCAATCAATCATTCAATAAATTCAGCAAGATAAAAATCAAACCAGAAAAAAAAAAACTTTCATCATTTTCATATATAAAATTGATTTTTTTTTCATAAACAACACACAAACACACGTGTACACCATTTTTACATTACAAATAAAAAGTAATGGTCAAATAAAACTGACAAAAATAAACGAAATAAAAAAAAACAGACACAGACACACATACACGCCAAAAATGTTTTTTATATGTGTGCACATAATGAAAATGAAAATCGATATTTCACCAATATTGGTTGTTAGAATGTTTCATTTTTTGATTCATTTGAAATGAAAATTTTAAAATTGTAAATCAAATTGAATTCTGAATGAGTAATAATTCAGTAGAATCTATTGTGAAAAATTCCATCATTGATGGTTGGCTGGCAAAAAATCAATTTTTTTTTTAAAGAGAAAAAAAACTGAAAAAACTTTTTTTTTGTGTTTGATTTGAATTGTTTTCTTAATGTGATTTGTGAATTCAAGAATTTTTAATTCTGTTTAGAGAATCGGCAAAATATGGTGGTGGAAATGAAATGAAATGATGATGATCATCATCATCATAAATCATACAGTCACATATATGATGTGTGTGTGTGTGTGTGTTTATTTAAAACGGGCTGCCAAAATAAAACAAACAGAAATGCACCCGAACATCTGCGTGTGTGTGTGTGTGTGGGTGTGTGTGTGTGTGTGTTTGCAATTTAAATTCATTTAATAAATTTATTGCCCAGTTCAAACTTTAAATTCTTCAGATTCTTCATTATTTGTTTAGATTTATGGAATTTTTTTTTGTTGCCTGAATTGACTTTTCAAAAAAAAGAATCGTGTATGTTAATGGCGGTAGCACATCATAGAATTTGGATCAATATGTGGACCAATATATGAAAAGAAAAAATTCACACGAAATTCATGATGATAATAATCCAAAATAACTTTTTATTATTATTACTCAAATATAAATCTCCTGGGTGTGTGTGTGTGTGTGGGTGTTTTTTCTCTCTGAATTCATTCAAATAATGAATAAACGAATGATGAAGAATAGAAAAATTTTGCCATGAACGTTTTTTTCGTTTGTTCATCATCATAATTTGTATAGTGTGTGTGTGTGTGTGTGTGTGGTCATTTTTCTTTTATCTTTTTTTTGTTCAATGATCAAAATTTTGCTGAACTAAGATTTTCTTGACTGGATGATTGGAGCAAAAAAAAAGTAAATCAGTATTGCCTTGTAATTGATTTCAATATATTCGATTCGGCAATCGATAATTTTTTTTTGTTGTGAATCACAGATTGATTATAATATAATGATGATTTTTAACCGAGAAACATTTAAATGATTTTTTTCCGTGTGTGTGTGTGTGTGTTTGGTCGATTGATTTTCATTATTCTCAGGGGCAGTGGCATTAGCAGTCAATAATTAATGATGACTGTACTTTCTGCTTGGCCAATAATGTACATTTTGAAAAAAAATTCAGGAAAACACACACCCACACAAAGACAGATAGACAGAAAAATAAATTCAGGAAATCAAGAAAAAAAAACGAACGGAAAAAAAAAAATCATTCATTCGTAGAGCATGCATTGATAAGAAGAGAATTTGGAGACAGAAAAAAAACGTACACATTGATTTCAGAATAGCAGCTTATAGCAAGAAATTTTTTCACATTGAAAACAACAAAAAGCAGGCACATTTATAAATTGAAAATTTTAAAGAAAATTTTTTTTTACTACTACTACTACAAATTGGTTAGAAAATTTAAAATTTAGTGATGAAAAAAAAAAACTAGACTAGACTATATAATTGGTTAATTGTAAGATAAACAAAAAAACAAAACAAAACAAAACACAAAAAATTAAATCAGCAGATTTACCTTTTTATAACCAGGTATTTTGCTTAGATTAATGAAAAAACATTTTTGATCTTTTGACATTGTCATATTGGCTAAGTTTGACATCTTTCATCATCATCATCATGTTTGTTTGTTTGTATCCGATTAAAATGAAAAAAAGCAACAAAAATGGAAAAAAGGGAAGAACAGAGAGAGGGATGGTTTAAATGATGTTACAAAAATTAAAGAATCGACATTGAAAACATGAATGGGAAACAAGAATAAATACGAAGAATATTCAGGAATATAAAAATATATGGTTTGCAAGCACAATGATATATAAGGAATTGGGAAACATTTATGAAATTGGAGAATTTATGAAGATAATTTAACAGTTGATAATGATGATGATCATTTGATTGAGCAATTGATTGATTGATTGATTTATGAGGATGATTTACATTCAAGGATAATGAAGAAAAGAGCGAATTAGAGAGAGAGAGAGAGAGAGAGAGATGAAAAGAGAGAGAAAAGAAATTGGAATAATATTAGATTGGATGTTTAATTTTTTTCTTGTTTCAATTTTGACAGTTTTAATTGGAAATGGTTTATAATTAATTTTATATATATAGGTAGACAGGTAGATTATTAATTATTGATTAAAAAACATCAATCCAATCGGGCAATAATAATCATCATCATCTATTAGAATCAAGAATCTATTTATTGTTATTGAATTTCAAGAAAAAAAAACAGACAAAAACAAACAAAAACGCCACACACACACGTTCATAGAAAGCTTCAAACATTCAGCCAAAGCCAAGCCATAATTATATTTACATGCAAATCATCCATCCATTCATCAATCACCAATGATCACAAAAATCAATCATCAAAATAGAAAAATAACAAAACAAGCAAGCAAATTCATTCATAAGCATTAATTTGAGCCAAGCCATGATGAACAACTTTCAATATATACTTTGTATCTGTATGTCTTTCAATGGCAAATTCTAATCACAGAATCAAAAAAAAAAAAAAAATTATTTTTCAATGAAATTCAAGATAATTTTGTCTTTGTTTTTGTATTTCCATCATCATCATCATCATTATTGTTGTTATTATCATGATCATCATGATTGACCATTGCAACAAAAATTCAGTAGTGGAAAATTATAGTCACGAACTTTTTGGCAACTACAAAATCAATTATCATGATGAAATTCATTGAACATGCAGACACAAATGTTGAGAGAAAAGAGAAGAAAGAATCAATGATTCTTGTGTGTGTGTGCACTGAACACTTAAAAAAAATTCTGATCTAATCAATATGATGATTGTTATATATAGGAATCCATTGTTGTTTTTTTTATTTGCAGGTTAAATAACTTGTTCTAGGTGGTGCTGCCGCTGCCGCTGCTGCTGCTTGTGGAGAACAACAAGAATTTCAATATTTCGACGCACAAAAAAAAAAAAAACCATTTCAATTGCTATTAACAACAATGCAAATCAAATTTCCGTGTGTGTGTGTACATTCTTCGAAGAAAAAAAAAGAATGAAAAATTCGGGCAACAACAAAAAAAAATTTGAATTTTAAATTGAAAAAATTTATATTAAATTGAGTCAGCGAAATAAAAAAAAGGCTTAATCATCGTTTGTTTGCATATGTGTGTCTCTCAGTGTGTGTGTGTGAGAATATTTCTATACACGAATCTATCAAGAGAGTAGCCAAACGTAAATTTTTTTGTTTTGTTTTGTTTTTGTTTGTCAAATTAAATGAATCTAAAATTTCGTATCATATCTCTGTAATCATCAACAAACAAACAAACGAACGAACGAACGAATATTCATTCTGCATTCTGTTTATAATGACAATTAAAATCGTTTTTTTTAGTAATTCTTGCATGGATAATGAAATTCTATTGCAGATGATTATGAATACTTTTACGTTGCCAAATTAACTTCAATTAAATGATAATTTTTCGTTTTTTTTTGTTGGTAGTGGCCAAACAAAATGGCCACGTTCAACTAGACAAAAATGAAATTGAATTTTTTTTTGCATGAAATAAATTTGAAAAAATTTTCAAGAATCAAAGCAAAAATAAATGGAAAATAAAGCACAGATTTGTAAAAGCGAGGACAAGAATCGAAAAAAAAAAATTTTTGTTTCATTAGTTATGTTTGATCAGTCAGTCAGTCAGTCAATCAATCAATCAATCAATCAATCAATTGTTTTGCATTGAGCTTGTGTGGTAATTCATTTTTTTCTGTGTGTGTTTTGTGTGTGTAAAAAGCAGCATTTTTAAAAAAAAATCTAAAAAAAATAAGCAAAAACATTCTAATTGATTAGAACTAATCAATCAATAATGACAACACGCACACACACACACACACACACACACACTCATATACAAAGCAAGATCTAATTTTTTTTCTTTTTTTTCTGTTCATCTAATTTGCATATTGATGTCTAATCTGAAATAAATTTATTTAGAATGAACGAAAAAAAAATCATTTCATTTTTTTTCTTCAAACTGAAAAAAAACTGCGAAAAAAATTTGAAAAATGAATATTCATCATTCACTTACATAAACTTCTTCCCATTGGCTAACATAACGAACCAAACGTGAAAGACGTAATAATCTTAATAGACTTAACATTTTCAATATACGTAATATACGTAATGCACGGCCAGCTTGCCAAATGCTTGCTTGATAATTATCATCAAAATCTTGATTAAAAACAAGATAAAGATAATCCAATGGTATTGAACTGATTAGATCGAGAAAAAACCATGAACGTATATAACCATGAGCGATTTGTTTTGGATCTAGAATCACTTGTTCTGGCAAATCTGGGTTCATTATTCCTTTAGTGGTGAAAATTAGAAAATAGAATAAAAAAACAAAAAACAAAAACAAAATTTAAATCAATAGAAAACAGAATCCAAATTCTTTGTAGCAACATTTTGCCATTTTGCCATTGTTGTTGTTGTTGTTGTTGTTTGTGCAAATTTTCTTCAATTAAAATTCATGATGGGCTGATCACTAGCGACAATGTAACCCAAACAAACAAACACACACACACATGACGGAAGACTAGAAAAAAAAAAAACTAAATATATCAATGGTAATGTTCAATTAGACATAAAATTATACATACACACCCTTGAACACATACACACGAACAGAGTCATTAAATTACCTTGACCAATGGCCAGTTGTAATTTATGAATGAACAAATTTTTTCTATTCGATACTTGTGTTACTAAAAAAAAAAAAAAAAATACTCATTCTACATTCAAACTATGTATAACTATGTCTGGTTTTCGGTTGAAAATGTTGTATTTGTGTTGTAAATTGGATTTGTTGTAACAACAACAACAACAACAACAACAAAATATAAATGTATGGTGCACGCAAATTCTATTCAGCCATAATGATTTTTCTGGTTGTTGTTGATCGACAAACAGAAAAAATCTTTCATTGGTTGATTATCATCATCATCATCATCAATATTTTATCTTGTTGTTCAAGCAATTCGTAGATTGTTTTAATTCGTTTTTCTGTTTGTTCATTCTATTTATTATTGTGAATAATATGGACAAAAAAAAGTATTTGGTGTCCAGAATCAAACTATCCACGTGTGTGTGTGTGTGTGTGTGTGTGTGACCATTTTCTCATTAGAATATTTTTTTTCTGGTGACAATTTTGTTCCCCATAGACAATTTGTTTTCTATGTGAAAAAAAAATAAAATAAAAATCCATAGAGAGTCATTGTCGTCATTATCATGATAATAATGAATATAAATGGTTAAAAGAATTCATTTTCATCAGCTAATTATGTCCGAATGTCAAAAGTGTGTGTGTGTGTGTGTGTGAATGGACACAGTTACCTTTTTATTTGACTCTTAACAACAACAACAACAACAACAACAGCAACAGAATTATGTTGAATATAATTAATATTCATTGAATTGTGAAAATTTTACCTGTTCGAAAATTGACTAAAATATCGAGTAGAAAAATAGTATCAGATAAAATGTTGAAGGCAATCCAACGTGTGGATAGATCATCTTTGAAGAATGATATTGTTACCGGTAATACGATTAGATTGGCAACCAATAATAGTAGCATACAAAGATCCCAATAGAATCTATAGATTTTGTTAGACATAATGAAAAAAATTGTACAGAACGAATCAAAAAAAAAAAAAAAAAAATCATAGCCACTGACCTGAATGTACTGCATGGATGAATGATGAATAATCCGGATTCTTTTTGACGCATCCGTTCATTCATTAAGGCTTTTTTACTACCAAACAATTTCATTGCCAATTTATTATCTGTATTTGAGAAAATTGATCAACATTTTTTGAATACAATTAAAAATTCAAATTAAAATTTACCTGATGGTTGAAATAATGCTTCAATCTGGCTACGCATAAATGATGGACCTTTTGAATCACCAAGACTTGGTAACATTTCTTCTTTCGGTGTTCCATATAGACTAATATTATCCTCTTTATCCCATATGCCACCGGTAGCTGATGCATTTGATTCAAATGATTTAAAAATCATTGGCGGTGATTTTTGCGATAACATTGAATTATTATTTTGATTATTTTGATTATCCTGTTTTGTATAATTCATTATTTCCGGTGTAATATAATCATCAATAATAAAATCGTCTGTAATGGCTGTTGATTGATAACAACAATTGATATTATCTGTATGTGGATGAAAATGATGATGATGATGATGATAATGATGATTGTCCGTTGTTGTTGTTGTTGTTGCTGTTGTTGTTGTTGATTGTTGATGTTGTAATTTACCATTACTGGTTATTATACGTTGTTGTGTTGTTTTTTTAGCCTGTCCTAATCGTAATGGTTGATTATTTGTCACTATTGGTGATTTATTATTAACATTATTTGCCGATAATAATTGTTCCAATTGTTCATCATCGATTGCATCGATTATATAATTATTACTATCAGGACGAATAAGAAAATCATAACAAGCACGTGCTGCAGCTTGAACATTATTAACAGTATTAATAGATGTTGTTGTATTATCATTTGTTGTTGTAAATTTAGATGATTGATAATTTGGTACCGTTGTTGCCGATGCCGATGCTGATGCTGCTGCTGAACATTTTAAACTAGATGAACGTCGTCTATTACGTCGACAAATAATACTATTATTTACTGGATTACAATTGATTATGGCATCATTTCCGGTTAATGTTGTTGTCGATATTATTCCACCGGTAGTTGATGATAATGATGTTATTGTTGGTTTAATAATTGATTGATCATTTGGCCTAAAAAAAAAAAAATAAAATAAAATGAGAATGAATATATAGACATGACAGGATAATAATGGATGAATGTAAATGAAAAGTTTCCATAAATTAAACTTAGACATTACTTTAAGCGTTTCTCTCTCTCTCTCTCTCTCTCTCTCTCTCTCTCATTTATTCAAACCAAAATTCATTCATTTGTTTTTTTCCACCATTAGGTAGAAAAAAAAATTGTTGAAAAATGGGGCCAAAAAAAAAAAAAAAATTCATTCACAACAAAAAAACAAATACCCCATTGGACAAACACACACACACACACACACACCGACCTAGGTGGATTTCGGATCGGCAAACAACAACATTGACAGTAAACAACCCAGAAAAAAAAATTAGGAAAAACTCGTACTATCTGTACACAATGTACATACAAAAAAAAAACACAAAAAACACGGGCATGATCAATCAAAAAAAACCTCTATTCGGGTGAATAATATATCTTGAATCTTTTACAACAAAAAAATTTTTTTTTTTTTCAGTGGCATAATAATATAATTCACCTGCTGTCGTGTTTTTTTTTTTGTGTGTGTGTGTGTGTGTGTGTGTTCCAAAATGAAAAAGTTGACGTCTGGTTCATCATCGTTGAGAGGATACAATTTTTTTTTTGTTCCATTTCATTTTTTTTTCATTTTCTTTTTTTTCATACCAAGACAATCGTCGTAGTCGTCATCGTTTTCTTTTTGCACCATTCAAATTCATTGGTTTATCAACTTTTCAATCTTAGATTCTTTGATTTCCGTTTTTTTAGTTTTTTTTTTGCTTCAACACATGTTTATCAATGTAAATTTTGTAATATCACTGTGTGACATTTACAACAGACACAAATATACGAATTAAATGCGAAATGAATTGAAATGAAATGAAATGAAATGGAGAAAAAAAAGCCAAATTTGAATGAAAATGGAAAATGAAAATGAAATGAAAAAAGTTTTTTTGTCATTCAACATACAGCCAAATAAGAAAGTGATACCGTATGCGGCGGAGAAATGGAAATTAAAATTTTTTTCAATAAATGGAAAATCTGTTTCAATGTGAATGAAAAAAAATGGAAAAAAAAACACAACGAATCGTCTAGATTCTGGTGAACAATGAAAAATCCCAATCATTTTTTTTCTGTCGATTAACAAGGATAAAAAGATCATCATTGTCATCATCAAATGAATGAATCCAGTAAATTTCGAATACAGAATATTTGTCTTTGATAAAGGGATTTCAGTGGATTGTTGTTTATCCAAGAAGTTGATTACAATCTAACAACAACAACAACAACAACAGAATCAGGAATTTTTTTTTCTCTTTTTTTTTGGTTCTTTTTGGTTAAGCAAATTACGACTAATAATGACTGGGATTTTGTGTTTTCTGATTTTCTGTCATATTCATGTCATTTGTTTTTTTTGCACACCGAAAAACATCAGATAAAATGAATGTGGAATACTTTGATTGTTTGTAGACATTGTTTATATAATCAAAAAAAAAACAACAACAACAACAACAACAAGACAACATTGACAGTGAGTAATTAATTAGCAGACAACAACATCATATGACAGAATCAGCACAACAAATGTTTGACGATGGAATGGCATTCTCATTACATTATTCATTGTATTCTGTACAAAATTCAAAATTGATTTATATTTAAATCACAGCAAATGAGATTGAAACAAAACAAAACAAAACAAAACAAAAATTTACCAAAAATATCAAATTGATTTTGTGAATATTTTTGGATAGAAAAACAACGTTAATTAATGGCCATTGTAGTTGGCGATATGTTGAGAATTTTTTTGTTGTTGTTGTTGTTGTTGTTGTCTTCAGTATTCTTTCAAGTTTGACATTTATTTATTCGCATTTGAATGAAAACTCTCACATGGATAACGTCACCGACAATGTTCAATGTAATCACAATTGACATTTGAGTGGATTGAGGTTGAAATCATTTTGGCGAAAGCAAAAAAAAAAAAAAAAGAAGATTCAACAGATTCAACAACAACAACAAAATTGTAATTGGCTAAAAATTTTTCTTTTTTTTCCACTCCATCAATTTTCAGAATGAGAATCCAATAAAAACAACAACAAAAATAACCCATAAGCAAAAAGAAACGAAACGCAATTTTTATTGATCAAATTCTGGCATTTGTATTCTCTTTGAATTGACTTTGAAACCTTAACCAATTCACATTGAAAATCGTAATAATAATAATAATAATGATAGCTGACAATGACAATCGATTGATATGTTCGAACCTCGGCACAGATCATTCAAAAAATTTTTTTTTCTTTCTCATTCATTCTGTTTTTAGAATTGATTCTGTATTTAGAATCAATAAATACTGGAATTTCGTTTTGTTTGTTTGTTTGTTGTTGTTTTTTCGTATAAAACGAATCTGTTTTGGCGGACACACACACACATACACACACGAGAACATTTATTTGCAAAAAAAAACATCCAAAATAGAGATGTATGAATGACTAGAATCAAGTAATTCAATTCAAGAATACAAGAATTGAATGAAACGAATATTTTTCGCTATGATGAGTGTTTGTATGAGTTTTTTTTCCTTAACGCTATCAATGTTTACGCTAATGAAAAAAAAATGCTGAATAAAAAAAGCCAAAAAAAAAACGATGAAAAGACAAACACACACACACACAAGCATGTGTGTGTGTGTGTGTATTGATTATATCGTTATGAATGAACAACAACAAAAATAGAATGCATGAATTAAATAGATGGATCGATGGATTTTTTTTTCTAGCCAAATTCAATCATCTTTTATTCTTGATTCTAGAATTATGAAAAAAAAACCATAGATCAATGATGGATGAATCACTTATTCCCTTGGCCATCTTTTCTGATGGATTCGTAATTTTTTGTCTGTCTTTATTTTTTTCTGTTTAATCATTCAATATTTAGATTCACTGTGTTTTTATCTGTTTGTTTGTTTTTATTCTTGCAATTCTCGTTGATCAAATAAAATGCAAATAACATGTGAGATACACTCGTTTGATTAAAAATACAATGTTCAATAACAAAATCATCGCAAGAGTTTAGAATTCATTCAATTTCATATGAATATTTGATCAATTTATCAAATTATGGAATTTCAAAATAAAGTACAAAAAGAGATTAGTTCATTGTAACATTCGATATTCTTTTGATAATAATAATCTGTTTTTCTCCAGAATTGGGACGAAAACAAAAATGAAAAGAAAAACAGATTTCTATTACACCCAATTTAAGACTCAACAACAACAACAACTTGCAACAACAATGACAGAAAAAAAACAGTGAGATTAAAGTGTCTGATTTTTGTTTTGATTAAATTAATTTAGTTGTATTTTTGTGTTAAGCCAGAATAAAAATCCAAGATAGAAAAATTCTTTCTATTTCAATGATTCTTGTAGATAATAAGAAATCACAGTAACAGTCTACAAACAGGCCAACTAAAAAAAAAATTTATTGAGTGAGCCATTCATTTTTGTTTTCGGGTGAATCAGAATAATCTCTTCGAATTGAAGTCATTAGTTTTTTTTTGGGATAAAGGTAGTGGTGGTGGTGGGGAATACAAAGTCAAGTCGAATGGTTTTTTTTCCTAATCAGCAACCAAAAACAAAACAGCAATATCAACAGGATTTGAGCTGAACAGGATAAAAAAAATTACGCAAACAAATTTTCGCTTGAATTATTCTGCATTGACAAACCAAAAAAAAAAAAAATAAAAAATTCTACCATAAAAATTGCTAGGAATAATCCCAAATTTCTATGAATAAGTGCGTGCGTGTGTGTATGTTTACCTTGAGAATTTTTTTTTTTTTTTTTTTGATTTTGTGTCGAAATGAATTTTTTTGTTTTGTTTTGTTTCCAACATGGAAAATCAACAGAAAAAAAGAAGGCCATTTGTTTCCAAAATTGTCGCTATTTATTTGATTTTATTTCAAATTATCAACATCAACAGGAGAATAAATTTTTTTTTTTGCCACACTTTTCTGCACTGTTCATTGATCATCGTTTCACACATGGGAAATATGATACAAAAGTAGAGAGAAAAAAAAATTCAATTTCTCTCTCCATCTCTTTCTCTCTCTATGCAGAATATTGATAGATTTTTTTTTTTTTTTTTTTTTGATTGTCAAATCATTGACAACCAGAAAAATTGACAATATTTTGATGTGGAAAAAAAGTAAAGTGGAAAATCTCACTTTTTTTCCAATGATGATGATGATGGTAATAATCAATGTATAATTAAATAATCGACAGCCATGATGATGATGGTTGACAGTTTTTTTTTCTGTTTTGTTTTGTTTTCTGCCACTACCTCTGTTTGTATTTTTGTCTCGTCATCATCATCATCATCATCATGGATAATGATCATCATCATTGAAACTAATTATTAAGCGACATTAACAACGAAAAAAGGCCATTCATTTCAAAGTGACCAATTATTAACCAAAGAAATTGGCAAATTTTTTTTTCGTCAATAAATTTGCAACGACTTTAATGACTAAATCAGTACTAAAGTTATTATATTATTAAGACGCATGATAATAATTATCTGGTTAGAAAACAAAAACCAAAACAGTAAACACAGCTACAATTATTGAACACATAAATTATTGATTTTATTGCAAAAAAAAAAAATAGTGCCAAGACGTTTTTTTTTTGTTTTATATCGTTGTTTTCATCGATTCACATTGGAAAAAACCCTTTCGACAAATTGTCTTTCTCTCTCTGGAAAATTCTAGGAAAAAAACACGACGTTTTCTTCCCAAAAATTTTATGTTGTTTTTTTGATTGGATTATCAAACGGAAAAAACGATGATTTGAACAACAACAACAACAAAAATGTTTCGAAATTCTTTTTTTTCTGGGTAGTAAAAAATACAAATGTCAGGAATATTCGAGACAAACAACAAAACACACACATATCACTTAATGAATGAAAATGAATCGA